CGCGAGTGTGGCCAATTTTTGTTACTATTATTTATTTTCAGGAACCGGCGGGTGTCGATTTTGTTCTCCAGACAAGCAGGAAACGTCACGAATGAGAAGCACGGCGCGTCAATAGCACCACCCACTCTCGCGTGTTTAGTTTCCGGCGATACGACTTGGATCGAGCCGAAGTAATCGTTCGATGTTACGTAGCGCTAGCTTTGCCGAAGGTAAATTGCTTAGAGTAGTCTCGTTGTAAGGGAGTGCGAAGGTTTGGAATTTATTGCGATCTTAGTTAATAAGACGACGCGATTATGAATGAGACTTGGACAGTCGTCTTCTACGCACTGCCATCTTGGTTTACTGGGCTGTGGAACGTGTTCTGGGCATGCGCGGTACTTGTGGTGCGTGGAATATCGAAGGCCGCTCATAACTACCTTTTTTTTTTTTTTTAAATTGAGGTTTGTTCGGATGGTTTGACTTTTAGGAAAGCGTGCATCTCGCCGGGATGCACTTGGCACGCCTCGCGAGGTGGGAGTCTGATCAGAATGCAGACGAAATAAACATTGTCGTGGTGTCGCTCTCCGCTCGCTTTTGAAAAAGAACAGTTTTTCGCAGCTCCCACGTATCTGGGCCGTCTGGTTGGCAGAAGTCCGCGCTATCGCATGCACCTGCGCGGTTTTTACCGCAATTTATTTTCTCCGTTTGTTCTCCCCGCGCCTTTTTATGTTGCGTAAACGTGGATGGTAGGCGCGCCCGCGCGCTCAGTTGGCAGGGTGGTAGCGTTTTGGTTGAACGTGGGTTGGCGGTCTTGTTTAGCGTCGGAGCGATATTCCGCGACGCCGCGTGTTTGCCATTCCGCGTTCCCGGGGAGTCAGTCAGCTGGCAGTCGGGAGGTCGTTGTTCCGCTTACTAGTAGCACCTGTCCTCCTGCCGCTTTGTGTTTTGACGCACATATGCGCGCGCGCCGACGCTTCCGCGCTGCGACGAAAAGCCTGCGCGTCGTTGTGAGGCATGCGCTTTGCTCCGTTTCACTTTTGAGAGCGAGCTCCTACTCCCTGAGACTCAGGCGCGCGCTCGTGCATTTTAAAGTTCCTTCTCCCGTCTTTAATGCCCCCGTACCTCGAGAGTAAAATAAATAAATAGGTCACAAATGAGAACCGTAGGGCACCGAAGCGTCTCGTCCAAAAGCGTCGCTGCGGTCGGCTCTCCGCGATTGGCCAAACCACGGGCACAAGAGCGCTGTCAGACTCAACTTGGACGGTGTTCGATTAAAAAGAAGATAACTTTTAGCTTCCACTTTTTCTTTAATCACACCTTTTAACTTGTCGTAGCTCATGATAACTAGCTAGGGTCACAGCCCCTGACGTCACGGGGAGGCAAATCCTGGACGTGATGTCACGTTATCATTACTTTATTATTGCTTGACCCGGTATATACTTTGGGCGTTTTATGTACGCATTATTATTATTGTTGTTTCTCCACGTCTTCGTTGGTTAGAATTTAAATATTCTGTTTTGCTTTGAGTAATTATTTAGTTTGAATTGTATACTGTACTCTATGTCAAGTGTTGGGGGGCAAGGGCCTGTCAAGCTGCAAGTGCAGCTTTTTCCCCTGCTCTTGACACTCCTTTGAAGTGAAAATAAACGATTATATTATTACTACTCATCTCGGCGCCACGCCGAATGTTTGATAGTTTCCCCATTTTTTCTTTCTTTCTTTCTTTTCTTTTTTTTCTCTCTTTTTTTCCCCCCACCGATTTAGCTTTTACGCGTGTATTTGCGCCGAATACGCGCCTCGTATTTTGTTGTTCCACGCTTGAAATCCCGACCTGCCAAAATCTGAATTTCCTTCAACACAAATATTTCCTTTTTGTCTTTTTTTTTTTTTTTTCCACTTCACGTTTGTTAACGAGAGAGCTAAGAATTTCTTTCTTTTGTAGGAACTTGGGAAAAGGAAATAATCTCGGAGTCATTGAAACAGTTCGCCCGCGGCAATGCTGGAAGAGGGAAAGGAAGGAAGAACTGAAGGAGCGTCATCATCGATCGAATCGCGTTCGATTTCAAAGTTCGGTTACAAAGGGTGTTTACGACGAGGCGCTCTAATTTATTTTCAATGCCTCTATGATAAAACCGTACCTTTAGGCCATCGTAAGTTAATTGCTGCTCTTGAATCCTTATTTGTGACTGATTTATTTAAGAAAATTTATCGACTACCATGTGACAAGACACGTTCTGATATATATATTCATCCTCACGGCAGTTTAATATTTCGAAGGATACGAACACATGTGCGGACGAAGTTTGCGTAAACGCGCGCAGGCCAGCGTCGGAACGCCCAAGTTTCCTGCTCTTAGCCGCGGCGCCTGCTGTTGACCTCGTGTATCTGGGCCCTACTTGGTTGCCGCAGTCGAGTAACTCTTCCTCCGATAAGATACTAGCTTATTCTCTTCGCGGACAATTGGCGGCCGCCGGGAAGTTTTTGTTGTCTCCGGCGCCGCTGTTTTTGCCTTTGTCTCGGAGTGGCTGCAGGTAGAAGGCGCCGCTGGCCTCTTGCGGCTGACGTAGGCAATCGAGCGCCTTGGGCGGCCTTGTCCGGACGTCGGTCGCGCATCGTCGTCGTCCGCTTCTCGCGCATGCCGCCGTTGCGGCTTGTGCCTCGGGAACGCCGCCGGAGGAGGCTGCGAAATCCGGTCGCGGGGAAGAGGCGAATCGATGACACGCCTCGGGCAACTAGCGGCCGACTCGCTTTCCATGAATAATGAATGCTTTTAATCATCGGCGCGCGAGCTGGCCGAGCGGAGGAGACACCGCGGCAAAAACAGCAGCGCGTCTCGCAAGCTGGCCGTCGAGGTGTTGCGCCGCCGAACTGCCTGCCTACTCGCGATCCGTGGCCCTTTTCGGGGTCGTTTCTTCCGGGGAGCGAGGAAGGGTGGTCGAGCGTCGGCGAGGCTATTGAGCCGTTATTGATTTGGATCGATTCCCTAACCGGTGTGCACGGAGTGTTTATTTGTGCATCGGGCGTTCGAGGGTCGGCCGATTTGTCACGAGGGTGGGAGGGAAAGGTCGACGGGCAATCGTACAACGTTGATGGAACCGATCCGGCTCGCTTCCAATAATGTTATATGATTTTTATACCTCGTTTGTTTTTCTTTTATTTTTAGCCTATTTGCATCGATTGAGGGAACGTGCGCACGTTTTCTCGAGTTTTACGCGGGCCGATTTTTGCGTACGAGCGTCGACGTACGAGCGCCGTATTCCCCTCGCGCTCCTCTGGGCGGCGACTGAAACGGGGTCAAAGCCGGGCCTCGGCTGACACGTAGTTTCCAATCGGTGTGTGGGATAGATGCGCCGTGCCGGAAGACGCGCGAGAGTCCTCGTCGTCGGAGAAGGCGCGCTGCGGAATCGCTAAGCTGTCCGAGTCTCAGCTGTCGCTCCGTTTCTTTCTTTATCTATTTGTTGAGGGGGCGCTGCGAGATGCGCCCGCGCACTCCGCTTCATTTGCATGCGGCAGCGGCGTCGCACCTGCCCGCCCGCCCGGGCCTCTCGGTTTCACATGGACCGCAGCCGAGCACTACGAGCCATCGGACCCAATCCGATGCTGAGAGGGTGTCGCGTGACCCTGGCAGGGCGGTTCTCCCCCTTGCGGGTGGTCACGTGATACGCGGCGTTGCACTGGCTCCGACGGCGCGTAGTGTCCGCCGCAGTCCGCTTCGTAAGCTGGAACGGAGCGGGGAGGTTCTGCGAAGCGCTCCCGCGGAGTCGGGCATCGATCGCGTAGTCGGTGTGGCCACCCGCGCACGTGCTCGCGCTACGCTGCCGACACGGCCGCCTTGCGGGGGTGGTTTGTTCCCCCTCCCCACCACCCCTTGGGAAGCGGCACGCGGGTTGCGCGTTTCTCTTGCGCGTTGAGGGGACGGCGGGTGAACGGGCGTTGGGCGGTTCAACGTGCGTGTGTTTTTTTTGGGGGGATCGCCTCTCTCCTCGGCTTTGAGTTGGCATTCGTTGCGAACTTAGCGCAGGTTATAGCTTACGTTGTGAACACTGGAATACGGCAGGCCGCAGTTGTGACGCTCCTCTGAGAACGTGCCCGACAGTTTGTCTGTGTGCACTGACCCTGCACTGGTTTGGAGCACACGTAAATAAAGGTCGCAACGTCGGCACAGGTTGGCGCCACAGCCCCTCTGGCAGTGATCCGAAAATAAAAAGAAAGGTCCCTCGCGATCGTAGCACTGTGGCCGACTTCTTTGCTACCACAGTCTCAGTACAGCTTTTCTAAAATGACACCAGACTTTTGATGTGCACAGTGCTACAGCTGAGTTCTGAAAATGACTGACAGTGCCGCAGCCACTCCAAACACTTCAATCCAAAATTGGGAAAAAATTTTGTTCATTAAATATTCACTCAGTGACCCTCAGGAGAGGGACATTGTTTGGTTACCATATACCTGTCAAGTTTTGAGTCCAAATTACGGCATCCCTAGCAAACTACTGTTCGTTGCTACTTGTCTGCCCATTATTGCTTTGAAAAAGTCTAACCTTCGCAGTATTTAGTGCACTGGACAACACCCCCAATTTTCATGCAGCCTACTTCGGAATTTTGAACTACTAATAAAAATCCTTACTGCAGGTAGTTGATGTTCAAAACTGTTCAAATAGTCAGTAAAGTTTAACTGTTTATTAATGGGAGTAAATAGTAGCCTTCACTTTCTGTTGTGGGCACCTTGTGTTCTTGTTTCAGTTCATTTGCATGTCCCACTACACTGCCCCAGCTCCCTTTTCTGAACACCACCAGCTTTGGGCACTTTGCTTGCTGGTCAATGCAAAGAGGGTACTCCTGGGATTGCTGTGCATTGGACCATGCTTTTAGTGCTCGTTGGGGTGATCGATAAGATCCATGTGTTGTTTCACAGAGCATTTCCTGCCGCACTACAAGGCTTAGTCTATAGGGGTGTTTGCAGTGGAAGAGGAATATCTGGTTTTCTATGCACCTTTTAATGTTATTTTATTTCTCTCCTTCCAGACACCGAACAAGGCAGCTGGGAGAATGGACTCTCCTACGAATGTCGGTCTTTACTCTTCAAGGCTCTGCACAACCTGATACAAAGGTGCGAAAACACATTCTCTGGTCTTGAATCCACACCTGGCCACCTGCTCCTAGCCTCTTATCTTAACGGCTGGCGTCTTCTGCAGGGGATATAATCTTCTTAGTGCCCTGGGACAGTCGTGTTAGGGAAAGTTGAAAGGTGGAGAAGATAGGGGAAAGGAGGGAGGGAAGAAAAGTGGAAAGCGTGAAATGTATGTCAGCCTTTAAGGATTGATCATTCATAAGCATATGCAGATTAGTCTCGCCTTTGGCACACACACGACCTTGCCTTTACGGTGCTTTGTCACTTCTTTTATTAATACAGGAGTGAGTGGAGAGCTCCGAGATTTGTATTTGGGGTCCTGTCCCTTTGTGCCCTTTCCAGTAATGTGACCGCTGCGCCAAGGGGCTAACCCTGCTACATCCTGCCACATTTTGCAAAAATATGGGTAATCTGCGCCAAGCCTGCGCCAAAAAATTAATTTCGGTTGTCTTTCAAAACCGAAACTAAACTGAGTACAGTAATTAAGCGTGCGTGGGCTAGGTGGCGCTCTCGTCGTCTCGTCTTGCGTCTCTTTAAAAAAATTTTCAACGATAGACGCGGGCGTGTGCGGGCGCTCCAACGGTATACGTGCTGTTTACCAGGCTAGCCATTTCGTCATGCTGCGAGAGGAAAACACGTTTTTGCGCAACGGGAGTAACTTTGTTAGCTGAAGCACTCGCTCCTGAAAGCAGCGGCCGTGGGAAAACTATATTTGGTCCCTGCAATGGTCGCGCGACGTCGGGTGTTGTCGCTGCGGATATGGCGCTTTCAAAACTGAAATGTAAGGACTGCCGCATTTTCATCAACATTCCTGTTCTTGTTTAAATCACATGCTACTATAAGAATCCCCCCTTAACCCACAGACTGCTGTGTCTAAGTATTGATTACCTAGGTTTCTCTCAGTAGACTTCCGTTCGAGAGGGACCCCAGTACGTGAAAAATATGCCGCTAAAGAAAGTTGGTGAAGAGAAGTGAGCTAAAACAAAGAAGGCAATGTCCGCACACTGAACCCGCTCAGCGCGCATGTCTTTCTCGAGTTCAGTCGTTGCACAAAGCTCTCCAAGAACGTTTTGACCCTGGCTCACTATGTCTTGCATCGATGCGCTCAGGTTCTTTTTTTTTTTTTGTCTTCAGCTTGTACCTTGCCTGCCGTCCTTGCTAACACATGCCGCTGGGCTGTTTTTTGTCATATGCTGGACAGTTACATTTTGCATACAATTTTGGGAATCAGTTGGCGACGGAGCGGAGCGGCATGGTTTCTATTGAACAGCCATCTCCGCTCTCGCGACAAAGCACATGCAACTGCAAGCCTGCGGAAGTTGCCCTCATGTGCATGCGAACATGATAGCACGATAGAGGCACCAGCCGGGACGCTTGCAATCCATTGTTTTACGTTTGCTTACTTTTGACGAAAATCTGGCACGTCGGGAACCAGTGAAACGGTGGCAAGCGGTTTTTCGGAATTGCTCGGCAACGCCTACAGCGCTGTGCACTTGTGGAATGTCTCAATGTCTCTTTGGAGACATTGAAAGTGGATATTCATTTCTAGCTGAAGGCAAACGGGGCTTGCGGCAGCCTTGCAAAAAGTTTAGAAAAGCAAAAGGAAAAGCACCCGCTAGTCGTAATGCACCTTTCTCTTGTGTACAATTTCGCATTGCACTGCAGTAATGTGTTTCATCAGTCGGAGACTGCTTCCATCTATTATATTATATAAATAGTCAACCTAATGCTGTTACATTTACTACTAAGCTGGTCATTTTCAGATAAATTTTAATACATGCATTTTGGTTCTTATATATCTATAGCGGTTACATATAGGTATATGTATCATTTAAAGGCATACTTAACTGAAATTGGGATTTCGCAGAATAAGGCTGCAGAAGTGTTGAACAGGACACTACAAACTCCAAAGCATCACTGATTCATCGATATCTCAAGTGGATGGCCATAGTTTTGGAAAAGAAGGGCACGATGAAGCGAGATCTTTGACGTAATTTCCTCCGGGAGGATTTGAGAATGAGGGGAAGCGGCCTCACTTCTCTCCTCCTCGCTTCGGATCTCCTGCTTGATGGGACGAAGCGAGGAGCACAGAGAATAAGAACCTCTTTTCTAAAAATATGGCGATCCGTTAGAGATATTGCTGTATGAGTGATGTTTTTTTCTTAAATTTTGCAGCGTCCCGCCTATCCATCCAGCCCTGTTTTGTGAGCTCAAAATTTCGGTTCAGTATCCCTTTAGCTGAAGCATTGCAAAATGTGTCATGTCATTGGCATTTCGCTTACATGTTGAAAGACTCCCAGGTTGTCTAACGTGACCATAATTTGTTTATTGCGGTGAGCAAAAGTGTCCTTCGTTTGTCCAGCACTTAAAACAAATATTTTTACATTTCTAAGAATGTCTGCTTTAAAAGCCGCTTTTGCTGCTCCAAAACACTGTTTAGGCTGCTCCAAAAACCACTTTTGCTGCTCCAAGACACTGTTTTGGCTGCTCCAAAGGCCACTTTTGCTGCTCCAAAACACTGTTTTGGCTGCTCCGAAAGGTGCTCCAAAACGGCTTAGGCCAATCACATCACTGCCTTTCTACTCGACCTGGGGTGCCAGCTGTCATGAAGAAGCATTGACAGATGGTGTGCTTTGTTCTGCTGTCAGGTGCCTGCTATCCCGCGGTTTCACCCGGCTTGGCAAGTGGTTCCTCCAGCCCTGTGACACCTCTGAAAAGGACAGGGGGTGAGTGCTTGTGAAGCTTCATTTGGCTTGAACCACTCTAATAGCTGGCTGCCAAATGTTTTTTTTTTTTTTTTTTTTCTTCTACCTGGTTTTTCTGTTTTTTGAACCTTGAGCAGTATTGGTGGCGAGCTGAAGAAGACTGGCATGTTGTGTTTGAAGTTTTGATTTATATCATGAGTGAAAAGCTGCTGGAACTCTGTTTCCTAATTAGCAATTTCTACTCGGAAATTTTAATCTGGCTTTTGCAGGAGCAGATTTTTGAGTGACAGCCCATGTCAGCTCTGTCGTGGCTATGGGGCAAACTATGTTCACATGCATGAAAACAATGAAATAGGACCCATATTAAGTTGAAAGCCTGTCATTCTTTACTGGTATAGCACTCTCTAGGATTGGTACATGCCTGCACAAGGGTGTACCTTTCTCTACTTCACGAAGCACAAAGGCGGTTGAAGCTGGAAGGAAGAAAAGGATCCTCTTTTTTAAGCCTCAGAACCCAGCATTTAGAGGCTTCCAGAGAGCTCCATCTCAAGTCCTCATTTACTCGCCAGTTTTAATCCGGCTCATCATATTTGTTGCAGCTTTCGTTGTCTGTGTTTATGGCCGACCGTCTAACGCTTCTCCTCCCGTGGCGGCTCTCTCGGAACAGTGCGCCCGGTGTCGGTGGCGCCAGTGGGCCCCAGCTGACGTTTGCCTTCCACTTCTTCGTGCACGGGGACAGTACTGTGTGTGCGAGTGTGGACGTGCGTCAGCACCCGGCCATCTACAGGCTCTCGAGGCACCACCTGCTCCAGACCCAGGCCGGCACCCACACGCCCACCAAAGGTATGTGTGCCGCGGGACATCGGGGGCAGTGTCTGGAACGGCCCAACGCAAGAACCGTTCTGTTACCAGTGAAAGCTCTTGGCACAGTGTAGGGGAGCAAAAGGGTTTGTGGCAAGCAGTAACGACCTGGAGACTGAACGAAATTGGATTCACATGGTCATGTTGCCAAGTCTACTCTCTGCACATGTTGGTCTTTTACAGCAGAGCTATTAAAAGCTAGTTCCCCAGTTTCGTGTCCGTCACCAAATAAATGTCGACACAAAACTCTTGACAGCTACCGCCATCTATGAGCGACGGTGGCAACCTTTCCAGCCTTTCCTTTCGGGTTTTTACCAGAGTGGAAAGGCTGAATTTCTATAGCCGTCGTCCTCGAGGTCATCCTAGAGGTTGTCCTCGAAGTCATCCTTTAGGTCGTCCTAGAAGTCGTCCTTGAGGTCTTCCTAGACGTTGTCCTCAAAGTCGTCCTTGAGGTAGTCCTAGACGTCGTCCTTGAGGTCGTCCTAGACGTCGTCCCTGAGGTCGTCCTAGACGTCGTCCCTGAGGTCGCTCAAGAAGTCGTCCTTGAGGTCGCCCCACCATAGTACAGCTTCGCTGCTCTTCTTTCTTTGCCAGAGTGGAAAGACTGGAAGTTTTGTGCTTGTGCATGTGCCTGTGCTAGTTTTCATTTTAGTTTCATACCCTCAAAGGCAACCTGAGGACGCATTATCTGAAGGGGGGAATCAGAAAACAGATATGTACATATTATGCATAAAAAACAGATATTTAAATGGTAAAAATGAAGAAATAAAAGATAGAAACAAAACGAACACAAACAAGTGAAACCATATTGCAGTCGATTAATATATGGTCTGTAACTGTCTGACGCTCCAACATTGCTCGCAGTGATCCTGGGGCCCTTTGGCCTGGCGGGCACACTGACGGGCCAGGGCTACAAGGAGACGGATGCAGCCACCCAGACCCTGCTGAGCGAGTGGCACCAGTTCTTCCCGCTACCCCCCCATGCCTCGGCTGTGCCCCAGAGGGGGGACGCCACCCCCCCGGGGGGCGACGAGGAGCTGTTGCCTTGTGCCGTGGAGGCGCTCGTCGGTGAGGATCCTCCCTGGGCCATCCTAGAGTCACTAGATATGTCCCTCTGTTGCAGAGCACCGAAACTCTCTTTTTTTGGTGGAACCCTCTGCCATTTTGTGTTTATTAGGAGCATAAATGGTGACACACTCTTCACTCGACTCGTTTGGGACTAAATTCGTTCACACCAGCTAACGAAAGTTTTTCCATTCAGCATAATTTTACGCTGCACCCACTTGAATGTGCTGGAAATGGCTGGTTTCTGATTTGTTTATCTGTACTATATAGGGGCACTCGTCATACGCCATATTTGAGTGTGCCATTTGCGGCGTGTGCTCAGAAGGAGCACACACACTTACAATCGACACTTGCAATCAAGTTCGTCCGAGAGAGACAAGACGGGTTTTTAGGCCTCTTCCGACGGCAGAGGACCGGATGTGCTGCTGCGAAGAAAGTTGCAGGCCGTCGCAGGGGCCTTAAGAACTGGTCTTGTCTCTTTTGGTCATACTCGGTTGCAAGTGAGTGAACGGTGTTTTAGACCCTGGTATGACAACCTGGATGGCATGAAGTGCGCGTTGTAAAAGCGCTATGGAAGCTCGCCGACGGCTCTCACTTGGCTGCCACGGGCTTAGCAATGGCTGCTAGTGAATACCTCCATTTTGTGACGTTGGATATGATTCGGTTAATATACTGTCATATGGACAGTAACATGAACTATTAAACATTTCCGGGCTCAATAAATTTCCGTGAATGTGCTTGAGTTCCACATTTCGCAAAATTTTGGAGAATGAAGAATAAGCTTGGTGCAACATTCTGTATGGTTCCAGTATATTCGTGCAAACAATTTTTTGCGATTGTTTTCAACGCAAACAATTTGAGTCACCACAAGGTGTAAGTTGACTCGACACAGAAAGAATAAAGCAACTCGGGAAAAGGGACGACAAACATATCTTTCAACTTGCAACAACACAAGAAGGCCTTCTTTGTAATTCTACCCGGCCAGTAAAGAGAAAAGAAAGGGAGTCTGTAAGAGGGAAAGGAAAGTGTAAAGATAAATTTATAAAGAAAATATTTTTAAAAAGATAATGTATGATTTGAGAGAGAGGCTTTACCATCAGTTTGCGGGGGAGTGATTAGAAATTTAGCTAGTTCCAGAGGCAAGTAGATGATCTGGTCTTTGGAAAGAACAAGTGAGGGTGCAGACACGTTTTTCTTTCTGTGTCAAGACAACTTTACTAACACTGTCTACGGTTGATATGTACTAAGTTGTTTGTGACATTATTTTACTTCAGTTAGGCACAACGGCAGGTGATGGCGTCAATTCCACACAAAATCCGGCTTTTTAGCAAGTTGGAGTGCAGAATGTAACAAACTTTTTGCCGAACTATCGAAGCACCAAGGAGAATGCTGGGTACATAGTGGGAGACACAATGCTTGTGCTGGCTTAATCAGTAAATAAAGGTTTGAACTAAATAATCAAAATAAAATGTTGACCAATGCACGCTCAAGGTATAATTTGTTTTTGGCTTAAAGGGATACTACAACGAAATTTCGGCGCTCATTTTTTGGTCTGTATGTGTTCAAAGGAGCAGTATCACATCGAACATACCAATATCTTATTAAAAAAGTCTCGAAAAGGGATTTTAAAACGAATTAAACGATTAGCAAAGAGCACCTGGTGGATGTCGCTAATGCCTCGCTTGTAATACCCGTCTAGGAACCTTGACAGCCAGTGACGATCAGTGTCTCGCCTCCAGCCACGACGAGAGAAGAGAGGAAGGAGGAACTCCTCTCTTCCCGAGAATGCTTTTTTGTGTGTCGCAGGAGTCGCTATTCTCCCCCTACAAGATTATAGAAGAGTAACCCGTCACTCAAAATTCAAACAAAAGCAGCCGCTTCAGTGGCTGGAACGACTAGGCCATCCTCTTGATGTCGGCCTCGCCGTAGCTTCGCTCGTCCCAAGACGACCTACGTCATGACTGCGTGGTCTCCGCTGGGCCTTCTTGCCAGGGTGGGCCGTTCATAACGAAAAATACAGTCACCAGGCTCAAAATACAAATGTGCGATTGTCATTTACGGACATTGTGGATCATATTCAACCTATTTTTGAACACGACGGGAATATTTCAAATTTCGTTGAAGTATCCCTTTAAAATAACTGTGGGCACCAGCGTGTGCAACGCGTTTAATTAGGCTCGCTCCACGGTGCTCGGGCAATTTAGCTAAAGGCCTTTCGTCCCGCAAGGACTGAACTTTGACCCCTTTGGACATTTCTTGCAATCCGCTTTTCCGACACCGCAGGCGGCGTCAAGCTCCGCTATCCGTCGGCCTACGTCTTTGTGGTGGAGACGGACGAGCCGGCCGGCCGCCAGGAGACCCCTCCGGTCGCTTCCAACCCCGCGACGCCGGTCCCCAACCCCGGTGCGCCCCTGGGCGGCCCGCACCTGCCCCGGGGAGGTCCACCCGGCTACCCCGGCGGCATGAAGCTGCCCCCGGGCTTGACGGGCGTGCTCACGCCCCCAACGTCCCCCCGCGACCCCGGCTACTTCCACCACGGGGGCGGGGCCCACCTGAGGGGGCCAGGACAGGTGGCGGCGGCGGGGGGTCCCGGTCCTCCCGGCCGGCCGGCGTGCCCCCCTGCGCCACCCCCTTCCTCGATTGTGCCGGCGGACGGTCCCCCTGTGGCCGTGGTGGCCCACAAGACCAAGGGGGCCGCCTGGCAGGACGGCCTGCTGTCTAGGGGGCCCTGCGAGGACGAGCCGGGAGGGTGGGACTTTGTGGAGCCCTGCGGCCAGACCCACTGCTTCTGCTATAGGTGGGGTCCGACGTAGTCGTGCAATTGCGTGACGCAGTTGCCCGATTGCTTGTATGTAGCAGTCGTAAGCGCTCTTGTTCGTCTTGTCGTGTTAATGTGGAGGTAGAGGTTCGGGCTGCAAATTAAAAGGTCTCCAGTTTGGTTTGTATGGCAGGAGGCATATATATTCGTTCTTATAACGAATTAATTATAATTGATATATTGATCAATGTTGCCTTAGTAACCATGTGAAGAGTTTTACGTAATACTTTTATAAAGTTACCCTTGTGGTGAGGAAACGAGGCCTGTAACACATCCTCCATTGAGAAGGGCAGCGGAGCAAAAGGAACATAATGGCTGCTGCCAGCAGGTCAACGCGTTGTGTCGGCTGGCTGGTTTTCAACGTAACGATCAAGAAGACAAATGCATGAAATGGGAAATTTATGCACATATCTCTAGGAGTTCAACGCAGCCGACATTCCCAAATGTAATAGCCGGCAAAACATATCGAGAAGGCTCTGACATAACTTCATTTTCTTTTATGACCCCATTAAATTGCATCTTGTATCTCCACCCTAAAGAAGCACACGTTTTAACCTTAGTTCCCCCCTTACCTTACCTTATCTCCACCCTAAAACAGCACACCTTTTAACCTTAGTTTCTGCCGCCAACCATTCAGTAGCTGTGTATTTTTAGGCAGGCAGGAGTGGAAAATTTAATTAATAACACCGGAGTTTCCAATGTGAGCTTTCTGTTTGTATATGCTCGACTACTGCGCACTAACCTGCCCCGTCATTGGAGCGGGTCCACACACCGGCCCTGGTTGCTTTACCAGGTGCCATCGGAACAAACCTCGGCCCACGACCCCCGGCCCGGCGGCGGTCTGCGCGGCCTCCTCGGGGACCCCCCTGTGCCCCTCCGGGCCCCCCCAGGGGTCCTCGGGGGCTCAGGCGGCCCCCTCCCCCTCGGCCAAGAAGAGCAGTTCGGACAAGGGCAGCGGCCGGCCCAGAGGCCCGCCCGCCACCCCCTTCCACCGGCGCAGCCCCATCCCGGGGGGCGCCGCACCCTTTGTGGACTACGAGAGCATCGCGCTGCCCCCCGCAGCCGGGAAGCTGCCCCAGGTACAACTTCTCGAGGCACCTTGCCCGGGGCCACTAGATAGGCCATTCCCCAACCGTCCCCGGGTGCGGCAGTAGCCGCGTTCGGTTTACCTGCACCGGTGCAGAAAAGTGTTGGGCAGTGTACTTTCGGTTGTATTTCGATACACATACCGGAAGTAAAGGTCTACCAACGAGTAAACCTTTAATTTCAAGATTGTCTCAGTGAGCCTGGAGATTTAAGGTAACTATTGTCTCATCTGCTTTGTGAATAATGTTACTTCATAGGAAGCCTCTTTAGATGTCCCCCTGGTGATGCGATTTTAACCTTTCAATCGGATTGTAACTGTGAATTGCCAAAAATATTGCATATTGACACCAGACATGCCCTTAATATTGTGGAGTCCAGCAAATGGTTTCCATCCAATCGCATTATTTTCCACTATTAATTTGATTGTCCGTTCGAGACATTTATTGTTTGACTCAGTTTGCCACAAATTCTCTCAAACTAAAGGAAGACCCAGAAAAGTCGTTAAGGTTCCTAAATATAATTACGTGGATGCTCCAACGCACCGTATGTTTCTCGGAACCTGCGGAAGTCGTGCATAGGCACATCGGCGTCCAGTGGGTAGCGTACAAAACTCGGCGCTACGGCCCTACCACCTAGAAGGCACCGGCACAGCGGTCGCGCAAGGGGGTGCCGACGCGTGACCCGCCCGGTGGCCTTGCAGCCCCAGGGAGGGGCGGGGAGCCTGCTGCCGCAGCTCCACACCCAGCAGGGCCCTCCTCCGTCGGTGGGGTCGTGCTCCCACCCGGGCACGCCCCTGCTGCTGAGCGAGGGGGGCGGGCCGGCATCCCAGGCGTCCCAGGCGGACCCCGCAATGCCTACGCTGTCCCCGCACCCGCCGCCCAGGGAAGAGGGCCCCGCGGCCCCCAGGCCTTCCCCCGCGCCCCAGGACGCCGGAGGGGCCACGGGGGCCAGTCCCGCTCCCCCGCAGGGCGACGCGGCCAAGGACAGGCCGCCCGGGGAACAGGTGAGGAGGCCCGGCTCGGCGCGAGCGGGGGTGGGACAGGGGACGCGCTGAAATTGGCGAGCGGGGCCGCCCGACGCGTATAAATAGGCTGCGTTCCAAATTTTGCTCGGTCTCACTTTGGAGTGAATCTTTTGTACTTTGGCACTTGAAGACCTACCCGCATTTGCGTCACTCTGCCTCATTTAGCTTGTCGTAGATATCGCCGGAGTTACGCGGATCTGGTCGAGTAAGGTTTGGAACATGGCCACGGAGCGCCGAAACTTGGCAGGCTCCACGCTGTCCCCTTCTTTAAAACAATGTCGCGCGCTTGCGTAGGTTTATGGACACATCATTGTCAATCAATACGTTCAATCGATTTAACTTTCTGGACTGCACGGGACCAATGAACCTTGTTGCAAAATGGCATGCGCGAAGCACGCTGGGAACTTCGAGGTTAGCCAGCCGTACGTGGGCTGCTCTGTTGTCCGCTACAACCGCGCAGCGCTAGCCGCTGTAGTGGTGCACCCCTCCCTCCTTCCTCTTCCCTGTGTGTACACACTTGGCCGGCTTGCTTAGAGGGCAAGAGAATCTTGAGAATTTCATAATTCTGGCGCTCGTCCGCAATGCTGGCCGAGTGTGTTGACGCGTCTCAGCTCGGAGCAGTGGCAGTGAAAGCTCGCTGCAGAACACAGGGACACTGAGTTTAGTCCTCATTCCTGTTTGTTCCGATCTGCACGAGCACGTAGTATTGTGGTATTCAATGAACATCGCTCTGCGATGTTCATTGAATACCACAAACTATAGTCGCCAACAAGGTGAGAACGACGGAGAACTAATTCAGCTATCCCGTCCCTAGCACGGGCTTCCCACCTTCGACGATGCTTCGGCGTCTCGTCCATTTTAGTGCTAGTGCGCAGGCAAAACAGGCAAGGAAATTGATAAACCGAAAACATGTTGGCTAGGTACTACCATACCCGTCCAGTCGGGACTGGAGAGCACCCGTCCCGACTGTGACGGCTCGACCGGTCAGCCACGAGTGCATCGCGAGCCTCTTTCTCGACCTCTTGCTCCGGCCGCAGCTGCTGTCCCCCTCGTCCCTGCTGGACGTGAAACCGCCCCTGGAGGCCCCCCCGTCCTGCTCTCCGGGCGGAGGGTCCCACCAGTGGGGGGGTCCCGGCTCGTGCTCGTCCGCCGCGGCCACCCCGGCAGCTCCCTCGGGCCTCCCGGCCCCCTCCTCCGCTTCCTCTGTGGGGCCGGGGGAGGACGTGCCCGGCACCCCCGGCGGGACGGGCGCCACGGGGGGCTCTTCGCCGTCCGGGGGGGCCCCCAGCACCCCGGCCGCGGCCGCCCCCGGCACACCCGCACCCCCCGCGCGGCCCGCCTCGTCGACGGCCCCAGTCGCACCGCCAACGGTGAGAGTTCGCGCGAGAGAGTTGCTCCACGGCCGGGAGTCTTCCGACTTAGTGTCCCACGCATTCCTCGCATCGGAAGCGGTCCCAAAGTGCCAACAGACTGTGGCGGGAGCTGGCGTCTTACGACGTCGCGGTCCCGGTAGTCGGCTCTAGGAGTTTCGGCAAACGAGAGCGTTGCCGTTGCTGCAGCAACTGCTGGCTGCTCAAGCTTCCACAAACTATCAAGCTGGGGGACGACCTACGTCCTTCGAGCACCAGCGCAAGGGAAATTGAGACTGCAAGCAGTGATGGGGTAAACGCGCTAGTTCGAGATGCATTCAAGGTGCCATTCCAACGGTGCCTAGAATGCGTTTTGGACTAGTGCACTTACCACACCATTGTTTTTTTACTTCCTGGATTTTGTACCCACACTATCGCAGCTGGCACCTTAAAGGGATACTACAACAAAATTTCGGCGCTCATTTTTTGGTCTACAGTTGAACCTCGATGTAACGAAGTCGGTAAAATTCGCAATTTACTTCGTTACATTGAAATTTCGCTAAACCGAAATTTGGCTTTAGCATGCGAAAAAAAATTCCGAAACATTTTACGGGTATGAAAACTGACCGAAAATGACATTTATTTAGGGGCGAAGTAGTCCGCGAGTTTTGCTTGCGCCTTCTCCGACAGTAGCAGCGGCGTCATACGGCGTTCGAGCGCCCAGAGCGCTTGCACGGCATCCTGCTGCCCATGCGACGCCGTGTACCTCCTCAGTACGTCCATTGCGTCGAGCACTTCCCGAGTGCTCGTGATCTCGGCAGTTTCTTCAGGATGGCGTCCAAAACGTTTGCTTTCTCATCCAAAGAAAGAACTTTACGTTTCCTTATGGCAGCAAGCACGTAAGTGAACCGCCCGGTTAAAAAATAAAGCTGTTTAGTTTAGGCAGTTTAGGCGGTGCCAATGTTTCCAACCTACACAGCACTCTTCACCGCACAGTTTACTTGCCCCCTTGCCACCCTTGCGCCCACAGTGATGCTTGCGCCGCTTGCGCCCACGCTCGCAAGACGATAATCGGTCTTTTCGGTCTTCTCCTAGATGGCACTGCCCGTGCGGTTGCGCCATCACGTCGCTCCCCCGCTGAAGTTGGCTCCCGCGCTACCCGCGGTGCAGTGGTGTGGACTATGGTTATCAGTGAATGTCAGTGGTGATGCTGGTATGCCGTGTTAACTTTTTGCTCGGCATTTTCTGGCCAACCTCGCGGAATCCGCTTTGCCGCATGCCTCGCCGGTGCTACCGGCGCCGCATCCTCGGGCAGCCTGGGAACGTTGGAAGGCCTGTCCCCGTTAAGTAACCTATCAAGCGCTCGCGTTTGCGCATAATTTTTTTTTTTAACCACAATTTTTTTGCGAAGTTGTTTTTTAGAGTTGATTTATTTATTGCCTTCTATGGCAATGGCACTTCGTTATAGACTTAGACTTCGTTATATAGAGACTAAAAATACATGGGGTCTATGGGCAAGAAATTATGAAAAATAAAATACTTCGTTAAATCGAAGATTTCGTTACATTGAAGTTCGTTATATCGAGGTTCGACTGTATATGTGTTCAAAGGAGCAGTATCACATCGAACACGCCAATATCTTGTTAAAAAAGTCTCGAAAAGGAATTTTAAAACAAATTAAACAATTAGCAAAGAGCACCTGGTGGATTTCGCTAACGCCTCGCTTGTAATGCCCGTCTAGGAACCTTAACAGGTGGTGACGGTGAGTGTCTCGCCTCTGACCACGACGAGAGAAGAGGGGCAGAAAGAACTCCCCTCTTCCCAAAATGCCTTTTGTGTGTCGCAGAAGTCGCTCTTGTCTCCCTACAACATTGCAGAAGATTAACCCGTCACTCAAAATTCGTACAAAAGCAGACGCTTTGGTGGCTGGAACGACTAGGCCATCCCCTCGACGTCAGCCTCGCTGTAGCTTTGCTCGTCCTGAGACGAACTACGTCACGATTGCGTTGGATGTCACATGGTCTCCGCTGGGCCTTCTCCGAGCGCTTGCCAGAGTGGGCCATTTATAACAAAAAATACAGCCACCAGGCTCAAAATACAAACGTGCGATTGTCATTTACGGATATTACGGATCATATTCAATCTATTTTTGAACACGACGGGAATATTTCAAATTTCGTTGAAGTATCCCTTTAAGTCGCCGGCTGCAGTCCTGGCATTGACGCAGTAGCAGATGGGGAAACGGCAGACGCTTGTCGTTCTGTAGGTCGCTCCACTGCTGGTCAATCGACGAAAACTAAAGCATTCGCAGGTAGAGATGTCGTGGTGACCCTTAACTCCGCTCTCTTTCCTCACCAGGATTGCAGCGAGCTACAAATAGTGCCGCGGGCTCAGGTGTCGTAATCTGTCGCCACTTTGGGACCGCTTTCGGTGCGTGGGAGGAATGGGACACTAAACGGCGGCCAAAGGCACTTTCTAGGCGTTGTACTGTGGTTAGATAGTGAGAGGCTTTGCCACCCGGGGGGAAGGGGGGGGGTAGGGTTCAGTCTTCAGGTTGAACTGTCGTGGAAGGCGCTGAGAAATCGCGACGAATGCACAAATTGGTTTGTTCAATGGAAAAGAATATCATTTGTAAAATGACCTATCCTCTAGCCATTCAAAAGAGAGGCGAACGGTACAGGGCTGAATCAATGTTTGTGCTGCACCTAAATTTTTTCAGACGGGGCACTCTCCGCCAGTAAGTTTTTTGGGACAACTTTTTAGAACTATTGTAGGCATCCTTAAATTCTGCCCTCAGAGTGAATTTTTTTTTTTTTTTTTTTTTATTAGGTTGTTTTTTGAGAACTGCAGTAAATACATTCTCGTTCAGCCAGCACTTCCGTGGTGTAATCTCGCAGTGTTCCCACAAATGTTTACAGTGATAAGTTGACAATTATTAACTTTGCTCTACAGAGCACGAATGTAGTGACCATCACGTTCAAAAAAGTGGTTCGCAATAATTAATGCGTCGACAGTTCACCCCCATTTGCAAACGAGCTTGTGAACTTGCTGTTATTTGCAGTACTTATTCTTACTTGCCTAGTTGCTCTAATCCAACAGACACTAAATTCTAAAATGAATTTGTTCCGTTGCAAGTTGCAACAGAACCCCCCGGAATAAGCGAAAGGCAGTGATGTGATTGCTGCGCCATTTGCGCCAAACTGCGTCAAGGGGCTAACCCTGCTTTATCCTGCTACATTTTGCCAAAATATGGACAATCTGCGCCAAGTTTGTGCCAAAAAGCGAATTTCGGTCGCTTTTCAAAACCGAAACTAAACTGAGTACCGTAATTGAGCATGCGTGGGTTATGTGGCGCAAGCGGCCGCCCTACACAAAGGACCCTGCATGAATGGTCCACCCGGTCTTGCATGGTTTTCCCGCCGTCTCGCACTTCGTGCTCTCGTCGTCTCGTGAATCTCGTCTCGCGTCTTTTTTTTTTTTTTAATCTTTTCAACGATAGACGCTGGTGTGTGCAGACGCCCCGACGCTAGCGTGCCGGGTACCAGCCATGCCATCATGCTGTGAAACGAAACCACCTTTTTGCACAGCGGGAGTTACTTTGTGAGCTGAAGCAACGGCCGTGGGAAAACTATATTTAGTCCCTGCCTTCCAGTCACCGTGGTCGCGCGACGTCGAGTGTTGCCATCCCGACGTCGCTGCAGATATGGCGGTTTCTAAAATGAAACTAAGTACCAGCGCAGGTTCATCAACATTCCTGTTCTTGTTTAAATTGTACGTTACTACAAAAAATCTTTGTTTAAACTACTGTGTCGGAAGTATTACTTATCTAGGTTCCTCTCGGTGGGCCTCGTTTTTAGAGGGACCCTGGTAGGTAAAAAATCTGCCGCAAAAGAAAGTTAGTGAAGAGAAGTAAGCTAAAGCAAAGAAGGCAATGTCTGCACACTGAACCCGCACAGCGCGCTTGTTTGTCTCGAGTTCAGTCGTCGCGGAAAGCGCTCCAAGAACCTCTTTACGCTGGGTCGCGAGGTTTTACATCGATGCGCTTAGGTTCTTTTTTTTTAATGCGAAAGCATTAATTGGTCCCTCAGAGTTAGCTGACCTCATTAGTTTGAAGCGTGAAAACGGTACCTATACTTCGTCTCGCCCTAGGATGGACTAAAGGTAAAAGCTACGGGCCACCAGATCCAATCACAAGCCACTTAGAAGTTGCGTGGTATTTCACTTCTATGCACGTGTCGGTGCCTCCGCCTAGGATCGCTAATGGGTATGGGTGGACAGTGGTTCGAATTGAATAGCACTGAGTGACTCATCAATTTTACATCGCAAAGAAAGCCACGACATACAGACTCTTTGCAGTGTCAAAGCTATAGAAAGGATGCAGCGCTTTTTGATTCGGAGCATTATTCGTTCATCCCTACTCAATAGTTACCATGTCCTAGTTTAGCGTGTAACGTGATTGGACCTGGCGGCCCTTGGCTTTGGCCTTTACTCTATCATAGAATGAGACAAAGTATAGTTTCCCTGATCCCAAAAGTAGCGAAGTAAAGCTGATAGATTTCGCCTTCGGTTCCAATCGTCCGTTTCCACGACCGCTCACCCCATGGCGCTACGTGTCCATCAGCGCGCCGTTAACACGGAGCATCCAAGGTCAGCGTGCCCAGGGAAGCACGCGCACTGACCGGTGACGAAAAGTATGCAGCAGACGAAAAAGGGAGCGGACGAGCGGCTTGCATGCTTTAAGGGGAAACACTGCTTCTTGGGCTTTTTTTTTTTATTTATGGTCCAAATCAAATGAAATTTATAGAGCATAATCATCTTCCCATTCTGATGACAAATATGTACTTTGTTTTAAAATAGCTTGGTTAGTTTTGATAGAATTAACTATTTTATTTGAACATTTTATGGGAGAGATTCTAAAAAATTATGAAGACAAAACTCAAAAAGAAATATATCTCTGTAAACTAGAAGGTCTACAGAATCCAATAAGGTATAAATGAAGGCTCCATGACTATTTATGACATTTTTGCGGCATTTCGAAATTTTCAGTTTATAAATCAATTTTTACAATCTATGTTGGAAGTGCTGACAAAAAATACTGATGCCTAGGTTGATGCAATTAAACCCCTTATTGGATACCCCACTTATACACCTACCAAAGAAAAAAAGAATTAGGAAGATCGGTTGTGTACAGCCTGAGATACGGCTTCCGAAAAATAGCAAACTGCGCAAAAAGTTCATTTCGAGAAAACAGCAAAAAACGTCCACGGACGGATTTTTACTGCTACCCGCGGCGAACTCCACTCGGATGCGGCATCCCCGCAGATCTTGCAACATCGCTTGAGTTTTACTGCAAGTCCATACTCGCGACCGCATTTTATGAGTTCGACATCGCTGCAACAAGCTTTACACTTCGCGAGTTGAAGAAGCGAGTTCACGACGTCGAGGCTTACGACGATGAAACTGTCTGTACTCTCGGGAGCTTCTTGATCGGCGCCCGAGACGCCGGCCATCAGGGCAGCTTTCCGCGTCGTAGCGGACGTCGACGAAAGTTCTTTAGAGTTTTTCCTCGGCTTTTTTTTCTTTCTCGTCGATCTCGGAAGCGCGGAGCATCACCGTGTCGAGCCGCACTCGCTCGCTTGAAGTCACGGATGTCGACGGCGCCGTCGATGCGACATCTTCGTGTTCGGGCTTCCGCACCTCGTTGTCGACGTTCAGGCTCGCGGGAAGTTAAACTGCGCCATGGATTAGCTTCCTCGGGCCCTTTTTTCGTTTTTTTTCCGAACTTGTGGGCCGTATGAATCTTTTTTCGTGGAGTTGTTGTGATCGGCATGATCAGAGACGCGCACGAGAATCAAACAAGATGGCGGATCGGAAACAACGAGCAGACGCTTCGTAACCCTAACGGCCAATGAGAAAGCGCCATTTGCACCAGTGATCCAAAACAGCCAACCATGTGGCAAGACTAAGTTTTTTATTTGTGCTTCGTTCTCGGCGGCCAATCGCCGTGTAGCATTGTGAATGGCGGGAGAAGAAAGAGCGGGAGCGGAGCTTTCAAATGAGACCAAGATGTCCCCCTTCTATCGCGTTGTTCTCGAGCTACCGGCGGTCAAATTGTACCTGTTTTTTTTTGCTTTTTTCGGAGAAAGCATCTCCGTTTAGATACTTCAAATCAATACCCCGAAATAAATAGGGCGTATTTTGCGACAATATTTTGAGAAAAGATGTGAAAATATCTGTAGATATTAAAAAACATAATTTCAAAAATGTGATTTTTTTGTCATTTTTTTTGTTTCAAGGAGCCGTGTCTCCCCTTAAGGAATGCTTAGGTGTACCTCAAGCTTTTATTCGTGTGTTTAGCTTGTACCTCGTTTGCCGGCCTGGTAAGCACGCACCGCTGGACTGTTTTTATTGTATGCTCGACAGTTACATTTTGCGTACAATTTTGGGGATCAGTTAGTGATGGAGCTGAGTGGCATGGTTTCGGTTTCGATCGAACAGCCGTTGTCTCCGCCTGCGCCACGAAGCACGCGGTGCAACTGCAAGCCTGCCGAAGTTGGCCTCACATGCATGCGAACATGATTGAGTGACAGAGGCACCAGCTGAGCCGCTTGCAATTCATTGTTTTACGTTTGCTTACTTTTGACGAAAATCTGGCACGTTGTGAACCAGTAAAATGGTGGCAAGCGGTTTTTCGGAATTGCTCGGCAATGCCTATAGCACTGTACACTTGCTGGATATCTCAGCAGTAAAAGCACAAGCAACGAGTTCCATCACAATACGTCGCATCAGAACACAAAACAACACAAAGTGCCCTTTGTTTGTACAGCACTTAAAACAAATATTTTTATTTTTCTAAGAATATCTGCTCCAAAAGCCACTTTTGCAGCTCCGAAGCACTGTCTTGGCTGCTCCAAAACACTGTTTTGGTTGCTCCAAAGGCCACATTTGCTGCTCCAAAACACGGTTTTGGTTGCTCCGAAACGTGCGCCAAAATAGTTCAGGCCAATCACATCACTGCGAAAGGACAAAACATGACCTTGGGCTTGGAAACAAGCCTAGACTATGTTTCTGGGTGACTACCAAGGTCACCTGGACACCGAGTCTAGGTTGTTCTCCAAAGTGTTCCCTTTGAAGTTCCGAATGCTAGGAGTATGTCTCACGCATTTGCTCTCATTGTTCGGCAGGGTGTGAAGCGACCGTGCCTGCCCACGATAGCCCACGAAGCCCTAGTGGAAGCAGAGACGCCCCCTATGGGGAGCAGATTACTCTACGACTACAGCAGCGTCTATCCCCCTCCATGGTAAGTGATCAGTTTTCTTTTTTAACTCTAGGCTGGCCATAATTATGAAGAAGGCTCTAGTTTCTTGCAAAACCTTGATAAACGAGTTTCACTTTTGTTCACTTCCTAGCAGTGTGGAGGAAGTGCAAAAAAAGTATGACAGTTGTTATTAGGTTTTGCGGCGCAAGAACAATTGAGCCTGAGCGGATGGAGAAAGGGCGTGTTCCGAGTGCTCCCTTACCCGCAGGGAGGTTCCCCCGTGCAAGCGTCCCCACCTGGGGGCGGCCCCCCGAAGGCCCAATGCCGGGGACGTGTGCGGGCCGTACTCGTCGCAGCCTTACCGGCGCGTGGAGGGGGAGCCCCCCTGCGAGCCCCAGCAGTCGGCCCCCCCGGCCCCCGGCGGGAGCAGGGACCCCTACGAGTTTCACGAGGATTGCGACGACGATGCGGCGGGCCCCGCTTCCACGGCCGCCCGGGCCGCACTGCAGGGGACCCCGGGGCAGCCCGCCCTGCTCGTGCCCAAGGTGCGTCGTCTGTCGTTTTCATTCGGTTGGCTTCTTCAGGCCTGTCCGAGGAAGTTTACCTGTCTATTCACGCGGCACATCTCTTCGGAGAAAACGGAGTGCGTCGTAGAGTTGTAAGGAGGAAAAGCCACGAGGAAGAGGAGGAGGAGGTGGTTCAGAAAATCGGAGGCAGCTTTCACGAGACAGAGTCACGTGTCGTTGAGTCAGCGGTCTTTCTTTTTGTGAAAGTGTTTGTGACCTTCGCGGGCTCGTCAGTAAAGAGAAAAGTGAGACAGTCCCAGTTCGGTGCCACTGGCCTTAATCGTTCCCTGAATGGAGAAATCGCTTTGAAAGGACAGTGGATATTCCGCAAGCTGGTTGCAGAATGACCACGACATATTGCAGGATCGAGGGATTAGCGGACATCCGTGTCGTGGCTGACGTCGCCTCAAAACTTAACGTTTAATCCCCTCGGTCAAGAAAAGCTCTGGCATGTGAATATACCGTAAGGGGAGTGTTCTCAAACCTTTGGATCTCGAGGAACTCTCGTCTCCCTCGAATGGCAGCTGAGAGACCCCTCCCAATCTTGGCATTTCTGTAATAAAGCAGTGCTGGGGCCCATAGGCCTCGTAAACAGTAAAGCACATGCTAGGAAGCATTTGGCACATCTTAGCATCAATGGGTGGCTCAGATTAGCCGATGCAGGGCTTGAGCTGGGAAAACCCCGGAGTAGAGATGCTCGAAGAACCTAGGCAGGTTCTCTGGGGAACCTCCGAGCTCCTAGGAAACCAGTTCGAGAGCCCCTGCACTAAGGGACTGCCGTGGGGACGTCGAGGTATTGTAACCGTCTGTACTCCGTTTCATGTTACGGTGGACCGCAGCGTTCGCTACAACCCGTCGAACGAAGCACATGGCTAAGTGCCCCGCACGTCATCGCGCCCCTCTCGAAGATCACATGATACTTACGTGACATTGCATTGGCCTCGACGTCTCTTGGCACCCTCTGCAGTCGGTCGTAGGGCAAAACGGAGTAGTCTCCCAAAGTCATTGGCGGACTTTGCCGGCGAGTCGGCCGTTTAATCCACGGCCCCCGTTTCTCGTCCCCAGGAGGAAGACAAGGAAGGCGTGCCCATGGACACGTGCGGCCAGGAACTCGGCTCTGCCGCCACCCCCAACTCCGGCACGGGAGGCTCCGCCACCCCGGTGCCGGACTGCGGCGCGGTGCTGCCCGGCTCCAAGGAGGGCTCGAAGGAGGGGGCCCCCAGGGGGGGCTCCCTGGCAGGCTCGGCCACGCCGGGCTCGACGGGCGACCTCCCGGGGGTGGGCTCGCCCCCGACGCCGCGCCACCCTGGTTTCACGAGGGTGGAGGACCTCAAGGTGACCGACTGTGATCTGGAGAACATCTTCGACACGTCCTCCTCGGACGAGAGCAGCGACGACCCCGTAAGCGGCCTCCCTCGCTTCCCTAATCGACACGGCATTGGGTGTTTCTGCAAGCGGCTTGGAATGCGTGACATCGGTAAATCTCCAGGCTCGTTCGCCTATGGCAGCCTAGAAAACGTAAAAGGGAGGCCCGGCACGTCTACTTTGCCAATCCAGCCAGTCGCAGCAACTGACAGAAGGTGGCCAGTGATTGAAGATGCAGTAATAGCTGAGGATGAAAAACGCGAGCTATACCGGTTTTTTTTTTGTGCACATAAGCATCGTGCTCAGTAAGCTTTCATGGCTTTTTGTTTTGTAACCACGTGTTGTCTTTATCGGCCTTTTGGCTAGTTTCCTTCTATAAATTGCAACTGCAGTAATAGCTCGTTAACTTGAATATCAAGGGGGTGTTGAAATAAACAGGGTGGGGTTTCTGCGGTGCTTCGCTCGGGCTATAGCAAAATATTATCACATTTCTATGTTTCTTTTATGAAGGCCATATTCGGCCGATTAAATTGAAACGGCTCTTGTTTCCTCGCTTGGCCCTCGGTCGTTGCAGAACGAACCCTCGCTTCTCTGTCGCTGGCCAAATGCTGCTCTCTTTTTCGGCGTCTCATTAGCACGACGAACACGCTGTGCCTCGATGGGCCGCCGCTCTTGTCGACCAGTGTCCTATCAGTCTGCTCCTTTCTCCTTCGAGGCAATGTAAACAAACACTTTCGGCGAGCATATGACTTCGATCATAGACCTTTTCCGAATGTGTGCCCTCTGTTGGAAGCTATGAAATCTCTTCATGGTTGTGGACACGAGAGTGAGCTCCTTGCGTTTGATCGCACCTTGGTGGCATGAGCCCTCGTGTGGCAGGAGCAAAGGTCGATGTTACACGCTCGCGCTTGGGCGCAATCGTTGTGCGTCATGCTCGCAATCTCAATCTCGGGGTCATGGGTTCGATTCCCTCTGGGAGATGTCCGGAATTTCACTATTTCTTTTCAATTTATCCGCTTATCAATCTCCCACACTGCGCTTTCGTTTCATGCTACAAATTCAAGTTTTCCTTTGGGGGCTGTCTAAGGGAATGCTATCGCATTGAAAAGGGAAAGTAAAACAAAAAGGGGCCACATTCGGCGTTGGAGAGACCAAGGAATGGCCGGAACTGCCGCCTTTTATTAGTCAAAAAGACCCCGCGAGAGGTGAGGCGTGCGATGTGAAATCCACCAATAATCTGCGATTAGGGTTGTGTGAATAGTAGATTTTGATTTCAAATCGAGTTCTAAGCAAATGGTGATTTTGGCCGAATATTTTCTAATCGAATATCGAAAACTTGCTGTTCAAAAATCTTGGCCGCAAAGTGGCATGCAAGATAATTATTGCAGACGCGCAATTATTAAGTGGGCTGATTTGTGAGAATGAGACCCTAATTAATTCATGTATGGCTTATTTATTGGAATACAAGGCGCCAAGATTGCCAAAGATGGCGCAGACATTGTGGAGCTCATTGATCGGTTTCTTTTGCCTGTTTTTAAACAAAGTTGATGAAATGACGATGAATATATTTCAGAGTTCCCGCCATAATGTTTGTACCATTTCGCCGAACGTGTGAGTTTATTTTTGATTTTAGAAATCATTCCTTAGGGATTTTTAAACAGTAAACAAACACGCGACTCGAGGTCGCCAACACTTCGGAAAGCACGAATATTACAACTGCTCTGGAAGCAAATATCGAATAGCGCAATATTCGAAGCTACTATTCGAAAATTCAAATATTTGCACAACAGTATCTGCGATGCAAAGGGCCGTGCGTGGCTGACGGGGCAGTGAACTCGACAGTCGCGAGTTAGCCCGTGCCCACCACCTTGACAGTGAGCCCTTTCGTGGGCCTCGTCTGCATCGTCTCCACTTCCCGCCTTCTCAGTTCCAGGCGCCATCCACGCCCAGTTCGACCAAGCCGGCTGGTGCGAGCGACGAACCCCCGGGCAAGTCTAAGAACAGCACCACTGCTGGAATTCTGGGTGAGTGCCATTCACCACTGCATTGGTGGTCGTGGCCGTCCATTCTACGGGCTTGGAAAGTGCAGATGGGAGGCGTTGGTTACAATGACGTTTGACCTTAGATGGTTGCTTGTGGCTATCAGTATTTTGAACCGAAAAGAACTACGCCCAGAGACTGATGCACCATAGCTGTGGGTAGTTTTTCTCGGTTTGAGTTAATAATTATTATCAACCCGCTCTTCGAAGTCTTTGGCAGCTTTCCAGAATGGAGCACCACAAAAAATAAAGTATACGAGCTAAGAGGCAGGTGGGAATCAAATCGTAGAGGGAAAACTGCAAGACCGTTTCTTAGCTTGCAGGTTTCATTTTCTATTACATACTCTGCTCGGCGTACGAATTGTCACGAAGGACAGCCGACGAGGCAGAGATAAACTGAAATGGCTAGATGCGGCAAACTTATGCCGAAACAAAATAGCGACGTGCACTTCATTAGGCGGTTTTGGAAAAGCATGCGCTAGAGTTTTGCGTACGCAAAGTATAGCGTCGTTGCCACTGCGCATGCGCCGAACCGAACGCTAACCATGTTTTGCGCTTTGCGTGCGCTAATTCAGCATACACAATTTTTTGGAAATCGCGTGCATACGCAAGTAGTCTTTGTGGTCTCCCGAGGAGGATTCGTGATAAGAAACTGGCTAGAGCCAAGACAAGCACAGTTAAAAAACAGCGACTCCCAGAATCCCAGGACTGTGGCCGCGGCCGCATCGGCAGCGTAGTGAGCGCGACATTGGCGGCATCGTTGCAACTGCAATTTTCAACACAGGACGACATTGCCCTCAGTTTGGAAGACCCAGTAAGGTGGGCAACAATTGTCGACAACTTGATGCTTGCGACACACAAACATTTTTCGGTGAAGGTATGGTGTGCGAAGGTCAGTACACAAGACCTCTCTTGTTGAGGCAATGCAAGCGGACATGAGCGGTCAATTGCTTGCGTCGCGTTCTCACGTTTAAACAAATCTAAAATGTTACTCTTGACCAGAAAACTTTTTTTCTCAAGTTACAGCGTTTCGTGCGCGATATAAAAGCTCGAGGTACACCTAAGCATTCTTTATGAGTTGTGAATGCGAAAACATGCAAGCCGCTCGTCTGCTCCCTTTGTCGTCTGCTGCGTACTAGCGCGGACGCGCTTCGGGATCTCGAGGCCATGGCGCAGCGGCCAATGGGAGCCCCGGCAACGCGCGAAAGCCAGTGGAACCGACGGCGAATCGCTCCTATTGGGATTGCAGAAACCAAGAGCCGTTTTTGCGCTTCAAACTGACGACAGCAACTCGCTCCATGAGACAGTTAATGCTCTCGCATTAAAAACTGTGACTATCTTGGTGGCGTAGCAAGCGCGAGAGGCTTGGGCTTTGCATCGCGGCGGAAAGACGCTGTTTTAAAACCCTCTTGCGTAGCGTGCGCCAGTGCTAAATTTAGTGCTGGCATGCTTTAAAATATCCATATTATATCATATTGTGAACATTCTAGACGAGAATGAGTGCCAAGTGTCGAATTTTAACCGGAACGTTCCAGAGGGGTAACACAATGTAAAATAAAAACTGAGGTGCTGGGGGTTCGAACCTCATGCTTCAACGTGAATGCCACATTTTCCGCTAAATGCTTCCCTACATTATCTGACAACGACCTTCATACCGGGGCAGGTGCGGCCGAGCTGACGCGCATGTTCCCGACCCCGCCGTCCCTGGAGCACAATGCGGCCCCGTCCCCGTCGGGGCCTGTGGGGGTGCCCGACCTGCTGATGGGGGACGGCTCGGACCCCTTTTTCACCAAGGGGATGGACGCATACTGCAACTACGGCAGCCCCGGGTTCGAGGCAGTCAGGGTGCGTACACTACGCGCTCTTAGATTCTTGACCTCGAAAGAAGCGCAATTGTCGTTTATCGCCCTCTCGAAGTGGCTCCCCGAGACTTTTGGGGCCGGTTAATTTGTACAATGCCAAGTCAACACTAAGAGCGGCGCCGATGCAGGGCTGTATCAATGATATGTCGCAAAGTCAGCACTGCACCGGCCAGGTCGGAAGGTGGTATTGTGACGTTAGCCACGCTGCGACGGCTTAGTATGTTCGCAAAACCCTCGCAGCGTGCCCTTTGGCAGTTTCCTTACTGCGCCTGCGAAAAGAGGAGCTCGAAGAGGCCCAAGAAGTGTTATGCATTTAGGACACCTTTAAAAATGCCAAAGAGACGGTCAAACTATTTTTTTTTCCGAGCCTATCGAAACTAGAGGTTGGCCGGGCGGTCAGTGTCTAAAAACAAACTGACGGTACGAGCGCTATGCTTGTACCGTCAGTTCGCGCTATTTATTTAAAAAATGCATGTCCAACTAGCTCACCTTAATATTTTGGACTGTGTCTCTCTCTCTTTCCAGGACTGGTCGTACGTGTTCAAGCCCCCGATGGTGCACCAGTTCCTGAGCTCTCCCCGGTACGCCCCGCTGGGGCAGCTGCCCAGCGCCGCCCTCCCGCCCCTGCCCGCCCTGGAGTGCGCCTACAAGCCCAGCTGGCAGCGGGACGGCGGCGCGGGGAGCCAGGCGCCACAGGGATCCCCGGCCGGCGCGCCCCTGCAGGGCCAGCGCCACCTTCCCCACTACCACCCGGCGGTGCACCACCCACCGACTCCCGCGGGGCCGTCCCCCGTGGGCCCCATGTCCTCCCAGCAGCACATGATGCCCCAGGAGGCCTTCCTCCGCATGGGGGGTCACGTGATGGCGGGGGCCGGGCTCCACCCCAGCCTCCTCGACAGGCACCCTAGGTGAGCAGTTGCCGCCGACACGCCAGAGTTGATAGAGCCTCCTGCAAGGGCGGCGGTTGCTTCCCACCAGACCCTGGAGGATCGAAATGGGACGCCATTGCACTATTCTGCTTCGGAGGCAGATCATATAAGGTTGCTCCGGGCACATTTGCTCTTTCTTGGGCATGTTGTTTGGTGGTGTACCCTTGTCTAAATGTTTTGAGTGGCAAGAAGCACTTGCAGTCGTACATCAGGGTGTCTAGCGACCGGGAAAACCAGGAATTGTCAGGGAGATGTTAATTACCGCGAAAAATAGGGCAATTGTGAGGGATATTGTCAAAAAGCAAGCCCAGTCAGGGAAACTGAGCCAGAGACGCCATTGAGGGCCCTGAGCAAAGACTCGAGGACTTGGGGGCTGAAAAATATCAATACGTCCTGCTTAGAGCTGAGCACGGGCTCTGCTCACCCAATGTAGAGTGTGCTACCCGATGCAAAGGGAACAGCCGACAAATTTAGTCCAAGCCTTGGATTGGATTGAGGGCACGACACTAGGCTTGATCCAGTTGGAGCTACTAGATTTAGTAACAAATGGGAAAGCCGCAGATTCCATCTAATCCAAGCATGAAGCCGAAAGTATCGGAAAGCGTGCATCTGGCGGCCATGCGCCATGCCATTCAGTTATTGACGTGTGGTTGAGCAACGTGTTTTCATTGTGTTTCTGGAAGTGGCCTCTTCACTGACGATGTCAACGGCAAGAAAGTGCTCATTTAATCTGGACTGGACAAACCGGAATATTTCGGAATATGCAAGTTAGATTAAGCCCGTGCAAAATGATGCTCACAGTGCTCAATGCTCAGTGCCTTGAGTTGTAATGGTCTTATATATTTAACTGCCTTCACAGTGGTCAGGGAATTTCACCTGAAATTGTTGTGGTAAAACCCGGAAAAGTCGGGGAATTTCAAAATAATAATTTGCTAGACACCCTCCGTGTGCTCTTGTCGTCGAAGCGTTAAAAATGGAGGAAGTGCCGTTTCACTGCTTTCTAAAAGTGGTTTTCATAAGCAGGAAAGGGTTCCTACTGTAAAGATGTTTGGTCATTGCACCTCTATTATGGTGCCTTGAACCAAGTGGTGTGTTCATCGCGCCCCAAAAAGTGGTCTCTCGATTTTCGTCCGGTGACGTCGGAGAAGTGTCGTGCTGCCGCCAGGTTGCGATCCTGGCGGCGTCCCAACAGCTGTGGTCTATGTGGCAGACGCCTGTCCCGCTGCAGGTCTCTCTCCCCTGTGGCAGTCCACAGAAGCTTCGGTAGCCCGGAGTTGGGACGCCGTGACTGCAGCGACACTCGCGTTTAGTTGTGCTACTTGCAGCCTTCCGTTAGCATTTCTAGAGCCAACCACTAGGATCGCGGCATGCAACAGCATGACACTCCGGCTTCACTGACGTCATTTGTTGCCACTTTGGGACCACTTTTGATGTGTGGGCAGCATAGGACGCTAAACACACCAGTTGAAGACGTGCTTTAGGCACCACACCTCTATGTATGTTTTGTCTGCCAAGCAGTGGCCGCACTAAAAATTCCTCGAAACATTCTTTTTTGACGGTGTCAGGAGCGCAGCATTTGGTGAAACCCGGGGTGCCGTTCGAGCGAATAAATAGTCTGCAGTTTCCGGGTCGGTGTCCCGCGTCTCACGAACATGCCTCGATTGCAGTCACCACCAGCCTGGCATGGACGAGCGGGTTCCCTACCCGGGCATGCTGGACCACCCGTCCCAGCTGGGGCCCATGGGGGGCCCCCCGATGATGGGCGGCTACGAGCTGGGGCCCTACGCGGCCAACGGGCCCCTGGGCCCCCTGGGGGCGGCGGCCTACATGGGCCCCCACGGGGGCCGCCACCTGGCCCTGCCCCACCAGGGGATGCACCCGCTGCACGGCCAGCAACAGGCCCTGGGGCCAGCGGAGGGCGGAGGGGCTGTCCTCCCTGAAGCGGACTCCCTCCTGGTGAACCTGCTCCTGTCGGACTCGCTGCTCGAGCTCTTCCGGGACCACAACTTCTCCAGCTGCACCCTCTGCGTCTGCAACATGAACATCAAGGTGGGGCCGCTAGGAGCCGAAAACGCATCTTCTACGCGCGCACCTTTTGGGGAAGCGGGACGAAAACTCTGGAGTGTTCTGGCTTTGCTCGTTCTGTGGTGGCGCTGTGTGCGGGTGTTTGTGGTAATGCATTCCGACAAAACGCGTTTCTGACGAGTGCCGATAGGCATCGTTGCGCGAGACACATGCCGCGAGCAAGAGCTATGTTACCATTTGTTTCCGAGTGCACTTATTTTAGTGCTGCGCCGCCATTCGCTTCCTAGGACCGCAAGGGGCACGGGCCTTGTGCTCTTGCGCATTTTGTGCTACTTTTGAAACAAAGACATCAAGGGCTTCAGCTAGCGGCAGTGTGGTACGACAGAGCTGTTGCAAAACGTGCAGGCAGAGTCCTCTGCGGTGCCAAAAGGGGTTCTGGCAACTGGCTGCATACACCAAAGCGCGGCTAGGACATTGAATTGCCGCGCCAGCGCTGCTGTTGGCGTAGCACGTGCGCAGACACTTCACTTCTGGCAAACCTGGTTTCTGCTCATGCGCAGTGCCCACACCTGGTGTGGGCAAACTGGGCCGTGTTTGTAAGCAATGTTTTGGTGTATAGAACAGTTTGTAGCGGACAACGGAGGCGAGGACAACTACCAAAAGATGTTAGGAGAAAGGGCTTTCGCTTTTTCTGAAGTACCACACGGTAGATGCTGTGGGAACAAGAAGAGGTGTACCTTTATATCCTGAGAGATGCCCCCACCTCTCAAAGATAACCCGCCTCTATTTGTGACAGGATTTGCTATTTTTTCAAAAACAAAAAGTTCCTGGTCAATGAAGACCTCTGCAAAAGTGCTGTTACTCAGCCGCGGCAGGAAAAAAGCAAACATTGCTGACTAGGAAGGACAGTTGTCTGTGGTACATCGCCCCACTCTGCGATCCCAACTTTTGTGGGTCACAAAATCTGAAACTAGAATTTTTTCAACTTTTTTTTTTATCACGCATTGCAAGCTAGCTAACTCATCATTTTCTCCCGATCTGCTTTCAATTTAAAGGTGGCCATCTCAAGATATTCCGGTAGCATCCCAGAATGGGACGATGGCGGAGATGCGATCACCTGAAGACGGCCAGCGGGCAAATGACGTTTATTGAGTGTATGCAAGGTCCCGGCTTGCGGAAAGCTGTAGAGAGGGGAACTTAGAAAGACGGGTGGAACACAACACTACCTGTTGCAAATCTTGGTGAACGGTCCGTCGTCTTTGCCTGCCTTGTGCCCAGGGTGCGGACGTGGGCGTGTACCTGCCGGCATCGCTGGTTCCCACGGCGAGCGAGGAGCCCCAGTACAAGTGCACATGCGGCTTCTCGGCGGTGGTGAACCGGCATCACTCGCACCGGACGGGGCTCTTCTACCAGGACGAGCAGGACGTGACGGGCATCCCCTACGAGGCCACCCCGGGGCCGCACAGGGCCCAGGTTGGGCCCGGAGGGGGGCCGCAGCTACCTCACAGGGGTCCGGGAGGACCCCTGGCAAACGGCTCTTTACAGCTGCCCAAGGTGCGTGGCAGCATTGGGGAGAGAACTCGCTTTTCGTCGGGCTGCAATGGTCTGTGTTCCCTTAATCCCCTTGAGGAAAAACATGTGCGGAGGGAGAGCACTCGATCTCTAGGTTCGTCAGAACGTGTCCGTGCACATCGGGTATTTTATTAAGAAAATGTGACATTGTAGCTATTGTGCGTTGAAAATATAAGAAACAGAACATAGGCTCTTCATCTAGCCTATGCTATACGCTAATGACGTTGGTGCTGCATATGCATGAAGAAAGCAGGGGTGGTCCAGCTGCGCCAATTGCGCCATTTTGATAAATTTTCCTTTACCTGCGCTTTGCTGCGCCTAAAGACACAAATTGCGCCAAACTGCGCCAAACCGCGCCAAACTGCGCCAAAAAGGGCTAGTCGGTCCGTGAACGAATCCTTTTTTGGAAGAATGGCGTTTTCGGCTGGCAACCCGGGGGAGTTTTATTTTCTAGGCTAGGTGGTGCTAGAGCACTATAGAGCTATATAGTGCTCTAGGTGGTGCAAGCAGGTGCAAGCTGCCGCCCGATGATAAAGGGTAGAGCCGTTACCATAGCCATCACAATCTAATTCAGGTTTCCGGCCCAGTGGCATTATTGCGCATTATTGTTTTGTTGTGACCGTTTTGATATGCGGCATTGTGGCTGTTCATTTCTGCATCGCCACTACTAAGTCCTCTTAAAGAGGAGCCAACGTGAGTAGGTTTTTTTTTCTGCATGCGTGTTTTAAGTTACAGACCCCATGGTAGAAATTTGTTCGGACGCTCGTTCACCGGCAGACCAGCAACATCAATACCGAATGTGGTACTCTTTTCGATCGCGTGGTCGTTGCTTGATTTCCTTGTTGCAAATTGTTGCGTGTTCCTTTTCATGTCAAATGCCGTAAACGATTGGTCACCCCTTGGTTGTCATACTGTCGCACTGCGTGCGAACTCAGAATAGAGCTTACAAACATGTTTAATAAATCGCTATAGTTTCGGACTTTCGGCAGCCGTAATATATATATAATAATAAAGACATGGCACAGAACTGTTCTATGTTCATGCTGCTCCAAAATGTTTAGTTTTCCTGATACCAAGGTGCTCCAAAACGAGCTTTTCCCTGCTCCAAAAGGGGAGTTTATGTGATACGAATTGCTCCAAAATTGGGTTTTTCTTGCTCCAAAAATTGCTCCAAAACCTAAAATGGCTGGACCACCACTGAAAAAGCCCAGATGTAATGTGTGAGGGGTCTAGGGAGCTTGAGAGCACAATGGAAGGGTAGGGAGCAGTCTAGAGAAAAAGGGATAGGGAATGAGGGGAAAGAACCAGGGAGAGAGGGCGGTGAGGATTTGCAGACAGTGGGATGTGCACGGAGGCAACCGTTGGGGCTGGGACAATAAAGAGGGGAGTTAAGCCTATGACTTGTCTGGAGTGTGATTGGGAAACCTAACAAAGGAATTACGGATACAGTCAATATATTTACGATTTCCGTTGACTTCGTAAAAACCGCGTTTGATCGTAATAACTATTATTCTTACTTTGCATAGGTGGCTTCACTTTTACGCGAGGATAGTGAAGGAAAGCTCTTGTTAACAGTCGCAAAAACAATTTAGCCGTACGAGTATGCTTGGTTCAGTTAGAAGGAACCCAGCGCTTCCCGACGTTAGAGGCAAATGGGCTTTGGTCTTTCCACCCAAGACCAGTTCGGAGTGGCACCACCTTCTTCCCCCCTTTATTGCCTCAGAGTAAGACATCTCAGCTGTTCTGTTGCAAGTGTTACTTTCGTGGTCCTCATCTTTTCTAGCCGTTGTTCCTATCACATTAACTCCCTTCTAATCCTGCACTTTGTTGACTTTTCATATTTAGCTATTTGAACGTGCATACATTTAATTATGCATTGCCACCTCATAGCCCCGTCCCCTCCATAATTCCTTCGGGCCCCGAGGGCATAGAAACGGGCAGGAGAATGAAGAGTTTCTTTGCTCGCAGGTGCACGAGGAGGGCCTGCTGGAGTACGTACAGAGCCAGTGCCTGGGCATGGCCCTGTCGCCCTGCTCGGTGCTGCACAAGACCCTGCAGCTGGGGGCGGAGCGGCAGCACGACTTGGGCGCGAGCCCCATAGTGACGGGCCTCCTGCAGGTGCCCCCGCAGCTCAGGGGCCAGGGGCAGAGCTCCCTGCTGCAGCGGCAGAACCTGCACCACCGGCAGGGGCCCCTGGCACTGCTGCCGGCCCTGGACGGATGCGAGGTGACCCTGGGGGCCCTGGAGGCGGCGGCCTCTCGGCCCCTGGACGAGCCCCTGGGGTCTCCCTGCCTGCACCGGTGGCCGTACCTGCACTGTGAGTCGGGCTGGCCGCAGCTTCCCTCGACCACTCGTTCTCTCTTGCAAAGGCGGATCTACACACGCGAGCTTGTAACAACCGCTTGACGCTGGAGAGCGTGGATTTAAGAGAGGGAGCAACTCAAACCTTAAAAAGCAACTGCAATTTAATGGTGGATGTCTCTCGCAGAAACAAATTGCAAGCGCTCGTGCGTTGCGTCGTCGCGTGGCGAGGAGGAAAGCGAGCAGAGAGGTGGGAATGCTTGTGGACGATCAGCGCTTTTGTCGCCTCCTCGCAGCTCGTATCGCAAGCGCGACCCATAAATCTTGTCGGAGCAGTTGAAAACACTCCGAAATCTAGGCACTCTGCGCCATCTGTCAGCTAGTTCGAGAACTGCGTAAAACTAGACCGAACGTGATGCGGTATTTGCGAGATCAAATTTACGCGCTAGTCCCGAGAAGCTTATGACAATGTCAAAAGAACCCCATGGCGAAAGAAAGTTGTAAAAATGATCCCTGCAGTTTGGAAGCGTTCTGAGCTACCTCATAGATGGCGCCAGTTCGTTCTCTCGACGGCTATGAGCTATTGCGACATGTTTGAAGACTCTCAAATATGTGAATCGGCCTTTACGTAAGTACATCCGAGGTAATTTCGCGGGTTGTATTTTGTGGTAATGCGGATAGAACGATGCCAGACGCGAGGGAGTCTTCAAACGTTGTGGGGCAAAACCTTTACTCTGGAGTGAGATTGCGTAGATTTTGGAATGGTGGCCCTTCTTCGTGCGCGAAAGTCGCCTACTGTTTTGTTTGCGGGGCTTCCGGGATCGGGAGTCAGGCGGATGCAAATTGAAAACGACGAAGAAATGCCCGCCGAAGCTGAAGTACAGATCTAGAACCTTCCATTGATGCGTCCTTTGAGCTGCAGCAAACTCGGCCCGTGGGTTTATTTTTTGGCCACTCGCGACGGACGGTGTAACGCGCGCTCCCCATTGACGAGCGTATTTATGGCAAACGTGAATAGTGAGAAAGATGCGTTAGCTAAATGGGGCGAGCTAGCAGCGGAAAAGAGTGCATTAAAATCGAACAGCTTATATACGTGGGCTGGACAGTGATGGGGCCGATCGTCGGCGAGGACGAGCAATCCCGCAAACAATCGCAGCGGGGCGTCTAAGTCGTTTGTGCGTGTCTGCCCTGGCGGCCAGGCCCCTGCCCGCCGAGCAGCCTGGTGTCGGTGGGGCTGCTGCGGGGCCTGCAGCCCCTCCTCCAGGACGCGGTGCACAAGAAGCGCAACCAGGGCCTCTGGGAAGTGACGTACCGGGTGGCGGGGCCCCTCACCTGGCGCCAGTTCCACCGGCTGGCCGGCAGGGGCACCGAGGACCAGTGCGAGCCCCAGCCCATCCCCTCGCTACTGGTCGGCTACGACCGGGACTGGCTGGCCCTGTCCCCCTTCGCCCTCAAGTACTGGGTGAGTGTCTGCACCCCTCTGTTGCCCAAGCCGTGCGGGAGTAAACCCCGTGCGTTCCTGCTCACCCATAGCCAGAGGAAGCTACGCGCTCGTCGGATCAATTTGCCGCCTCCCTTTCGTCGCCCGACCCCACCCTCTGAGCAGCGGATGGACGTACGACTGGTCCATTGAGCACATAGCTTCCACCACATTGTCAATTTAGTGGGGAATGGAATAGTATAATATAAACACCTTCCGTCAGCGTAGGCCACTCGTAACCACTTGTCTCTTTTTTCTAACCACCAGCCTACTTCTCGTGAATCTGATTGCGATCACGTACCAATTTTTAAATTCAGTCAGCCGGTTATTGGTGCACTTTCCGGAAAGGCTTACGAACTGCACGGTGCAGCGAGTTCTCTTCCCTGCGCGACGCTAGTGGCTCGCAGAAGGAGCACGGGGGCAGGGTGCAAAGAAACGTAAAGGGAGAAGGAAGTGGATTTCTCGTGCCTGTGTCACGCCACGACTTCCTCTATAATGGGCAACCGGCTCACCCGCACTGGCCCAGGCACGCTCCTTTTTGTTTTGCCCGTTTAGTATGTTATGTAGTTTGTGTAGTCGCCGCTGGCACTGCACGTGATCCTCACTCGGGTGACCTGGCTGGCCTGGTGACGCTTGTTAGCGGCTGTGCGCGCATGTTTTAAGGGCGAAGCTCCTTAGGGTCTAGCCTTGTCCGTCCAGCGTCCGTGCTCACATCGATTACCATCCCATCTGTCTTCTTAAAAAAAAGAAAAAATGTTTGCGTAGTCGACAGGATTCGAACCTGTGCAGGGAGACCCCAATGGATTTCTAGTCCATCGCCTTAAGCGCTCGGCCACGACTGCGGGACGAGCAGGGGGCTCTGAGATGTGGTAGTAACTCAAGAGCTGGGGATGTCATGGATGAAACGTTGCCTGTAGCCGCTCAACGTCTATACAGGAGAGGGCGCTGCGGCCAAATGCGTATATAATCGCTTTAAGGGGAAACACTGCTTCTTGAGCTTTTTTCTTTTTTTTTTATTTATGGTCCAATCCAAGTGACATTTATAGAGCATAATCATCTTCCCATTCTGATGACAAATATTTACTTTGTTTTAAAATAGCTTGGTTAGTTTTGATAAAATTAACTATTTTATTTGAACATTTTATGGGCAAGATTCCAAAAAATTATTAAGACAAAACTCAAAAAGAAATATATCTCTGTAAACTAGAAGGTCTACAGAATCCAATAAGGTATAAATGAAGGCTCCATGATTATTTATAACATTTTTACAATCTATATTGGAGGTGCTAACAAAAAATACCGATGCCTAGGTTGATGCAATTAGACCCCTTATTGGATACCCCACTTATACACCTACCAAAGAAAGAAAGAATTAGAAAGATTGGTTGTGTACAGGCTGAGATACGGCTTCCGCAAAATAGCAAACTGCGCAAAAAGTTCATTTCGAGAAAACAGCAAAAAACGTTCACGGACAGATTTTTACTACTACCCGCGGCGAACTCCACTCGGATGCGACATCCCTGCAGATCTTGCAACATAGCTTGAGATTTACTGCAAGTCCATACTCGCGATCGCATTTTATGAGTTCGGCATCGCCGCAACAAGCTTTACACTTCGCGAGTTGAAGAAGCGAGTTCACGACGTCGAGGCTTACGACGATGAAACTCTCTGTACTCTTAGGAGCTTCTTGATCGGCGCCCGAGACGCCGGCCATCAGGGCAGCCTTCCGTGTTGTAGCGGACGTCGACGAAAGTTCTTTAGAGTTTTTCCTCGGCTTCTTTTTTCTTTCTCGTCGATCTCGGAAGCGCGGAGCATCACCGTGTCGAGCCGCACTCGCTCGCTTGAAGTCACGAATGTCGACGGCGCCGTCAATGCGACATCTTCGTGTTCGGGCTCCCGCACCTCGTCGTCGACGTTCAGGCTCACGGGAAGTTGAACTGCGCCGTAGATTAGCTTTCTCGGGCCCTTTTTTCGTTTTTTTCCGAACTTGTGGGCTGTGTGAAACTTTTTCCGTGGAGTTGTTGTGATCGGCATGATCAGAGACGCGACGAGAATCAAACAAGATGGCGGATCGGAAACAACGAGCAGACGCTGCGTAACCCTAACGGCCAGTGAGAAAGCGCCATTTGCACACGTGATCCGAAACAGCCAACCGCGTGTCAAGATTTAGTTTTTTATTTGTGCCTCGTTCTCGGCGGCCAATCGCCGGGTAGCATCGTGAATGGCGGGAGAAGAAAGAGTGGGAGCGGAGCTTTCAAATGAGACCAAGATGACCCCCTTCTATCGCGTTGTTCTCGAGCTACCAGCGGTCAAATTGTACTTTTTTTTTGCTCTTTTCGGAGGAAGCATCTCCCGTTTAGATACTTCAAATCAATACCCCAAAATAAATAGGGCGTATTTTGTGATAGTACTTTGAGAAAAGATGCGAAAATACCTGTAGATATTAAAAAACATAATTTCAAAAATGTGATTTCTTTGTCATTTTTTTGTTTCAAGGAGCCGTGTCCCCCCTTAAACTTTGCATGCTCAACGTTTATAGACGAGAGGGCGCTGCGGTTAAATGCTCAACTGCGTATATAACCACGATCCATAACACACATTCTCTTTCTGTCATGGACCGTTGACTTAAGCGGTGGAGATGCATTCCCACGGCTTCTAGCGGATCCAAGCTGATCCGCCAGAAGAACCACTGGCTCTGCATTTTACCGACCATAAAGCAGTAATAATGAAGTCGAAACACAACCCGGAACTCAGCACTACCTATGAGCAATAAAAAAATATCAGCATCATCAGCACTACGTATGAACAAAATCAGTATCATCAGCACCCACCAGAGCTTCGCCCCAGTCAACATCTTTCACCATGTGGAGATGTTTAGCATAAATTTCACTTTAGGAAAACTATTGTTTGTTAATTGGACAAAAGGAAAGACTCACTCATTCTTTTTCCTGACATTTTGTGGGCAATGCAACTGTGGAATTGTTTTTTTACTTCCTGGATGTTTTTTTTATAAAATATGTTAAGATTTTGTTGACAACATAAAAGCAAACAATTTATTTGAATTTTCACTACGATGTTAGCATAAAATAAATTACTTTTCGGAAATTTGTTTTCACAGTTCTCTCCAGGCATTCTGTGGCAGATCTAGTGAAGAAAATTGTTGGATATTACATTAGTCTTCTAATGATAGTCTTCCCAAACAGAGTCAATGTGTTCCTGATAACAACTATAATTTCTTTTACGAGTCACATACACGAATGAAACTTTGCACTGCATTCTTTCTTGCAACTGCCAGTATACACTGTAAATTTCATTCATATTTAACCAAAGGTTCAAAAGTTGACCCTCTTGGCTAGTGTACCCCCTTACTCGGTCCTCTGGCATAAAAATGAATGAGTAAATAGTAATGTAAACATATTGCAAAATGACTTTATGTTTTTGAGGAGTGTACCGGTATTCCTCTTTTAATTTATCACCAACTCGGTTTACTACGGTTTACTTCCCAAGAAAAAGGAAATGGAAGTGTCACTTTTGTACCGCCCTTCACCGGCTTGCCCGCATACCTCGTTACTTTGCCTATTATAACATATTCAATTAGGGTTCTCTTGCTACATATGCACAAAGTACAGAAGTGTCTACTTTAAGAACGCATGAATTTGGAAATTTACTGTTGGCTTGCACAGACAATTTGAGAATACCTACAAAGAAGGTTGCCAGTCACATTTTGCTCGCACAAATTGACAGCAGAAAATAAACACTCTGGTACTAACTCGTCACTTACATAGAGCCCGAAGTGAAATGTGCTGTCACTTAATTCAGTTTATTAGCAATGTATAAAAAAATAAGTGACCTGGTCGCCTTTTATTAAGGAGGTTGTTGTATGTCACACACTCGGATCGTACGACATCTTCTGAAAGCAGATGGTGCCGTTCTGATTGCTCGGCCTTCTCCCTCAAAGTGGGAGATCTGACTCGAAGGAGACAACGTGCGTGCATCAAGTCCCTAGGCTAGCCTTTTTATACAACGGTTCCACGGAGTCCTTACCGACAGCCTAAATTAGTATCTCAAATTTCCGGACAATATCTACCATATTTCTACGGCGAAACCTTCCAAAGGAAACGCGCGTAACTTGGACGCCTCCTAAAGTAAGACGGACTCGTCGAGCATCGACGTGGCATGTCCCGCGGTTCGTCGTCCTGCCCAAAGAGGGCTAGTCCTAGTGTGTGATTCGAGTGTTTGGATTGTGGAGATTCCACCACGATGTATTTTTGACGAGTCTCGCTAGAACTAGCCGTAACGATTCCCGCAAGCGAGGATTGACGCGTTCCCTGTCGTGGCACGCAGGACAAGCTCCTGCTTGAGCCATACTCGCCGGCGCGAGACGTGGCCTACGTAGTGGTGGCACCGGACAGCGAACCGGTGCTGTCGTCGGTGCGAGCCTTCTTCCAGGACCTGAGCGCCACCTACCAGGCGCTGAATCTGGGTCGGCACTGCCCACTTTCGAGGGGGGGACTCCGGGAGGGCCTGCTTAGGGTCTCCGCCCAGGGGCCCCCGCCGGAGACCCCCGGGGGCACCAATGCGGAGGACGACTGGTTCACCGGCCTCGGGGAGGGCCCCCTGGGCACCCGGCTCAGACTGTTCGCACGGGCCTGCAGGATGCAGCTCGGTGAGTCGTCGCTCAAACATTGTTTATGTCGGCCCTTCTAACTGCACTCCCACCGACTGCGTCGGCGATGGCCCTCTTTGGGCGAGTGCCCTTCGAGTCTGCCGGGGAAAATGCTTGTGCACTTGTGCCAAATAGTGCCAGCTTTGTGCGGCAGTTCCAAATCACCTGTAACTAATTTGTTAGGGATGAGATCTAAAAGTGTAGTTTCGGCGAAGTTTTTGTTAGTCGCTGATCTGTCTCAAACTCGCTTCCATAGATTAATAGACGCACTTGGAATAGAAACCCAAATTAAGAGTCGCGGTACTATTTTTTCCCGAAGCTATTGAAGTTTCAAGTTAGGTGCGAGCAGCTGAGAGTTTCTACTGACAACACTGAAAACGAGGCATGACATGCTGTCATGGGGGCAGTACAGCTCGTTCCCGACAGGTTACGAGAAATTTCACGATGTCAAATAAATGCTAAAAAAGCTCTTGTCAGCAAAAAAAAGAGAGAAATGAACATTTAGCACGTTATACAACACGTGACGTCGCCCGGCTGGAGAGTGTGGGAATATTTGAATGTCAATTTTGGCATAACCTTCGTTTCCATTTTCTCAATAGCTGTTTTTAATTTGGAGACAATAAATAGTGTGTCGGGAAGAGCAAAGTCCGGGTGTTCCAAAGATATGTTTACTTTCAGGTTCTCGGTGTACACCAGCTCGCTTGCACCCACACGTTCTGTTAGTTTGCGTAGCTCAAGAAAGAGCCTCTAAGCCGCATCGGACAAAGTATAAATGGCTTGGCCCGGTCATGACTCGGTTCTATCGCTTCGATACATCGTATGCGAACGCTTATGAGTGTGAGCTTGCCTCCCTTAGTGATTTGAAGCCATAGTATGTGGAAGCGGAGTAATGATGAACTTTGAAAAGGAGAGGAATAGAACCTCGCTTGGTTCTCCTGTCTCGGACGGTTCCTACCGGAACGGCGAGGTCAACCGACGGCCCTTCGGCACTCTTCCCTCTTCCAGGGCCCCACCTAGCCTCCCAGAGTCTGGACAGGGGCCTGCTAGAGGGTCCACCGGGGGCACCCAAGTCGGGGGACAGCAAGGCCCCCCTGGCGTCACCACGACCGCCCCCGACCCCCGAAGGCGCCGGCTCCGCCGGGCAGCAAGAAGGCTCTTCCACGAGGGACGGAGGGACCACCCCGAGGCCCCAGGCAGACTCCGGTGCGCCCTTCGCGTTTGGCTGGCGACTTACCGCAACGCCTTCTTTGCAACGGGACCATAGTCGCTTACTTTCGGCGTCGCCTACTGGAGGCCGGTGCAAATGCAGACCGGACAAGAGCATTGCATCGGCCTTCGGTCATTGATCGAAAGTCGGTCCTAGCTTAAGAATGGTGGCAGCCCACCGGGCCAATGTGCGACCTTGCGCAGGACTCTGGTAGTATGCACAAGTTACCGGCACTTGCTGCTTGTTCATGCGCGTCGACCGCAAGTGTGGACTCCCGTAAGGGGTGGGAAAGAAGGCCCTAATTCGACTTGCAGTAATGACTGCTCAGTTAGACCCGCTTGAATCGGGGAGCTTCAGTCTTGACACGTTATGTCAAATTCTCCTTCGTGCGATGTTGGGTGACGCACGTGCTTGGTGCGTGCGTCCTCACCTGATGGCACAATGGCGGCAGGCGAGAGAGACTTCTCGCGAGAGCCGACGGATGGCGTCACTGTGCACCATTCGTCTGTGTGTCCGGTGCAACTTGGCGCCGGCGAGCGTAAGTATAAGTGTTTGTTTGTTTGGAGTTCCTAGAATCTGTTTGGGTATTCTTGGGTGCCAAATTAAGAACCGTGCAATGAGTGAGCGGCTATCGCACGATGAGTCTCGTGAAAGCCGGCTGCGGGGCCAGCACACTCGAAACAGCGAGCACAACACGAATGGCGCCTTCGTTCCGAACGGTCTCGCTCCGCCTTCACGCATTCGTCTAGTAAGCGAGAGTGTCAGTAGTCAAGTCTTCCTCTTCGTCGATACCTCGAGGAAGCCGTCGGTGAGTCTCTTGCTCGGTGGAATCTGTTCGGGACTTTGTAGATATGCCCGCAGAGGCCCACAATTTCGTTCATTGGACGCTGACCATCGGCGTCTCTGTCTCTGCCCCGCGAGCAGAGAGCTCCCAGGACGCGTGTGGTGCCTCATCCGCCACGGCCCCCGGGAACCCGTCCCAGGGCACTTCACTGGGCGCCCCTGCCGGCATCGGAGCAAGCGCGGGGCCGACGTCGACGGGGGGCGCTTCCTCAACGGGCGGCGCCGCCTCTGCCCCCGGTGGGGCAGGGCTCGGCGTATCGGAGGAGGGGGAGGAGGAGCAGCAGCCCCCTGCCCTGGTGGTGTACCTGGTAGAGCCCTTCACCTTGGGCTCCTCGGACCCCGAGGTGCTGCGGCTGGCCACCGTGGGGCTGCACCGCTGCTTCGCGCAGCTGCTGGATTGCCTGCCAGAGCCCCTGCAGAGCAACACCCATGCGCAGGTGGGTCCCGTTCACTCTTCTAGCCTTCTTCCAGCTCTTGCTTGTCGTCGGTTTATTTTGTTAACGCCGGTCTCCAAGCTTTCTTTATTGTTTGGCCGAACCCAATGAGAATGTGCGAGCTTATTCAGTTTTTCTTGCTGATTTCAAATCTCTGGTCAGTTTTTCAATTGGTAGATCAGTCCTCAAAATATTTAGAACACACCTGCCTTTGTCATCAGGAACAACAAGAAACATCTACTCAACAAAAGCTGTGTTTAACATGTGGCTAGATACTACAAAGTATAAAGCATAGAATGTCTAAAGACCTTTTGAGATTGAACCATTATTAGTGATTTACATCGCATTGAAGGTCAGTGTTCAATGTGTGGTAACCGAGTAATAAAACAATAAATCGTACGAAACATTTCCCAGGCTTATAATGAAGTCTGCTTTCAATAGTGTATGCTTCATATATTTAGTTCTATATTGTCGAAAAAAAGTTATATTTCTATGTGCCCCAGATGCTGAGATATCCCTCTTGCAAATCTGCAAGGAGCCCAAAATTTTTGCTTTGAGAAAATTCCGTTTTAGTATAATCTTCGGTGCAAATCCAGCCTCCATAGATGCTATAAATTGATATCGTGGCACTAATATTCATCCACAGAATTAGAAACTTTGCAAAATAGATGTAAAATTAAAAATAACAACATAAAATAAAATTGATTTTGGGGGTACCAAATATTTATGTCCTTATTTGCATATCCTTTGCTGTTCATTGTTTGGCAATTAACTTTGAGCGCTCTGATGTGATTGCTGCACCAATTGCACCAAAGGGCTTACCCTGCTACATCCTGCTACATTTTAATAAATTGTGAGGAATTTGCGCCAACATTGCTCCACAACTTAATTTCACCTAACTTTTTTCTGACCACGGGAAAAGTAGCAACTTGTAAAGGATCTGCACAAACGCTGTTATTCTTCTAACTTGCGTATGGAGCGAAATGACACGTCAAAATGTGAGCAATTAGTTGTTCTTTTAAAAGAATCAGAGGCTGGTATAGCATCAGTAGAAGATTTAAAAATTTTATTTCTTGAAAATGCAATGTATGTTACGGAGTATAGATGCCTAAACTTCTACAAATATGTCAAATTAAACGACAAATAAAAAAAAATTCCAAATATAGAAAATGTGCCCCACACTACGGCTATTACTTCTGAAAGTTAGTGTACTAACTACCATTGTCTATTTTTGGTTTTTCGGATGCAAGAAACGCCCATTTTTTGTATGTATCAAGCACAGCTGCATAAGAGATATATTAAACTTGAGACTCGAATTAGTTTCATTGTTTTATACAAGAAATGCTCTTGAAAGAATCGTAAAGTACATTGCTTGCTTACGCACGATGAACATCGCCGATCGGCATACAGCGCGAACATTCGTTCTGGGAAAGCACATTTCTAACCCCTCAAGTTCTCTTCGTTAGTAATAAACAAAAAATAGTCAACAAGAAAACAGAAAAACCAACTAAGAGCAGCGAGCGAGCATGCGGACGAAAGAAGTGAGGAAGAGCGATGCTGGGGGGAGGCAAGAAAGCCAGCGATTGCGTTGGCAAATACTTTGACGTGGGTCCAAGTTGGGTGCCTCGTCACTGACAAGAAGCAGGCTCTTGTGCAACTTGTTGGGTGCACTCATGCGTGCGTCTGTGCAAGGCTTGCTATCAATGCGGGTTGAGGCGGCGTTGCTGCGTGGCATGGATGGTACCACGAGCACGGAGCTCCAAATGGGACGCTTGACAAACGTCTGTGCACGGTGACCCTACTTCGATGGAGACGGACTGACCTTACACTCCGCGGTTATGTTTTAGGATATAAGGCATTCGCCTCCCAATCCCTGAATGGCTCACTGCTTCTGTTATCTTTCTGAATTTGTTCTTTTGTCCACACAAGCTTTTCTTGTAAGCAAAACAAAGTTCTATGTTGTTATCTCCAACGTTTCCCTTTCGCACGCATGTACTACGACTTCGGGGTCGCAGAAATCGGGGAGGAAGTGCGTAAACAAAAAGAAGTGCCTTTCCCTCCTTCGTTTTACTTTGTTACGGACGTCCTCCAACTGTGAGGTCCGCGGTCGCGTCATTCGGGTAGGATGAATGATTGCGGAGTCCACGTTGGGGTATTTGTAGGGTGGGCAATCACTGGGCTTTTTTTTTTTTTTTGGAAATCGATATTTATCAAAAAAGTGGGGTAGGCGATGACTCGAGATATTACGGTGTTGTGTATACAAAGGAGAATTTAAGATTTTCCCACCCTGGGCAGGTGTGAAGCCTTCGCTTCCGCAACATTTTCCTATGGCTCAAATCAATATGAAATCTCAATAAACTAAATACTATATCCACATCGAATGAATAGGAATGCCAGCTAAGCGGAACCCATTGGATCGCATTTGGGGGGCGGGGCGGCCACCGCGGGTGGTTGCCTCCTGACGAGTGGACGCCTGGGTCACGTGTGCCTCTCCCCGCAGATCCTGAGTCTGGACTCAATCCTGGGAGCGGGCGGGCGTTCGGCGGAGGGCTTCCGGCGCCAGGAGCAGCTGCGTGCCCTCTCGCTGTCGGTGTTCTATCAGTGTGCGCGCCTGCTCGTGCACCAGTCAAGCGTCAAGTCCCTCACGGGCTTCGGCCCGGCAGCCGCCCAGGACGACTTCCTCAAGGCCAGGACGGTGAGAGCCTCGGCTGCCTCCGACAGGGCCCTCTTGGCATGCACGCTTCTGTAGACTGTGATGCCAGGGCGTCCGCCCGAAACGTTGTGTATCCCTGTCCGCATATTTTCTTCGAGGGGTACAACCATATCACTTGCGATTATACAGTCTAAGCTCATTACAACAGACACTTGGGTATAGCATACCAATTTGTGAAGTTCGGTTGGTTTCCCTCTACATACCATTGACTCAACTCCATATCTGCATACAACACACTTCTTTTACAGCAGACCGAAATCTTGGTCAAAATCAAGGTCTGCTATAATGAGCGTAGACTGTATGAAGGGTTCTTTGTTTTCAAAGACACTTTTTCTTTTATAAATTTAGTGTTTTTTTGCTGTCAACTTTCGGCGTCTGACAAGAAATTGGTGCTAAGCGGGGCTGAAGAAAATGGAATGCGGGCATGGGTTTCCCCAACGTCCAGGGGCCAGGCACGTGACCCAAGTACCGTATTTTCTCTGCCCACAGGGGCAAATTTTGGTTGAAAGAGACAAATTTTTCCTTGGATAGTCCGCACCCAGCGCTTTGTCGGCACGTAAGGACTTGTTAAACTCGGCACACCTTGACAAATGCATGCTTTGTTAGATCTCAAAGAAGCTTGCATAATATATATCATCACTAACATACTCTTGTCATTCCCTAAATCCGCCCTGTCATAATGAACAATCTAGAAAAAGCAAATCCTTGTATAATTCACACTGTGAAAAATTTTCACTTTTAAATGTGTATACTTGAACAACATCCCTGTATCGAGGAGAAAATGAGTGGTGTGATTCCCCAAGGAAGAGATTTCTTTCCCCCAAGCTCGGGTCTTTTGGTGTTTCCTGATTTTGACAAAATTGGCTAGGGGTTAATTTTTGGGATTTATCGGTATATATTTATTGGAAGCACGAAAACCTAGCTACAGTTAGGTGTGCACGCCACGAGAGGCAGCATGCGTGGTGGATTACACGGGCTATAAAACCTGCAAGATGGTTTAGGAGAAGTGTTGAAAATCTGGCTAGTTGGCACTCGCAGGGCCTAGAAAATGCAGCCGTGACAAGCGCGCATTTCGTACAAAAAGATCGAGGATGTTGGCAGGGCGAAGGTGTATAGACCTAAAAAAGAAAAGAATGCCGCGTGCAGGCTGGTCGTCGCCAACGAGCATAAGTAACGTGCTTGTTTATTATTGTTACGGACTCCGCATCAGAAGTGACCATTAAGGCTGTTGCACAGTCGGTTGTGTCCACCAGAGCAACCAAAACAATGGCAATGACCAGAACACCAAGTAACCGCCACTCATGTCTGCATCACAAAGCTACCTTTTGTATTGCTTGGCACATTGGGTTTGGCGAACGCTTCCCCGGCAACTGTAGTTGCTGTCGTTTCTGTCACTTCGAACGCAAGGAGCGCAACTGTTCGAGTCAGGCTTTAGGCTACCGTATTTACTCGCATAATGAACTCCCTTTTTTTCCCGAAAAATTGACACATATTTGGGTGGGGGGGGGGGGGGTCATTACACGGGGTAAAAGTTTTGCATTTACACATTTCGTGCAGATGTCATATTAGGTGCCAATATGACACGGCAAGGTACTGTGGCACGTCTCAGCATGAAAAGCAGAAAAGCAACACGACCGTTCTTAGGCGATATATATTGCTAGTATGTTGCAAGCACGCTCAGGTTTATCCGCAACCATGCGTATGAGAACTCGTACGAAGTCCAACCCCTGAAGCCCGCTCGAATGGATCAAGTTTCATTCACAAAGGCAAGAGCTGATACGCCGCGGACCTCCGAAGCCTGCTCGCATGGATCAAGTTTCGTTCGCCAACAGGCTACCAGCGTGCACCTCGCTGTGCTGTTCTGTTACGGGTTAAGGGGGGACACTACCCAAATAAGTAAATTTTTGAACCACTTGTCTGATTTAAATTATATTTACAGGGCTTGTTTCTGTTGATGTTGAGAACATTTCAGCCAATTTTTGTTAACCTGGGTGAAGTACAAAAAAAAATTGCAAACGTTCCAAGACGAAAGTGGGCGTGTCTGTGTAGGAAAACTATCGTTTTGAAATTACTTATAAATTTGTTGTTTTCATCTGTTACATTGCATTAGGACAGTTCAGAGCAGATAACTATGGAGCTAAATTTCTATGTTATACCATCTTTCCTGACAAAAAAGCCACGTAAACACAAATACATTTTTTTAGATTTCCATCCTTTGTCCAAAATTTTAGTTCTTGAGCATGAAAAATGACAAAAATAAAAAATACAAGCTCATAGTTATCTTCCCCTTAAAATTTCACCCCAGAAAAACTCATAAAAATGAATCCAAGTTGCATAATAACAAAACGATAGTTTTCCTAAAGTGAAATTTATGCCAAAAAGTGGAATGGAGAAAATTGCGTTCAAAGTGCTCCAACCCCTGCCTTTTCTTTAGCATCGGAGGACCGAAAATAATTTATAAAAAATTAACTATGCAGTGTAAACTAATGAAACTTTCTGGGAATATTCTCTAGATGTTGGTGGATGTAAATATGACATTTTTCAGAATCAACTTTTTTTTGCAGAAATTGTTTTTTCTGGGTAGTGTCCCCCCTTAAATGAACGCATTTACCCGGAGTATGTGATATTAGGCCTAACCACTTTCACGATTTCACCGTCCAAAAGCGGACCACAGACAACGGCTTGTTTGTTGACATCGATGCATCCGATAGGCGAAGAATGTCCGGGGCTCCGCAATTCCTCGACCCAAGCTTCGTCAAATGTGCGCGACACTCTGTTTCCCGGTTGATCACTTCCGCAACTACACACTTGAGGCCACTACGAGAGAGGCTTAGTTTGGCTCGACTTGGCCTGACCGTTTCGCAGCAAAAGAAAACTGGCCTGGTGGCTCGCTAAATTGGATGCAATTTGAGACTCGCGGATCCGAAAATTGGAGGTGCGTTTATTACAGGAGGGGAAAAAAAAAAGTCAAAATACTGATGCCCGTGTGGAGGGTGTGTTTATTATGTGAGTAAATACGGTAACTGGCACTGGTAATCTGCCCAATTGTTACAATGGTGTGACGCTATTCCTGTAAACCAGCCCAGCTTTCAACGTCCTTGATACTTGTGCATACTATACTTGCCTGCTTACCATATTTGCACGAATCTAGGCAAGTTTCGAAGCCTCTAAAAAGGAAAAAAAAAAAAATTATTTCTTTGATAACGCGAACATAAAGTTACCGCACTCAAGGATATAGCAGAAATGAAAAGAATATTGTGTATGTTTTGACTGCACTGGTCGTCACCGCTCAGCTCCTCACTGTCGAGTTCAAGTTGGCGACTGCGGAGATATGTCTGTCTCGTAGTTACTTTTTCTTCGAGGTGAGCTCTTGGTCTGCAAGCTATTCCTTTTGAACCACAGGGCACTGTTTCAGGTCGGGGCAGGAAGCGGAAGAACTAATGCGCAAACGCCAGAACTCTGGGCAGAAACTAAAAAAGGCCCAGGCAGAACAAAGACTGCTAGAAGCGCAATCCCTCTCCCTTGCTAGGGCCTTTGCTATGGTCGCTCTGCATGTGCACACACCTCGCATTTCATGGTTGCATAAACCCGGCCAGCAGTCTGGACTAGACTCGTGTCTTCACTTGCCTCGGCTTAGCTTGGCTTGGAATGGCCAGTGTCCCGCACTCCCATGCGGCGCATCATGTTTTGGCCATTTTTTGAGGCCGCGTGCGTTGTACAAACGTGAAAATGACGGAAAATGCTTTGAACATTCTCTATTTCTCCTTTTGCGTCGTGCAAGGACTACTAACTTTGCTCCCCACAGCCCCGTTTCTGCTCGCACCCAATCTCCTGCATTCAGTTTGAGAAATGGCTTTCACCCGACTCGAACGCCTCGTGGCCATGTTCAGTTCCGAATATAACACGAGGTGTGTTTTGGAGCATGTAATTTCGAAGGAAAAAAACTCGCCTTATATTCTTGCAAATACGATACTTCTTGTCTTCTTTTGAACTGTCTTCCAAGATACCAAAATATCAAAATCATAAAGTGTGTTAAGGGGGGACACGGCCTCAAAATTCAATTTTTTTCCGAAAAAATGAATTTTTTAAAAATTGAATATTTGGGTTTACTAACTTTTCACGCACAGTTTCAGAAAGTTTTATTGATAAATATGCAGTATTTATTTAACTAAAAATTATTTTCGGCGCGCTGGCGGCCGCATGTGATGTCCCGCCGAGCGAGCAAACGGCGAGGTTTGGCGTTTTCAAACTAGGACTACTCCGCGTCCGTTCAGCGTAGCTGGGACATTTTAGCCTCGTTGGAAGCACCGTTTCTTCTAGTTTTTGCCGCGAGAAGCTTCCTACGTTAGAGGGTATCGTCATCCCAGGAGAGCCCCGCGCATCCAAGCACAAAAAAAAAAATAGGCAAATGCGATACGAGCGATCCCATTGTTTGAAAACCGAAACCGCACTCACGATTGGCTGTGCTTGGTGATGTCATGCTTTGTTTACGGTGATCGTGCGTTTTCGTCAGACTCTTTCGCTCCGGATCGTATCACTACATCGCAGCTCGTTAGATTCGTTTTCCTCGTTGTTCTTGGTAGTTCTGCCGAGGAATGCCTGCCATCAAAGCTAGCATTCGTTGTAGCTTTGGCCGACGTTCTCGGTCTCAAAAAAAAAAAGAGAGGTTGGTCGGGAGAACGCCCCGCAAGAGGCGCTGTACCGTCTCGCCGCCGCTGCTGTCGTCGCCGTCACCACCTTCATCGCCGGCGTCGCAATCGTCCAGTTCCCAGCTGACATCGGAGCCTGTTGCATCAACATCAAATGCTGAGGACCATCCAGCTTTACTGAATCGGATATCCTGACAGCGTTTGAGCGGAAGCTTGGTCTTCTTGAGTGCAATGTGGACGACGTAGAAATGGCAAACACTCCTGTTGAAGGACCTCCGGAAGGCTTTCGCCTTCTCAATGTGTCGGCCGTGCAAGCGCTAATCGACGCTTTGGACTGCCCCAAGTGCCATGGAGGAGAACTCAGTTTGCGGGAGTCGGGGACTGGTGCCGATCTGCAATTTGTTGCTGGATGCGCGTCTTGCAGAGACATCGTTGCCACACCGCACTCACCATCAATCGGCAAGTCTCGTCAAAGCGAACTAGCGATGCGTCTGGGCGTTGTAGGAGGAGACTGTGGAATTGGCTTTACGAAGCTCACGAATCTCTTCGGTGGCCTAAATGCTCCGCCTCCTATGCATTTGAAGTCTCATCAGAAGATTGCGGCTAAAGTGCACGACGCGGCGATGCTGGCGGCGAGCGAAGTAATGAAGGAAGCTGCAGAAGCTGTCAGAAAAGGACAACTGGCCACGGAAACCAGTGCCGAGAACGATCTTCTAGACATGTGCATAACCTTTGATGGCACATGGCATAAACGCGGACACACATCACAGTTTGGAGTTGGCGTTGCTATTGAGCTGGAGACTGGTTTTGTTATCGACTTTTCGGTGAAAAGCAAGTACTGCCATGGGTGCCAGTTGGGCCCCAAGGAAGGAAGTGACGGATTTGAGGAGTGGGCACAAAGTCATACAGAAACCTGCCAGAAAAACTTTGAGGGATCTTCGAATGCGATGAAAGTGGCGGCGGCTGCAACCATCTTCAGCCGCTCCGTCGAACTGCATAACATGCAGTATGTCGCTGTCCTGTGTGACGGCGGCAGCAAGGCTTTCACACACGTCGCTAGCCTTGAGCTTTACGACAAGCCTATCCAGAAAGAAGATTGCGTAAATTATGTACGCGGGATTGGAAAAGCTGAAAAAGGCCAAAAAAGGTCTGGAGGAAAAGGAAAGCTTACCAATGTCGTCATGAAGAAGCTCACAAGTTACTACGCATGTGCCTTGAAGGACAACGCCCCTGACGTCAAGAAGATGCAGCGAGCTGTCATTGCCAGCCTTCTTCATACCTACTCCACAGACCAGGAGCCCCGACACCTAGCCTGTCCGGAAGGCAAAGAATTGTGGTGCCACCATAACCGCCACAAGGCTCTCAAAGCAGCAGGGAAGCCTACGGCAGCAAAACCACACCGACCAGCCTTCTCTAAAGATGTTGCAAAGAAACTTGTTCCGCTGTATAACCGGCTTGCAGAGCAGGACTTGCTCACTCGATGCTCACGCATGGAGACCCAAAATGCAAATGAGAGTTTTAACGCGCTCATTTGGAAGCGTTGCCCTAAAACAGAATTTGCCTCACCGTAGAGACTGCAGTCGCTCTAGCAGTGCTAGAGTTTAACCTTGGTCCAAGAGGCTTCGAAAGGGCACTCCTGCAGATGGAGATCAGCCCTGGAAGCCAGAAGGAGAAGCACTCCTACCAGGCGACTCGGGGCAAAATCGCGAAGGCAAAGGACCGGACACTTCACTCATCGAAGGCTATAGTCCGGGAGCAGCACAGCCTCGAAGCCGAGGGTACCACCTATGCTCCAGGTGCATTCTAAGCCCCTGGGACCTACCGAGAATAAAGAAGCCTCAAGCTGAAACGTCAAATGCATTTATCTCAGTTTCACTTTTTGGCGGGTAACGTTGTGTGAGGAAATGTATCATTTCACATCCTGAATATGGAAAGGCATCATTAAGGGTATTCCCACACTGAAATTTTCCAGCGAACAAGTTAAGGTACCTATAGTCTAAAAAAAACTCACTCTTTCATCGTAAAATTAAAAAACTTTAAACACACACAAAAAAAAAAAATTAATTGTGTTTTTTTATTTTATAATTACATTTTTCGGAACTTATTTTTACCTTAAGTTGCAGTATGTGTATTGCACTACCGTAATATCCCGAGTCATCGCCCATCCCCGAGCCATCGCCCACCCCATTTTTTGGGCCAATATCGATTTCCGAAAAAACACCGAGTCATCGCCCACCCCTTCAAATACCCCAGCGCGGACTCTGCGATCCGCGAACACTCATCCTACCCGAATGACGCGGTCGCGGACCTTACAGTTGGAGGACGTCCGTGACAAAGTAAAACGAAGGAGAGAAAGACACTTCTTTTTGTTTACGGATTTCCTCCGTGAGCGACCCCAAAGTGGTCGTGTATCCGTGCGAAAAGAAAACGATGGAGATAACAAAATAAGAGTTTGTTAACGTAACCGCCGAGTGTTAGGTCAAAGTCTGTCTCCGCCGAAGTAAGGTCACCGCGAACCCGCTCCTTCTTCCCGCCCGTCGCGACCGCGGTTGTGCAATATTTTAGGCAAAGCCAAAGCGTAAATAAAGCTTTGCTGGGACGTCCTACACAGACGTTTGCAGAGCGTCCCAACCGTGCATTGATAGCCCGCCGTGCACGGGCGCACGTATGTACGCACCAAACAAGTTGCGCAAGAGCTTGCAATTGACAAGGCGCCCGACTTGGCCCGACGCCAAAGTATTTGCCAACGCGACCGCCGGCTTTCCCGCTTTCCCAGCATTGCTCTTTGTCGCTTCTTTGGTCCGCTCGCTCGCTGGTTGCGCCTGGTCGGTTTTTCTATTTTCTTGTAGACTTTTCTTTCTTTTTTACTAACTAGGAGAACATAATGGTGACATTCTTTCATGGAACAAACGTTCGCGCTATATGCAGATCGGCGGTGTTTCTAGCGCGTATGCAAGCTACGGACTTCGCTATAGTAAAATATTCTTTCGTGAGCATTTTTTTCTATAAAATAATGAAACTAAATCGAGTTTTGAGTTTGATGTATCTATTGTGCATCAGCGCTAGATACGCAGAGAAAAATAGGCGGTTTTTTCCGTTTTTTTTTCAAGTGTTTGTGCTCAACCACCGAGACATGGCCCACCCCACTTTTTTAACGAATTTCAGGCGGTAGGGGGGTGGGCGATGACTCGGGATATTACGGTAAATATTAAGGGGGGATAGTACCCCGACATGTGACTTCGAGATGTTCTGCCACTATCTCAGCTCCTTCTGGGTAAAAACGGTTAAAACTTTCTGGGCATATTTTGCTGTCCTTCTAGCTATACCAAGCAAAATATTATTTAAAACTATTGAGGTATATTGTATTTATAATAATTTGAAATAGAAGGTTTCTTGACTTAGTCAAGGAACATTTAAAATATAAATAATACTAATAAAACGATGAAACTTCTCTCACACTTTCTATACAGTATTGGCATTTGACTGAACTAAAATAATAAATTTGAAATGCTTAGGTCGTTCAAAATCAATTTTTGAACTTTGATACTTCAACTTAGGTGCTTTCTGCCTTGAGGAACTTGTAAATAAAAAAAAAGTTTTCATGCAAATATTATATTTTTAGTTCAGTAGATGCGCAGGTTATGCAGCAAAACACGAGAGAAATATTACAAGAAAAGGTTCATTTGTTCGAGAGAAAATGTTCCTTATACGAGCAAAAACAGTGTTTTTCACAAATCACTTTTGAAAGTTTAGTTGTTCAACGCTCAGCCTAAAATGCACCTGGTGCGTAGTCTTCAGCATCATTTGCCTCAGATTTCTTCGCGAAACCTTTCCTTGCACTTGCTTTGGCCTTCCTTCTTCGCTTGCTCTGAGCAGAGATCCGAAAGTCCCTTTTGGCTATTCGGGCCTTGTCCATCCTGTTGAGGGCCACATTACAAAACACTCCAGGTGTGACGCCTAGAGCCTAAAACACTTGCTTCCTTGCTTGGTGGCCATTGTTGTAGAAGCTAACCGCGTCATACACGGCAGCTTTTACTGTGCATGCGCCCACAAATGTTGTCTTTGGGCACCTGCACCAGATCAGGTTATTCAGGGACTCGTTAGACTTCTGGGTTCGCCCATGAAGCCACCTTCGTAGAAGCTCCGGTGCTGCATTGTGAAAACTAATTTTTCACATTGTCTTGTCAGTAGCATCAATTAGAAACAACTTTCCTTTCCAGTTGCACCGTTTTTTTTCAATGAGAGTTGCAATGTAAAGAAAGCTTTCTAAAGCCACGCCCACTTTAAAATGCGGATAGTATATTGATGACACCATTTTTAAATTACTTCTGGTGCTGCTACGAGCGTGCCGTTTGGAGAATATGTTCTGTATGAACCATAGTATTTTTTGGTTCTAATATTAAAAAAACTATTTTTGGGTTGTATTTACCTACCACCCCCCTTAAAGCACAGATTTCATGAATTGCTACTACAATTTTTCTTTGATACATTACTTAGGGAGGGCCCTCTTTTCTGGAGCCTGAGAAATGTAATATGTTGCGCAGTTGGGGTACAATGTTGAAAGTTTGTTTGTTATCTTCTCTCACAGTGTTCCATTTACCCTGCAAATTTCAATCAATTTGGATAAAGGGTTCAAAAGTTGATACCCCCAGGCCATGTCCCCCCTTAAGGCCAGTTTACGTGGAAAGTTTGCTTACGTTATGTTGAGATACAGATGCAAGTTATTAGAACATGTGTTTGGTGTGTAGCTTGCAAAGCTACCTCCTATATGGGTTACTATTCAAAGGAGAGACGTCCCGCTGACTCGTGGTCGTAACTTGACGTAAGCTTCCGTAGCATGCTGCATTGTACACCAAACATGCCGTGGGAACAGGCCTTTATGCTTCATGCTCTGTCATCAGGGCATCGTATACGGTTAACTTTTGCAAAACATGAAGTCTCTCCATGCATTCTTTTTTTCGGCTTCTAGGCCTTCCTACAGTGAGTTTCACCTTACATCCAACGGATGAGACGGCAGCAAACGAGCCATCTCGTCTCTCTCCGTGAATGCTACACGTGGTACACTCTCCGCCTGTCGCTGTGCCCCACTCCCACGGCCTTGGATGGGTTCAGATGGCTTGTAGCATCTGCCGCGGTTGTTTGTGAGGTGAAATGGAGTATAGAACAGTAAGCTGGGCTATCTTGTGGAGAGCTTGTGTGGGTTGGGCAGCCCCAAAGTGACCGGTGTGGGGTTTTTCGTCTCTCCCAGGGAGGGAATGCCCCCGTGAAGGTGTGGAGCCCCCCGTTTGTGCTGGCACCCCAGAAGGACAAGCAGACGGAGCTCGGGGAGATGTTTGGGGACCGCCGGGAAAAGAGTGGCATCCTCTTCTGTGCCTACTGCCTCACGGAGGACCAGCGCTGGCTCCTGGCCAGCGTGAGCAACGACAAGGGAGACCTGCTCGACAACTGCTCCATCAACATAGAGATCCCCAACAGGTGTGTGTCGGGAACGATCCACGCCACTCTAGTTCCTTTTGCTAGAAGGATTGTCACCCTCTTCGTCCTTTAACCCTATTTTCTGCCATTTGTATTGACAAAAGGTGCTCTTGTTCGTGTGTACGCAGGTATGTACGTGGAAACGGCCGTGGCATAATGTTGCCATTTACAGTTTGTTTACTGCTAAGTTTGAATTTGTGTCTGTAGGGATAGGGAAAGTAACTTCAAGGACCGTAGGTGAGAACAGAAAGCTTATGGTGCAAGCGTTCCCGAAACGCAGGTTTGGGGACTACCGTAACACTTACCATTTGAGGAAAATTCAATATTTTTGTGGCCGCCATATTGAATGTTATTCCCAAACCGAGTAAGGGCCCCCTTCCTATTTTTATGGAATAATCTCTAAATTTGAAGGGTGCACTTGCTCGGTATTTTACGGTAGTTTGATTGCATTGATTTAATTAGAAGTCATTTATGGATGCAACTGACTGACTAGTGATGCAAAGGAACATTTCCTTGATTTGAAAACATCTTGTGCCACGACGTAGGAGCAAACCCAAGGAACCGATCTGCCGAAAATGTGAAACGGAGTGCTGTGTTGTTGCCTACTAGCATAACTAGCGGTACCGTGGTCTTCACTGGAGAAAGTTTGAGCATTCCACATTCTCGTCACACGCCCGTAAAATTGTCTTTTGTGGACTATTTTGAAAATTCTTGTATCTATCTTTATCTCGTTGAACTGCTCCTGGCAAATGTCTTTGTGTATATCTTGATTATTTTAAAAATTCTCCGAAAAACTTGCTTCCCCAGTTTCCGTCACAGAGCAGCACAGCGAGAATAGGGCGATAGCGATGTTAGGGGAAGCGCACATATCATGCACGTAACACGGGCCGCACCTCTCGAATGGCATGGGCAACCACTGTAACCGTTTCGCGCCGACCCCGAGAGATGGCGCAGCGGCCGCGGGCGGGAGCGGCAACGCGGAGTGAGGAAGAGAGTCGTCGGGCGGAACGCGAGGCTTAGCGACAGGGGCGATACCGCTGCGCGCGGGTACGTGAAAGAATAAAGTGTTTGAGAGATTTCTTGCGTGTGAGCACGTCCGAAGCAACCAGTGACGAGGTGCGTCACAGCGAGAACACCTCGGAGACGAAGTAGGAGAGTCCAAGCAAGTGCCACTGCAGAGCAGCATGGAGAGGGTTTTGAAACACTTGCAAGCGTGCCAACGCCTGTCTGCAACAGCAATTTCTTTTTTTCTTTTTTTTTTTTTTGAAGTGCCCAAACAGATTAAGGGCACAGAATATATTGATATAATGTCTGTCAGGGGCGCAAAAAAGTGCAGTGCAAGAGTGAAAAAACCTGGATTTACGTATAATTATACACCAATTCAATTTAGCGGAGGAATGCCTCTCGCTAACTTTTGAGCTTAAATAATAAATAGGTGCTAGGACCTCACGTTCTGTGCATAGAGATCAAGCATCCACGCTTTTCGCACTTAGTAAGGGTGAGAGTTTAGATTGTGTCCTGCCTCCCCCCCCGAGAACGTTGGTTTACTTCCAGTCTCTTGTCCGCTTTTCTTTGCTGGTTATCAGTTTGTGCGACTGAATCCCAGACGAAGGGGCACCTCGTAACACTTCCCCCCCCCCCCCCCTCGAACCACAGGACGCGTCGCAAGAAGGCCTGTGCCCGCCGCCTGGGCCTTCACAAGCTGCTGGACTGGTTGCTGGGGGTGGCGGCATGCGGGCCCCGGGGAGCCGGGGCCATCACCCAGCCCTGGCGCCTGGTGGTGGGGCGCCTGGGGCGGGTGGGCCACGGCGAGCTCAAGGAGTGGGCCGCCCTGCTGGGGCGCCGGTCGCTGCTGCGCTACTCGCGCCGCCTCCGGGAGCTGTGCCACCAGTGCGCTGCGGGGGGCGCCTCCTCGGCGGCCGGAGGCGGGGCCGGGGCCCCCGGGGTCGGAGGCCCCTGCGTGCTGTCCGCCTGTCTGGTGTCCCTGGAGCCCGACGGGGCCCTGCGCCTCTTCCACGACCGCTACACGCCCGACGAGCGGTTCAGCTCGGCCTGCCACTCGTGCGACCTGAGCACGCCCCAGGACGCCTCCGCCACCCACATCCTGGTCTTCCCCACCTCGGCCACCACCCAGGTGGGCCTCTCCCGCCTTTCTCGCGGCCGCTGCCTTTGTTGGCCGCTTTGCCAGTCTTGCATCTGCGTCTGTGTCGCATCGTGCGACGACGTGGAAAGTGCAATGCCAGGCACAAGTGGGTTTTTGAACAAAGGTTGTGCGCTAAGGTATGCACAAGGTTGTGCGCGGGGTTTGCTCCAAATACGCCAGGCTTTGGAGAGATATTGTTGCGCAGAATCGACGTTGCCAGCTGTCACCAGCTTCTGACCTCGTGGCAGGCAGAAAATGCGTGATGCACTTTCCGTTGTCCCGCTTGCTAAAACGGCTCACAGCGGGGCGATACGACACTGCAACGATCACGTAATGCCATATCTGTCGCTCGGAAGGCACATTTCAGGGCCGTAACCGTCGCAAACGGCGCCCGTGCGACTAGACACCAAAATGTGGCGGCGCTGTGCTCACGAGCCGTTGTCGAGTAAACAGATGTGGCATGTCGCAAACGGGCGAATTATCATGATATTAGCCTCTGAGAATGTAGAAAAAAAGTGTCGGTGCACTGAGCCTAGCTTTCTTGTGACTGCAGTAGCGGGCAGTAGCGCAAAGAACCGTTGACAGTTCTTTGCGAGAGGATGGCAACGGGCCAAATCAATTATGTGTTGTGTCCACGTCGGTTATTTTACGTCAGTAAGTTGCATTGGTTGCAATTAAAGAACACTGTAGTCTAGTCCTGCACATAATACAAAAATATGTAAAGTATTGTGGAAGGTGCTCGTGCTTAGCGTTTTAAAGGGTTTTAGTTTCAAGAGTACCATTTTTGCTCGCACATACTAGATCAGCCTGTTTTGGTAAAAACGCAACGTGGAAATTGGGCAGTCAACTAATGCCCCAACCTCAGAAAGGCTCGTCGTGGGCAGGGGCCTTTTAGTGCAGACTTCGGTTCCCTTCAAGTTTGTTTGCGGAAGTTTGGAAAAAAAACTTTCTAAAACACCTAAAGCTTCCCAAGCAAGTGAACATCAACTAAAGTACAGTAGGACCTTGTCAATGTTTTTCAGGTGACTGCAATAAAAAAAAACAAAAAAAGAAACTAAAAAAAAAAAAACAAAAAAAAAACATGATGCCTAAAAATGTAACCAGTTACACCTTTAGGAACCTGCAGGGCGGTTTCACGTGACATACTTTCAGTTGGAACTCTCATCGGTCGCCATGTTGATGAACTTTCGCCCTATGACTTTTTATGTGCAGACACAGTGTTTTCCAGTTTTGAGCAAAGTAGAAAGTTGAGCCAGTTGGTTCATGGTTCTTTAAATAATTAAAAGCGCCGAAAAAGACAAGGACAAAGAAATGGAACGACACAAGGCGCCTTGTGTCGTTCCACTTCTTTGTCCTTGTCTTTTTCGGCGCTTTTAATTATTTAAAGATCCAGTTTTGAGTTTTTTGGTGTTGTGATCAACTGCACCATCCAGAGTAGTCGGGAACATAAAAGAGCATCGGCTACTACTTGTACCAATCTTTATTCGACCCTGAAGCGAGCCAACGATCAAGAAGTCGAAACGTCAGTGGCCAAAATGGCCCCTTTAAATGCCGCCAAAACAACTCCGAAAAAAAAAAAAGTGGAGCTGGCATTGGTTTATGGAGCCTAAACACGTCTCCGGTCGTACTTGCCGAGTTCTGTCATCGACGGAGTCGCTTGCCATGCTTGCACGTTTCACCAGTCCCAAAAACGATGCAACAACTAAGCGTCTGTGTGCAAAGTAATGTGGAAAGTGGCAAATGCTGTTCATCAACATAGTGGGACAACAACAGGAAGTGAAAAGGTGTTTCATGGAACTGCCCTATTGGTGAGACAGAAAGTATAACTCACGCGGCAGTTTCATTTTATATGGCTTCCACTACTGCGGAGAACTATCGGATTCAAATACTGGTCAATATTAACGCAAAATATGTTTTAAGGCTGGTTTTGAAGTCTAGAGTGTCACAAAATGTTGTAAAAAAAATATGGTAACATGGCCAGTTTTTTTCACAAGTAACTATGTCTCTCAATGGGGATCACAACGAAATTTCCAAGCTTATCGAGTGAACCCGGCTGCTCTTGGGCGGATCGGATGTCGTTGAGGTGACGGTACGTCTGGGGTGCGCAGTCGTCGCAGGCCACCTTCCAGCAAGACCACATGGACCCCCTGTCGACGACCCTGGGGGACGACGACGAGATCTTCAAGTCGCTGACGGAGGACATAGCGGTGGGCAACGACTTCAACGACATCCTGAACTGGACGGACAGCCCCGAGGCCCCCTGCTCCCCGACCAGGCGCTCCTCCCCTCCGGGCTCCCCGGGGGCCATGATGGGCGGGGGCCCCGGCGGGCGCCAGTCGCCCTTCCAGCACGGGGGCGCCCTCAGGGTGAGTGGGCCGACGTGCACCAACCGGGAGATGGTTGCAGTCTTCGGTCATCCTGCCTCTGGCGTGAGCTTGGTACCCTCCACGCCGCTCAAACTTGTTGCGCGCGTCCGAGGCCGGGCATTCGAAAGACGCGCCTGGCCGTTCTCTTTCCGCGTGTGACTATGGGGAGCCCGGAAAAGGCGGGAAATTTATCTTTTACCCTGCAATATTCGAAGCACATCTGTACATTGAAGTAGCCATGCTAAAAGAGTAGATTGTGAGCACGAAGCAGATAGTGGTTTGGGCCAGATATCTTCGTATTGAACATCGAACATGGGGATGAGGGAGAGCAATGTGGGCGGCAAAAAGTGTGAAGGCAAGACAAAGATATTGAATTGTTTTTCAGTCTTTCACTAGCGTGCACCATGCTTAAAAACGAAACTTTGGCTAAACTAGCGAAGGTGGTTCCCAACCTTCCTCTTGTCTACTTCTCGGTTTGGTTAATTTTAATGCAGCTATATGAACTGCAGCATGTAACCGAGAGATTTGTCGCGGCTATCCTAATCGCTTGCTATATGCAAATAATCATCCTTTTAATTCAAAATTTGAAAGAAAAAAAAAAAAGCTGAAATTATGAACGTGGGCTGTCGAGACATCGCTGCCCAACGTTTACACTCGAATAATCGTGACTGGTTAGCCCCTTCCAGTGCACTTGTTACCGAGCGCTTGTGCACTGCGGGAGAGCGATAACCACGAAGCTCGCAGGCTCCGCGGGTATCGCTTTCCCGCAGTGCACGTGTGTTTGTGAGAAGCCCACTCAACGGGGCTAACCCGTCGCAATCAATGCTTGGAAAAGTATCAATGTTGCAGTTACCTCGAACCGAATATAAAATGATGTATTATTCAAAACTACTATTAACGAAATTTGAATATTCGTGCAACACTACATTGAAGCAAATCTCCACATAATACGCACACAACAAATACTTTTTTTGTTTCCCGGGTTTACCAAAATCATCGAAGGTTTTTTGTTTTTTTTTTGTTTCGTTTTTTTGTGACACATTGCAAGTTTGGGTGGGCTATCTCTCAAGACGTCAGGATAGATGGGACCGCCCTGAGCCTTGGTGCATGCTTGTGTGCAGGGCCCCGGCAGTGGTGGAGCCGATGCCCAGGAGGAGCCCATGCAGCTGCTTCAGCAGCCCTTGGCCCTGGGCTACTATGTGTCCACGGCACCCACGGGTAGCCTCCCCCGCTGGTTCTGGGCGTCCTGCCCACACCTCAGGGAGTCCTGCCCTGTCTTCCTCAAGGTGAGCTTCCACCCATTTCCATTAACTTTTTTTCATTCAATCAAAATACTAAAGGGTATTTTCATTTGATGAAGCGGCGGAGCAGAGGGAAAAAAAAGCTTCAAACTTGAAGCTCGGCCCCATCAAGGGCGGTAGACGTATGTAATATGTAGAGCGCACAAACAAAAACAAAAATCCCGTATTTTATTTCTTGTGTTTCTTCGCTCGAAAGACGGGAGCGGTTATTTGCGGGATTTTACAGATTCCGAGACTGGTCACGCGCAGCAACCTTATGCTGATAGTTATTTCACCTGGCATCGCTTTATTTGTTGATTTATTTGCTTCGTGCCACGACAATAAGTTTTGTCTGAGAAACCTTGCACAACCCTACGTGGCCTTTTTTCTCGCCTCCAATGTTGGTTTAAGTGCTGTCAATGTTATTGTTTCGAGCGGAGTGTCGAGCCAGTAGTGATCCTTCCGCTGATGGCCACTCTCTTTGCTCGACAGAGCGCCCTGTTGCTGCACTGTCCGACGGTGCACCAGAATCACGACGACCTCTTGCACGGGAACCCTCACTTGCGCAACTACCACCCCCTGGACTCTACGTTGACCACAGACGTGCTGCGGTGAGTCTCACAGACTTGTTTAGGGTGACTCGGGCAATGGTGGATAGGCAAGCAAACTGGTGGAGCTCTAGCACCATGAGGCTGGCACAAGCACACGGGCATCAAATCCTCAAGTTGTTTCGGATTGAGACAACTCAATCTTGGAACCATTTTGTTTTGCTCGGCTGCAGCTTCAGTTTTATTAAAGGGGCACTGACACCCCAAAGGTCGTATTTTTTTTATTGTCTAAAACGATGCAAGTTGCAGTCATAGACACGCAAAAAAAAAACGCATCGCAAAAAAAAAATTTTCTCTCGCGCGCGCGCGCCTTTTTATTTTTGGTGTTTGATTTTCCCGCCTCTCGCCTCCTTGCTTCTTTTGATCGGTGACGTCAAGAATCATGAAATTTAGAAGCTTTGTAGGCGACATCTCTATAACATTTAATTACGGCAATCCTAAAACATGTTTTTTAACGCAATTACGAACGCACCACGGCCCTTCTTTTTGAAATACCAAAAATCGGGAGTTTGTTGTGGTGCCGTCTCTTGGATTTGTATCCTCCAACGGAAAACAGGCGACACCGCTCAAAACCGGTCCGCCGCAACGCCGGCGCCCGCTCCTTTCCTCCTCGCTTTGGGTCGCCATGGCAACAGCAGGAAGTGGTGAAAGAAAGTGAACTCTCAGGGCTCCGCAATTTTTGACGTCAAGGCACCGGCGCCGATCGCGCGGGAACTTTGAATTCGGCATTTGGAAATTGTTTTTTTACTTCACAAATACTGAATTCCCAAATTTCAAATTTTGAGGGTAATGTCCCGGCATCGTTTTCAATAGTTTCGGATACTAAAAAAAATATGATTTTGATGTGTCAGTGCCCCTTTAAGGGGGGACACGGGCTCCAATTCCTGATTTTTTTTTAAAAAGTGCATTTTTCAAATTCGTTATAACTAATTTCAGAAACTAATAATGCACCCTTCCATAAAATTTCATGCCTGTACGTCGAGTATTTAAGCCGATATAAAAGATTTTCGACAGGTCGGCGACGCGCCTCCTATCCCCGAGTCGTTCCGTCGCGCGATCGGTTGACAATATTCGCCATTTTCAAATGCTGACCGCTCCGCGCCCATTTGGCCTACCGCGATGTTGATACCCTCGTTGGAAGCGTCGTTTCTTCGGGCTTTTATGACGATAGTAAACTTCGTTCGAGAGTAAGCATGAACAAAGCCAGAGCCCTTTTGTTGTCGGCTATAATTGGCTTGAAAACGAAACTCAAGCCTGGATTGGCCCGTGACACCCCACGTGATCCGCTCGCCCGAATTGTTTTTTCGTCTCGTTGCTTCGGCCGAATGTTCGCTTCTTTTGCTTGCTCGGTATATATTTCTCACAGTTTTATCGTTTTATCTACGGTCTCGTCGCCGCGATGCCGGCCGTTAAACGGCATTCCCTCCAAGCCTTTGGAGCTCGCCGCCGTTCTGTGAAACCAAGAGGCTCGTCAGGTGGACGCGTACGATGCGCTAACCCTAACGGAACCACGTCGGACGCGTCGGCTGCTTCGCTCCCGAGCGCGTCACCATCTCCTGGTTCGTCGCTTCAGGACCTGACCTCTGAACAACCAGCCGACGTTTCTTCGTCTCTTCCTGAAGATTATGAGGTTGTGGAGGAGCTCACGGCGATAGAGCGCAAGATCTCGCTACTGCAAGAGAGCGATCCCGCTGCGGATCCCACGGACGCTCCCGCTGCTCCCGACGGTGCCCCAACCGAAGGTTATCGTCTGGTTGCTTTATCTGCCATCGAGACACTGGTGTCCGCTCTTCTGTGCCCGGTGTGCCGTGGATCAGACCTTCAGCTAAGCGAGAGTGGCAAGGGAGTTCAGGCGCAATTCGTCGTCGTCTGCCCAGACGGCGGGGACGTTGCTCGGACGCCGCACTCGTCGACCATCGGACACTCGCGGCAGAATGAATTGGCAGCACGGATTTCTCTTGCGTCTCGTGAATGTGGAATCGGATACACGAAGCTTACGAACTTTTTTGCCGGTATCAATGCTCCTTCGCCCATGCATCTCCGATCTTATCAAGATCTGGGAGAAAAGGTCCACGACGCCTCAGTGAGAGCAGCCAGCAACGTAATGAGCAAGGCAGCAGAAGCTGTACGAGAAACACGCGAGTCAGATAGCGGTGATTTGATGGACGTTTGTGTGACATACGATGGCACTTGGCATAAGCGTGGGCACACTTCACACTTTGGTGTTGGAGTTGCCATCGAGCTTGAGACTGGACTAGTTTTGGACTATTCTGTCCAGAGCAATTATTGCCATGGATGTAGCCTTGGACCTGCGCAGGGATCTGACAGCCATGAAGACTGGGCCGAGAATCACAGGGCAGTATGCCAGAAGAACTTTGCTGGGTCTGCAAATGCGATGGAGCTGCAAGCAGCAGACGAGATCTTCCGTCGGTCCGTCCAACTCCACAACCTGCAGTATGTGACAGTGCTGTGCGACGGGGACAGTAAAGCCTTCAACCATGTTGCGGGACTTGATCTTTACGACAAGGGCATGAGGAAAGAAGACTGTGTGAACCACGTCGCCAAAAGAATGTATGCTGGCATGGAGGCCCTAAAGAAAACAAAAAAAGGTCTCGGTGGAAGGGGCAAACTAACGAACCTTGTCATGAAGAAATTGACCAGCTACTATGCATCTGCACTGAAGACCAGTGCCCCAGACGTTCCAGCCATGCAGAAGGCAGTGTTTGCCAGCCTCCTCCACAGCTACTCCACCGATGAAGAGCCCCGGCATCAGGCCTGCCCTCATGGAGAACATTCCTGGTGTCACTTCAATCGCCAGAAAGCGCTGGAGGCAGCAGGAGAGCCGACGAAGCCACAGCCACACCGCCCTGCCTTCTCCAGAGACATCGCAAAGGAGTTGGTGCCCCTCTACAATAGACTCTCAAGGCAGGACCTACTCGAGAGGTGTGCTAGGATGGGAACGCAGAACAACAACGAGTCGTTCAATGCTCTGGTGTGGAGGCGGTGTCCCAAGACGGATTTCGCCTCTCGAAGAACTGTGGAAACTGCCGTGGCTCTTGCCGTCCTGGAATTCAACCTGGGCCCCAAGGGCTTTGAGAGGGCCCTTCATGAAATGGGAATCGAGCCCGGAAGCCACCAGGTTCAGCACGCTGACAAGGCCCTCCAAGCCAAGGTCTCCAAGGCGAAGCAGAAGGCCCTCAACTCTTCGAAAGTGGCCCATAAGCAAAGGAAGCTGGCAGCAATCGCCAAGGCACAGAGGGACCAGGCAGCTGAAGGGGAGACCTACTCTGCCGGCGCCTTTTAGTGGACACAGACTGGGCCAAACTAATAAAGTAAAGGTGCTCAATGTTTGAATGCGTTTTTCTCAGTTTCACTTTTTTGCTGCAAACTTTGTAGCAAGGAATCTATCGTTTGATGGTAAACATATCCAGGTGCCTCGTTCAAAGTGTTTCTTAACTGAAATTTACTGGGGAATTGGGCTATCTACTTCATTTTGTTTTAAGTTGAAGTCATCACTGAGAAAAAAAGACATTTTGGCAAAATGGCATTCAAAGAAAGTGCATATGATTTTTGGAGACAGAATTTCTCTCCGAAATATTTACATTTTAATCATACAAATTAGATAGCCCAAAGCCACATACCCTCTACTTCATATCCAAGCAATAAAAACAGTGGTTTAACATTTCATTTTCATACGATAGATTTCCTAAGGAAAGGTGCCACAGCCTCATACACAAATATGTAACTTTTTACATAATTCTCCTATAGAAGTCAAAGTTTGCACAGTGCCCCTGCATCTGCTCATAAATGCACTCTCCGAATTTCATTAAAATCGGACGAGGAGTTCAAAAGTTAATAATTACGCCAGTGTCTCCCCTTAAGGTTGCAAGCTCCATTATCATATAATTGCGCATAAAGGCCGCACCCCCCATATTTACATCAAATATATTTAAAAAAAAAAAGATTTAAAGGGGCTGTGCAACGGTTTTAACGTTGAAAGAATTGGCATTTTTTGCTTTTGATACTGTTGACTGTGTCACAAATGGCAGAAAACACACCTCCTTTCATTGAAATGTTGCGATTCCGCCGCGTAATAGCGAGGCAAAACTTGGAATATACCCCGACCTGCAGCCACTAGCGGCGGCCATGAGAAACAAGCGGCGTGACGTCAGTGGGAAATCTTGTAGAAAGATACCAAGTTGTGCGAATACCTGCTCGATAAAAGTTAACTTTTCTATAAATCTTGTCGTTCCAACATATATATAAATGCGTCAAAAACCTGGTATCATCGACAAAACTTTTATTATACGGAGTTTTAGTGGCGCCATCTATCCTAGGTCCACAAAACTGCGAATAGCCGTTAGAAGCCAGAGGGGGAGGGGGACAGCGCCGTACGGGCAAGGACGCATATGGCCGGACCCGGATGAGACTTTCCTCCTTTCACCGTATATTTCGCGGGGCGCCTGCCAGCACGTGGTCACGCGGTCGCAAGCGGATGAGTTCTCGCTGCTCGCTGTTGGCTCTAAAGAGAGAACTTTTCCGGAACTCCGCGCCTACTCAAGCGACGTCACTGTGCACGTGACCCTGAAGACGATGTACGAGTTGAGAGGCGGCAAAAACCTGGATCTCTTTCATTTTTCTAAATAAAAACTGGGTATCCAGGCAAAATCTGTTTTCTGTAGTTCACTGCAGAAGTGTCAGGCATCAACTTCCACAATTATTTAAGCAAAGCCCTGAAATTGTTGCACAGCTCCTTTAAAACATGAAAGATGTTTAGAATTTTCTGTAATGACGAATTGGAGCGCAGCTCTTCAGGAAGAGGAGGGGAGGAATTTCACGTGACGTCACATTCATTCACATGACGTCAAACATGATGCCACTCAACCCGGTAAAATTTTCCGCTTAATTTAGTGGAAAAATTTCCCGGCTGAATTTACTAAAAATCTTCCCGGCTTGAGTGGCGCCATGTGCGATGCCACAAGGGTAAAATTTTCCCGCTAAATTTAGCAGCAAATATTTCCGCTATATTTAGCGTCAAAAAATTTTCTGCTAAATTTTCCGACAAATTTAGCGTGAAAATTTTACTCACACACGTGACGTCACGTGAATAAATGTAACGTCCCGCTAAATTTAGTGGGAAAAGATTTCCTCTAAGTTTAGCGGGGAAATTTTACAGCGGAGCTGTTAAGGGCTAGGTTCCCCAGGATCGTGTCTTGTACTAAACAAATGTCGACACAAAACTCTGAACAGCTACCGCCATCTATGGGCGACGGCGGCAACCAGACAACCGGCTTGCCGGCCTCGCACCGGCTTGCCGGCCTCGCTCATAGATGTCGGCAACCTTTCCACTCTGGTTGTCACCAGAGTGGAAAGGCTGAATTTCTCTAAGCGTCGTCCTAGATGTCGTCCTCGAGTCCTAGAAGTCATGCTTGAGGTCGTCCTTGAGGTTTTCCTTGAGGTTGTCCTCGAGGTTGTCCTAGAAATCATCCTCGAGGTCGCCCTAGAGGTGCGTGCAGAAAAAAAAATAAAAAGGCGCGCGCAGGGAAATTTTTTTTCCCTGCGCGCGCCCTAGAGGCAGGGAAAAAAATTTCCCTGCGCGCGCCTTTTTATTTTTAGCGTTTATATCTCCCGCCGCTCACCTCCTTGCTTCTTTTGATCGGTGACGTCAAAAATCAGGGAATTTAGAAGCTTTGTAGGCGACATTTCTATAACATTTAATAACGGCAATCGTAAAACATGTTTTTTAATGCACTTGCAAACGCGCTACGGCCCCTCCTTTTGAAATACCAAAAGAGTTTGGTGTGATGTCGCTTCTTGGATTTGTATCCTCCCTCGGAAAACTTGGCGGCACTCGAGCAGAGGATCATCGGCGAGTCGGGGAAGAAACCGGTTTTTTCCCGCTCCAGCGCTCTTCTATCCCGCCTGCTCACCTCCTCCTCGCTTCGGGTCGCTGTGGCAACGGCTCTTTGCTTCATAGCGTGGAGCGGAGGTCCAAAAGAAAGTCGAGTCGCAGGAGACCGCAAAATTTGACTTGCTGCACTGGCACGGATCGTGCGGCATTTGGAAATTGTTTTTTTAATTCCGAAATACTGAATTCCTTAGTTTCGAATCTTGAGGGTAATGTCCCGGCATTGTTTTTAGTCGTTTCGGATAAGAAAAAATATGATTTTGATGTCAGTGCCCCTTTAATAACGGATTACTAGTTACCCTCTTCTAAACAAAATTTATTTCACCTATACAGTAGAACTCTATTTACAGCGGACTTCCATTAAAAACGAAAATAGCGGATAAGACTAAAGTAGTTTGGTTACAGAAGAAGCGCTAAAGTAGACTCAGTCACCCTCACATTCAGACTCACACTCACACCAGAAAAACGGTCACTCACGTCGCGCTGACTTTCAACTCAAATTGTATTTTCGTCTTCTTTCGTTTTTCTTTTACCCGTAATTAAATGTCTTCTCACTTCGTTCTCTTTTGTACAAAACAATTAGCAATGTCTGTCTTGCCTATGCCACTCGGATTGTAGGATCTTGCATACTCTCCTCCCGTGACCTACAGAGGGGATAAAGCCCCCAAACAGCTCCTTGACTTCGGGGGGTAATATTTTCACCCCCTCTGTAGGTCACGGGAGGAGAGTATGCAAGATCCTACAGTCCGAGTGGCATAGGCAAGACAGACATTGCTAATTGTTTTGTACAAAAGAGAACGAAGTGAGAAGACATTTAATTACGGGTAAAAGAAAAACGAAAGAAGACGAAAATACAATTTGAGTTGAAAGTCAGCGCGACGTGAGTGACCGTTTTTCTGGTGTGAGTGTGAGTCTGAATGTGAGGGTGACTGAGTCTACTTTAGCGCTTCTTCTGCAACATGTATATCCAACTCGCCCAAGCATCCATTCTAAGTAGTTTGGTTACCCACGCTATTTCGAGAAAATAGCGTATGCACCCAAGACGAGAAACACGGCCTGGGTATATTACTCCAAAATGTCCCGAATGTTGAGACCTCACCCTCTAACACGAAGACCTGGGAATTTTACTGATCTGGAAAACTTGCCTCCGGTTGGCAGTCATCTTGCCACGTAGCTTTGCGATGTCTCTCAATTCACAAACTGCCTAGGTAGGCATTCTGTAGGGTCAGTTTGCCATACTTGCACTTACACCCATGTCCAAGTGATTGTAGCGAGCTCCTGTTTTTCTGATGCCTCGGATGTGGATTGCAGGTACGTGCTAGAAGGCTACAACACCCTTTCGTGGCTGTCGCTGGACCCGCACAGCCACGACCGGCAGTCCTGCCTGCCCCTGCACATGCAGAACCTCATGAAGCTGTACCACGCTGTGGAAGCGCTGCTCTGAGGCTTCTCTCCCCCGTCCCCCTTCCCTTTCTCCGCCGGGCAGCGGACACCCTTCATCATCATCTAACGGCCACAGGGCTTCGACGACGTCTTGCCAGTGGACGCTGCCACGGGGATTCTGTTTCCGTCTCTCTCTGCCTCGGCGAAGGGACGGCACGTTGTTTGTCGTCCGACTTCCTTTCACTGTTACGGACTGTTTTGTATGCGCGTTGCTTAGCAGCTTCCAAAGGAGGCAATATGGTGTGGAAAATGGAAGCATGCCGGGTGCCAGTGAGCCACAAAGAAGTTCCGTGCGCGCCTGAAGGGGAGAAAACAAAAGAGTAAACTGGAGCTGGGGCCACAACACGTTCAATGCGCGGCGAGCAAGACTGGAAAAAGTGAGGTCAATCACGCTTTTGTTTGTTATTAGGTGGATGATGCATGAGTAGGTGGGTGGAGGAAATCGGGGTTGCCACTTGGGTTTTCTGGCTCCATTCAAAGCAGCTTTGCATGTGTCTCGGTTAATTGCTGGGGTTACTGCCGTCATTTTTTTTCTCGCGCAGCCAGTGGCTCGCACATCATCTCAAAGGGTTGCGGTGTCTCGACTTGTACAAATGTAAATGTCTCGTCCTTTGCAGATCCTCATTCTTTTTTATTATTATTATTATTTCCGTCGGTGGGGGGGACAAGCTTCGATTGTGTTGTTAATATATGCACATAATATATGTATAGCCTGCTTGCACGAGGGTGCGCCTCTTGGCGTGCTGAGGCTGGCCCGTTTCTCCTGTGTTCGAGCACGGTAGTCTCTACAAGAGCGGTTGTTGTTGGTCTTGGTTCCCTCGACTCATTAGCCTATACGAGCTGCATTCACGTCTCCCACACGATGCGACGTGCGTGCTCTTGGCGTCGTACCGAGCAGGAAAGCCATTTGTCTTTCGCTCGTGCACCCTAATTTAATAATCAGCATTGCACGCATAGGTTGCACCCACGGTCGAAGAAAGCTTTCTTCCATCCCCCATTTTGTTTCTCACCGGTGCGGTTCAACTGGCGTGTTCATTCAGTCATTGGTGCACCTGGTCCATCTGCACGTGTGGGAGGCGTCTTCACTGAAGGGCGACGGTAGCCGGTCACGATGCGGTGAGGGGTGACCCGAGGGCTCGCCGCGGCTGTCGTCGGTCGACAGACATATCAGGAGAAAACTGCCCAATTCCTCGTACGGGAAGATTCAAAGTGTTCAGGCTGAATCCAGCTCTACCTTTTGTTTTCTCTAAATCGGTGAGAAAAGTAGACCATATGTGGTAGAGGGGGTTACTCGAAGCACAGGCGACACTGCGTGGCTCCAAATATCTATAAATATATAAATAACAACAGTGTGTGTACGGCTTCGGAGGGTATGCGGAGCCCCCCCCACCCCCGTTTTTATTGTACATAGCATCCCCCTTTTGGCCCCAGTTTCTTCTGTACTTGAGTGTGTGCACTATTTAAGGACAAGGGCAAGTTCTTTATTTCTGTGTCATTCTATTTATTGTGCATGTACATAGCATAATTGAAAATTGCAGCACCGGGGAATTCGACTTCTCGCTTTTGTATTGACGTGGGTTAGGAAAGTGTATCTACTTAGCCTGTTATATACAGCATATACATACGCAGAGTGAAATATACATATATAGATGTAAAAAGAAGATGTGGGTATATATATATATACATATATGTACACGAAGGCGCCAGGCCGCCACCTCTTGGCAGGTTATACATGTACATAACTAACGATATGCCGAACAGCGCCTCCTTGAGCCGGAGGGCGGAGCTGCGGCACAAATGGGAATGCCATGGACAGCAGTGTTGTATAAAACAGTGTACAGCCTTAGCTCATTTTAGATCCTTTTTACATGGCCCAATTGTGCTGTGCAATGTCTTGATTGTACACTTTTACGAAGAATGTTGATTAAAACCTTATAACGAAGAATGTGACCTTGTCAGTCTGCAATCCATGGATATGTGGAAGCACTCGTACAGGCGAGCTGCCGGTTTTTTTTAAGCACTCGCAAACAGATAGCATTTTCTGGAAATTAGCGCCTTGTTTTGTATGCTGCGATTTAATTACATTTAGCCATTCAGGAGAAGAAGGGACTTGAAACTGCAACAGTTTTCTTGGGTTTGTTTCATGTGAGAAGCGTGTTAAAGTAGGCCATGGACTTGTGTATGGGCTTGCTTTTTTTTTTCTTTTTTTTTTTTCTTTGGTTAGTAGAAGTACAGGTGTGCATGATATGTCCAAGATTGACCTTTGGTAGAGGGGAAAGAGGGAGGATTTTTGTTTTGTCCTGTGGATTACATAGCATTATTTACAAGATAGCTGCACTTGCATTGTAAAACGTTCTCATTGAAGCAATTCTTAGTTTTAGGACTTTAAATGGCATTTTCTGACCTGGTTTTCCCACTGCTGAAATTCAAAATGAGATTATGAAAATTGATCATAATTTAGCGTGAGAAACTGATCACATTTTCACACTAACATTTTACAAGATGTGACGATTTCCGAGCTGCAACGTGCCACCTATTTTACAGTGTCAAACGCTTAGGAATTTTGGGTTCAAGCCTTAAAAATGAATGCAGAGTGAAGCTTGGGGATGCATGGAAAACTCGTCGGAAGCACACATAGCCGACTTGCCCGTGACAAAATGTATGCTGTGGGTCAGGCAGTATACGTCTTGGCTGACCAAAATCTAAACTACTACGCACACTCTCAACAAATTAATTCTCGCACCCTTTGGCGATATAGTTTGTTGGCACTATGATAAACAAGGCGACCCACGATGCAGATTTTGCTTCTGCGGCAGCCTAGTACAATGTATGTCTTGCATTGATAGACGTGCTGCGCTGCGAAGTTCTACAGAACAAACGCGTGACCAAAAATTGAAAGGAAAAGGATGAGTTTACATTGAGATGAGGAGAAACACAACGAACACGAATGGGCGCCCATTCGTGTTCGGAGTGTCTGTACATTTATTTGCTTTCAGCCTGAACATGGGTGCTAGCATTTTTCGTGCATGCGCAACAACTTTTTTTGGGGGAAAAAAAAAGAAATTGGCCTTGTATTTATGGTTTTTTTCTATAAAGTTTTCTCCTCCAGCAGCTTTTTTTTTGGAAAGGTCAATCAAATTCCTCGAATGGCTACAGCGTTATGCTGGGGCGATGGATCAGACAAGCATTTGTCCACAAGCAGGTCCAGACGTCTTCCAACTTGCGCTTATCCGAGAATCTGACCATATGCACCTTTCCAAGAAAGACTCAACCCTGCAGGGACATGAGAATGTTCTTCGTGCACATTTGCTCAATTCAAGGCTGGTCTCCCCGGCATCCCTTCTAACCCTAACTGAGCGGGCTGTGGATTTCGTAAGCTGCAGCCTCCGTGACCACTAATTCAGACACTAGTGCTGGGGCAGTGCATTAGACAAATCTTTGTCTACAAGCAGGTCCGGATGTCTTCCAACTTGCACAACACGGTAGTCAAAAAGCAGAGGTATTTGTCACACAAAGATTACGCATTTACCAATGAATACGATGGGCCTCTCGCATGAAATTCAAGTCTCAACATTCAAATGATGTATGTGCCGTACCGTACGATGCCACAATATCCAAACGGTGTATTTGAGAAATGCCTCAACTAATGCAGAACAGTCGGCCAACTGTCGACGACGGTCGCTTTATGACGATCGGACGAAATCCGCGAGAAACTTGTTTTGAGGAGATCTTGTTCGACTTCATTCAGCACCAAAGCAAGGGAATGAATGTGACTGACATGTCTCCCTAGCCTGGTCAGCTATTTTTGGCGAAGGTCAAGAAGGGACCTCCCGGGTTGGAGATTATACCGAGGCGGAAAACAGTTCTCATTAGTGTCATGGCCGTTCGACGTTACCTTCAATTGTTTCCTTGAATGCCGAGCAGGAACGCTTGAATAGGAGGCAATCGAGCGCCGTGCACCCGGGCCACGAGCCTTGGTTCGCGCAGTGTAAGATGACACAAAAAGGATATGCAGCACGAACAAGGAAAAAAAGTTTAAGGGGACACACTCCCTGGGAGGGTCAACTTTTGAATCCTTTGCTTAACATTAATGAAATGATGGTGATCATGCTAGAGGGTGCATGACAAAATTTCATGTCTGTCGGTTAGGGCAGCTTTTATCAGCAACACGCCTACATTGTTTGTTAATCTATCGTCGGAAAACTATCACGATTTTCAAGATTATTATTCACTAGATGTGTAGCAGAATGCCGAGGAGGTGCGGCTATGGAAAGCTTTTTGTAAAAAGTCATTCATTTCTATCAATTTTCTCTTCTGCAGAATCGGTCAACTTTTTGGTCTTGTATCTTCGACAAAATGTCAACATTTTTATAAAAGACATCTGTAAAGTGACAAAAACGTTCCATAGCCGCATTCCTTATTAAATTTCAGTCAGGAAAAGTGAAGAACGAACCTTCCCTGTATTGCCATTATCAAACGATAGGTTGACTAAAATGGAATTTATACCAAAAAGTGGAACGGAGAAAAATGTGTTCAAATTGCTCCAAACCCTACCTTTTCTTTAGGTTCGGTGGACAGAAAATAATTTGTAAAAAATTAACTATGCAGTGTAAACTAGTGAAAATTTATGAAAGTACTCTCTAGATGTTGGTGGATGTAAATATGTAATTTTTCAAAATCGACGTTTTCACTCTGAATGCACAGCACATCTGGAGAGTCGCTGGTTGCGCTGAATATCCCTTTGTGGTGGCTAAACCTTCCGTCCGAGCGCAGCGGACGCTAGGAGCCATCCCAGCCAATGCGGCGTTGAGGGAGTGTCATGCGACCTTGAGCTCCCAGTGTCGCCCCGCCCCACCGGCGGGTCACGCTACTCTCTCCCGGCGCTGGATCGGCTGGGATGGCTCGTGGCGTCCACTGCGCTCGGACTGAAGGTGAAACGGAGTATAGGGGTCGCAAGAGGACAAGCTCCTCCGGTAAAACCCTACACTCTAGTGGAGCGAACACTGAAGGGGGAGAGGAGGAATCGCATTCTCACGTTCGTGCCGCAAGATTGGAAAGTATTGTGGGAGCAGCTTGTCCTGTTTTTCTTTACCTGTAACAGGGTATAGGTAGTTGCATCGACATCAGCAAGTCAATATCACGAAAACTTGGTCACGGTGACACGGAAGTAGCCTCTCGAAGCATACACCAATGATGCGGCGAACATGCTGTCACGTAAACCACAGAAGCATATACCTTAAAAAAGAAATTTCTTTTTTAGGGTCTCATTGTTCAGTCAACCTTCCAAGTCCTTGAGCAAAAACTTGTCAACGACACGAAACTTATGAAAACCAGAGTGTCGAACCGAAATTTTTATCGGTTCTGTTCCGGTTCGGGTTCACGGCTTTCGGTTCAGCTCCGGTCCAGTTCCGGGGAGTCAGAAATAACGGTTCGAACCGGTTCAAACCGGTTCGAACCGCAAAATTGAGAATTTATTTTCCGGGTTCTTTTAGCACTTAGTACTATTTCAACAGTGAAACAAGTACTATATATAGCTTTTTATCATTCGTAGAGTCCACTTTTATTTTCAGGTACCAAAAATAAATTGCGTTATTTAAGTGCGATGAAACAGTAAAAGAAAAGCTAGACTAACATATATCACTCAAGATCTGCCTTTTTACCTCAGTCGCATATATTTTACCTTAATCGAAAGGTTATCAGTCTTGTAGGTCAACTAAAATACCCGTGATTGGTACAACTTTGTCTCGCAGTATTAAATGTCAGATCCTGTTGTACTGTAAAACTTAGGAGTTAATTACAGTGCATAAAATCAGGAAATGGGCCCGCCCTAAACATATATATTCTGAAATGTAGTTTACAAAATACGTTTCAAATTTTATATGATGACGACGTAGTTGAGCTAGAACCCATATTATTTTCAAAATGATAGGAAAGTTTAGAAACAATCGCTTTCAGTCTACCTTCTATAGAAACACTGAGAGGCAGTCACAACCTTTGCTTTCCTGACCAATATTGTTTCCCCTCAGGACCGTGATGTAGGCGAATAATCATGCGGAAAAGAGGGACTTTCGTACTCAGATCGAATTTGGCCTAAAATAGCGCGTACCGAAGAGAATATTTTCGACATAGCTTGGCGTTTCAGGTTTGCTCCTGACAGGATGCCGGTCACTTCAATTTGCAAATAAGCATCACCCTTGCTATTTTTTTTTTTTTTTGTTAAATAAAGCAGAGTAGCATTTTATACCCTACTCGACATCGCAGCTACTTAATTTGTCACTTTCTGACGGTCTGCGTGCGCAATAGTAATAGTTCCGGCAGGCGCTACTGCATACTTTGTTCTTTCCAGCCCGCAGACACGTAAAATGTTTGTTTTTCACATTAAAGGGGCCACAAACTTCTATATGTTTTAGAAGTTGAATACTCATTAGGAACCCATATTTTATTTAAATCAACTTCAAAATAAATTAAAAGAAAAACGTTTAAGGTTCTCCAAAATCACTTAGAGACGTGCCTATCGAGGATAAAAACACTGGAAAATATTTGCAGAGCCTATTTCAAATAATTTGGGTGTGTATTTACTTATGATGTATATCTTAAGGGTGACCGGCCCTTTATTTATGCTGTGAAGTCTTCAGGCAGTAATATTTTTTTTTATTGTCATCAATAAATTTGACTGTATGAAGTTCACATAACCGCTTGAGACCGACACGGGAGGACGGTACACGAAAATACGCTATCTGTTGAGTCTGCTCACATAATAGATCTGAAGGCAAATACAACGAATGTGCAGAAAGAGAGATAATCAGTGGTAAAAAGAAATATATAGAGATGCATGTTTTAAACATAAACACGTTTGATGGAGCTCCGTCTGGTTAGGTTTTGAAAAATACAGACCTTCACCAAAAGAAATCCTAAACAGTGAGAAGCCCGACGTTTCAATAGGCTGGGCTAAATAGTTCGACAGGCACTTGAAGAAGACAAAGTGTGTGATGCAAACGACACACGGTAGAGGAAAAAAAGTTGTTGCTCTTCACATGAAAATAGTCGCTCCTGATGAAAAAACCGTATCAGATTTGAAACTATGGGCACCTAACTGTTTCGGAATTTGTTGGTTATGATGCGTATTTCTGTAATAGAGATGCATGCAATGATGTTCCTAAGTACACATATATAGCACAAGTTCGAAACTTCGCGGAATACTCTCTCGGGAGGCTAATGCTATATTCGGTTTTACGTGCACTTGTTTTTGGGCCTCATTTTTCAACTCTGTGCTTGATCAGTCATGCGCGATCTAACATTTTATTAGGCTGCAGCATATTATCGCAAGACAGCTGTATATATACTGCACCGCTTTACAATTTGGACATCCCCTTTTGCTATACTTCGTTTTCACAAAAAAAATTTTTTTTTTTTTTTTTTTTTTAATTAGTCTGGTTGGGGCACGCGCGTCAAGAAATCACTTTTACCCGAAAACAATGTTCAGAGCAATGTTCACGGCGCTTGATCTCGTTTAAATTCTGCGCGGAAAGTCCATGACGTCACAAAATGGTCTACCCTCTTTCCGCCTCAACGAAATAGTCACACACATTGTCCACCTCAATGTGATCGCCAAGCCGAACCACCTTTCCTCCATGTGCTCGAAATGCCGGGGTACCAAACAAGTGGAAAGGAAGTGGCTACCGACTTAATCGCGTCTTGCGCAATCAAAATTGCTTTAAAAAAAACAAAAAAAAAAAAAAAGTTTCGTGTAAAATTTATGTTTCGACAAGCCTGCCCCAACCATCCGGTTAAAAAAGAATATATTTCTCTTTTCAGTGGCTTTTTAAAGGGGCAGTGCAAAGGGGCGAAGAAAACCAAATGCTGCTTCGAAAGGCGTGCCTATCAGTGTTCACACGGGCCTTCAGTGACGACATTGGTCTAGAGCGTCGGATAATGATGACATAGAATTCTAGAGGTAGGACTGGCTGAATAGGTACGCATGACCCCTCTGATCCTTTCAAGCAAGTCTCTCTCACTCAAATTTTTGCTTGGAACACGCGCAAATTTGTGGGGTGTTCGCATCTTCATAACTGGATGTTAATTTCTGACACTTGGGAAGATCGCGTATGGTTGTTGCACGCTCTTGTCGTTTCGGTTCTCTACTGGTTCAGACCAAGGACGTCACCAACAAAAGAAAATTTGCTCAAAATTCTGAATCTCTTTAACCTATTATGTTCAAAATACGCTAGGTTTATTGTTTATTTTATGTTTAATCTGTTGCTAGGGCCCCAGTCACTAATTCGAACAAAAACAATGCAAATTAAAAAAAATGGCCAGAAACGCTTTGCATGGCCTCTTCAAGTACAGATGCAGCCTATGCCACAAGCGCGAGCCTTTGGTCCCGAGCACTCGCACTGCAGGAACGCGCGTGCTTGGACGCTGAAAGCCCAGAGTTCGCTTTTTTAACTTCTGAAATACTTACACTTATACCGCTCAGTCACACTGGAAGCGGATCCGCGTTCGCAACCGCTTTGCGAACGCGGTTGCATAAAGATCCCGTACAATTGCACGCGCACTTGATGTCATCGAGTGCGCGTGCAATTGCACTGGATCTTTATACAATCTCGTTCGCAACCGCTTTGGAAACGCGGATCCGCTTCCAGTGTGGAGGAGCGGTTAAAATGGAACGGAGTACTGTGTTGAGAACATCACATTTCTACAGAAAACTGCACTGTTTAACATGGTTCGCATTTTGGTCAGAAAATCAAATTCTGAGGTGCAAAATGCACGCTGCAAAAGGTTCGCGCTCAGCGCAACCCATGTATTCAGAAATTTTTCTTGCATGGCGCGGCGTAGTGAGGGACGGCCCGAACGTCTGTCACCCCAAAAACGCGCTTTCTGGCAGGAGTGATTTCGCAAACGAAGTTGTTTTGCAGGATCACGCTGCCTGCTCTGCGCCGAAGATGCGGAGCAGAGGAACCTTCACAACACATTAGGTTTTTAACCCCCCCCCCCCCCCTTTTTTTTTTTTTTTTTCTTAATTTGACGGTGCTCCTCTACAGAACACTTTTTAGTTTGAGAGACTCCCTCCTTTGTTTGGGGGTGCCGATTCGACAATCATTTGTTTGCAGTAATTCTCCGTTTCTTTTATTTTGCACCCAAAAACTGTGAACTTTAAACAAAACTGCGAGATTTTGAGCGACTGCCGACGTTCGGCTGTCACTCAAAAACCACTATACTTCGTTTCAGCTTCGGTCCGAGCGCGGCCGATGTTATGAGCTGAAGGGCCAATCAAACAGCGAAAAAGGCACAACGTCATGGGGTGCTCTCTGCCGTTGATAGGGCCAGCTGGTATTCGCCGTCTCTCTGTGCGGGCTCCTCCGCCGGCTAGTCCTATCAAGCGCAAAAAACACGCCATGACGTTGCGCTTTTTGCGCTCTTTGATTGGCCCTTCAGCTCATAACATCGGCCGCGCTCGGACCGAAGGTGAAACATAGTGAAACGAAGTATAGAATCTTTTTTTTTTTTTTTTTCAGGTATCTCTGCCGTACACACTTGTAGTTCTATTTATCGTCAGATTAATAAGTCATATTTAGTCCTTTCAATCTTTTTATAGTCGGGGACAACTTTCGGAGACTGTTCACCAACAACGAAAACATGTCTTAGTGCCTCAATGATATGTACATGTAGAATGATTCATGCAACAATTTTTGCACTTTCAGTAAATGCCGCTAAGAGGTAATCTCCGACGTTGATAGCTTGCAGAAACACCCATTAGTTTCCTTCTCTGCTCAATGGCAGACGCAGAAAAAATAAAGGAAAGAACAGCTTTCACTTTCTCAACTCGCAGTTCGAACAAGCGGCGATGTGATCTGAAGCTAATTGCATAGACGCTTTGCAGCAGCTGTGCATGGGCACCGCCATAACTGACCTTCAGTTTTTTTCCCCCTATTGCGTTTACTTCACTTCATTATTACCATAGCAGGCTAGGTTATTGCCATCTTAGATTTTATTCTGTCTTTCTCCTCAGCATTGGCTTTTGTGGAGACTCATCCATACCAATTTGAGTGGCTAGGTATCTCGGTAAAACAAGAGAAGGTCAGCGATGGCGGCTGTATTCTGGCGTGTGTCATAGTCATGCGCTGGGGTTGGCAAAGAATAAAGCATGGGTTGAGCTTTAGGCATTATTAGAGTTCAGCTATTCTTATCTTTGATTGAACACGAGTCAACACGAATGTTTGGCGATGATGATTGTCAAAAACACGAGCACTCGGTTCGGGCTCATGACAACCGAGTACGTCACGGTGTCGCGTTACTCGCAGTGAGAAGTCGTGATTGCATGTGACGTCAGGCTGTCAACAACGCTAATACACCTGTATTTCTTTGCAACTCAAGAAGGTAGGGTGAGGGAAAAGTTTGCAGGGGAGGAAAAAGCATACGAAACGTTGGAGAAGAGAGGGGGAAATTAACGTTCTGAATGTAAGTCGACTTGACGCGGTGAGTCATGCGACCCCGCGACGGGACTGCATGACGTGACATTGTCTTGTCGTGTGACCCAGTGGTAGATGCAATACAGTGGACGTGTTTCAGCGAAGGCTTAAAAAATCACTAAAATTGGGTGGTTGGAAAAAAACACTCTTTCCGGGAACACACTGTCAGCAACGGAGTTTAAGTATTGCAAAAACATACTAATTAGCTATATAATTAACTAAAATGTACTAATCAACTTCTTAATTAGTGAAAATAACCATATGATTCAAATAAGGAACTTGTTAAGCATCTTCAAAAACCACTAAATCAACTAATTTTATAAAGGTATAAGGCAGGGCAGCATTTTATGGGATTCCGAAAAAATGCTATATTTGGACGTGTTTCTAGACTCTAGCTTCTTATCGGAGCGCATCTTTGCTCCAGCGGTCCTGCTCTCCGGTGGACGAGGTGCAAAGCCACCGCCTCACCTACCTCGTAGGATGGAGGAAAGTATGGCGTATGTGTGTTGCGACCAAGGTTAAGGTAATTCATTTTGCCATTATCCCGTCTTTTTTACAGTTTTGTCACAGCAGTACTATTTCCAACAAGCTATTCACAATGAAAAGTTTCTTTCTGAAGCCAAATTATTGTTTCACTTCCTCCAAGCATAAATCATATGTCTCTGTGCTGTACTGACTCAGTAGAAGCACTTCTTTGGTTAAAGCAGAAACTAACCAAGCCTTTCCGGAGTGAGCCAAGCCAAGCCAATTCACATGGATGTTTCTGTCAATACTAATTTGAACAATGGTGGACGACTTGTACAATTGAAATATAGCATTCCTTTACATAATAGAAGAACCAAGATTTTTTAGAGCGCAGCTCTTAGGCGCCCGTTTCCGGCTTCAGCGGCGTTGGCGTCGCCGTAACCAAGGTCACCCCAAGTTTATGTGACCCTCCAAGGTCACGTGACGTCACCCAACGTCACGTGACCCCCCAAGGTGACCCCCCGAGGTCACGTAATCCCCCTCCCCTCCACCCCCCCCCCCCCCCCCCCCCCCCGAAGTCACGTGACGCCCTCCCCCCGAGCTCAGGTGACCCCCCTGGAGCATATTAAAGAATGATGGGAGGAGGAAGAGAAGGAGGAGGAGGAGGAGGGGTCTACCCTCCCCTCAGTACCCTTCCCTCCTCCTCCTCAAGAGCTGCGCTCCAATTCGGCGTTACAGGGAGTTGTAAACGGCTTTCATTTTTTTCATCTTCAGATGCATGAAAAAGAGTGGTGTAAATAATTTGAGCCCCAGAAGTGATAGTATTTCCTAAGTTTATACATAATTTTGCACATGCAAATTTAAAATATATCACATTCACATGGACAGTTCCTTCTTCATCCAAGTCACCTTCTGCACAAGCTCCTTGATGAGTTCTCCCCTGCAATATAAAAAGAATCACATTAGCATCTTCGAGGTACGGTAATCCCTCGTTATAACAAAATTGTTTTTTTCAAATTATCCCTTATATCGAAGTAGAATGTTGTCCCGACCAAAAGGCACGCATTTTTAACCAGATTATTCTAAGTGTATTGGTGGCCGACCATGCTTAAAGCATGCAAGCCTACATGGAGACTGTTAGGAGGTAACAGCGCAAAATTACGTAGGACAAGGTCGAAGAAACACACAGACAGGGCGCTGTCTGTGTGTTTCTTCGACCTCGTCCTACGTCCTTTTTGCGCTGTTCCCTCCAAACAGTATGTACCACCAACTAGCCCAACTACATGCCTTGCTACGCGCGCGCCTGCGCGGGCGCACCTGTAGCGTACTACAAGCACCCGTCCGTCGTATGGGAGATTGGGAGTGTTTACCAAAAGTCGCTTAGATCTGCGACGTTGAGAAAAGTGGCTGGCCCAAGTTCGAAATCGCCAAAGAATTCAACATTTCGGCATTGGCTGTTTGATATTGTCCACCATCTTTCAGAATAAGCAAGGCATATTGGACGGGTTCGGTAAGTTTCTAAATTGCGGGAGAAAGCGCACCCGAACCCGAAAATGAAAGATCGTCACTTGTTTCGCGCACATTGGATTTTCTCTCGCGAGCATGCTTGCCGAGCCGGTGCACAATTTCCATAGCTGCAACGATCTCTACAGGAGTGTGTGAAAAAAATGTTGGCAAAGCCACCGAGGATAACTTTGATTCGTTCGCACTTGTCGATGCGGATGTTCCTGTTGTGGCTCCTGCCACGGATGCTGCGATCATACACCCTGGGTGCGGCCAGGGTAAACACCAAGCGACGTCGGAGATGCACCTCCAGAAACAACAACGACTGCAGAGACGCAAAACATCCTACGGCTACTTCGAAACAAAGTGGAGTGCAGTGGTAATGACAGTGTCCGGGCATCATTTCACCCGGTGCATCAGTTTCAGAACTGATGCCCGGATAAAATTATCGGCAAACTCCACTTAATTATATTCTTTACTCGGTAAAGCTGCCGCGAGATGTTCATAACCAAGGTTTGTTTGATTAAATATACGGTCAGAGAGTTCCGCAGTGCTCCCGTTTACCTTCAAGGCTGCTGGCACTGTTTTTTTAGCTCTACTGCTTTTATCAAATTACCGCTTATATCAAATTTGTTTGCCATCCCGTTCACTTCGTTATAACGAGGGATTACTGATATAAAATTTACTGCAGCTGAAACTGCCTTTAATTATAGTTAGCCCCTTAGCTGCCAGTTAGTTTTACCGACAATGCTTCAAAACTGCATGATGTTCAAAAGCCCCTATGGTTTCAAGGCACTTTTCTCCAACCGGAAGGAGTGCTAACACCCCATATATTATATTGTTTGGTGCCCTTGCAGTATAAACACATTAATTTGTGTACATACATTTTTATTAAAATATATATATATATATATATAAGGTGTTATACTAATTATTTATACTAACAAAATACTAAAAAATTTGATTTCAAATAACAGACAGTATATCCATGATTTGTTCAGAGTTTTGAGCCTGCTTCACTGCTTCGGTTGCACAGCATCAGTTGCATACATTCTTCACTGGAACGCTCGGTTGAGTTGAGGTCATCTTCACTCTCATTTGACACTAGCCATTCATTGTCACTTGATTCAGGGTCAAGTGCAGAAATCATATTACTTTATGAGCCCTACATGTGACTGAAGCATAGCATTGCATTCAACTGTTAAAATTGCACTACATATGTTGGATTAAAGCCCAAACAAACTACAAATATTTAAGGGTATGCTCAGAGTGCCGAAAATTGAGTAAATTACTAAATTTTCCCCAAAACAAGCTTTGCGGGATTGCTCTTTAACTGTCAGAAAGTGTCATGACGGGCAGTGTTGCGGAGTCGGCACTCCAGAGGTAAAATGATTCCGGAATAATTCAGTAATTCCACAAGCCCAAAATGAAATGGGAATGGAATGGGGGCAGCACTTGGGGGAATGGAATGGGAATGGAATTAGATGCCTTTTGCCTGCAATGAAGTGGGAATGAAATGAGCTCGGTTCTTATGCGAGCTGTGTCGATTTTCATTGAGGGTCTACAGGCCGATGGTGCAATTCGCTAGCGCATGGTAAGTGGCTCTCGAAACAACATCATTGCACTGGACGTGACTGACGGCTTGTCTCACTGGCTTATGCTCCTTCGAGGAAGAAAATGTCGTGCCCTCCGTGAAGCAACCAAAACTGAATAGTTGTAGACAGACAAGGTGTTGTCCCTGGTGCCACGAGACGTGACAAAGCGGCTGTTATAATCATACGTGATTAGCAGGTAGCTTTTAACCAATGTCAAACCGGGCCTAAACCGAAAACCGGAGAAAAATTGTTATTTTTCACTGAACCGGAACAAAACTGTAACCCTGTAACCTGAATCAAACATTTGATATTGAACCCGAACCGGAACGTAACTGTAGTCTCATGTGGCGGTTACCATTACACTGTTGCTCGCAAGCTGGTACCACTGGTAAAATACATCCGAAGATTGGTGTGGATCAGCCACCCCCTGCACATTACATGCACCTCCAGGGCCAATGCTGCTTCTTGACTTAAAGGGACACTGACAGGGTATTTATGCTCGCCGAGGTTTTTAGTTGTACGTGACATATGAGAGCCCAACCACCCAGAACAGAATTCGCGGCTCGAAATTCGGTTTCTTTCCGCCCGAAAACCGCCGATCGAGAACTGGCCGGTTTGAGTCGCACTCACTCTCTTTTTCGTAGTCACGGGCCGTTTTCTAAGGTTTTGACGCGACCACCAAATTTAATCAAAGTCGTGGGTCACTGAAGGTACACACTCACTATTAAAAATAGAAAAAATATGAAACCCATTTTTTGTGGCTTCCAAAAAACTGCAAATATGTTAATTGAAAAAAAAGAAAAAAAGGTAGCACAGACAACCGGAAGCATTCTGCGCGTTCACTGCATAATTCTCAACATGGCGTCGTTTCGTGTATCGTGGGCATCTATCCTCCTTGATCGTGGCAGCAGATGGCAGCGGACGACAGGCGTTGGATCTCTACTTCAAAACTGTTGTTCACGGTACCGGCGAATTCTGTTTTCCTTCAAAAGAAAAATTTTGGACCTATCAAAAGAACTGATATTCATCCCGTACGACACGCCCGACCAGCAAGCCGATTGCACGAAAATGTCGTTGAGTCGTCGTCCCTTCTTGTGGCTGAAGACATTGCTCGCTCAAACGTCAAGCACGAAGTGCGTGCTTCGAGTTGAATGCGCACGCATACAATTTCTGTACGAGGTGCGAATGTGGCCTATGCGTGGTGCTGCCCGACTTCAAGCCGGGAGTGCATGTATTGAAGGGAAATTAGCAGCAAACTTCCAACATACAGTCGACCTGCTTCATTACTACCCATTCAAGATTTCCCTCAATAGCTCAGTGGAAAGACGACTGCTTCACACGCAGAGGGCACGGGTTCAATGCCTGGTGTGGGTATCTTTTTTTTTTTTTTTTTTTTTTTTTTTGTTAAGCATTTTGCGATGTTTACATTTCTTTTTTTACAATTATCACTGCAAAAAAAAACAAAAAAAAACACAATTGTTGTGGACGATACGTCGCTGAACTAAATGGTATGGGATTCCATTTTTGACACCTGCGAACTCAATGTAGTCATTTTCCACAAAATGCAAGGAGCATATGAATCAGGTAGCGTCCGCTTTCCGAGCTTCGCGTAACTGTTCTACAGGAATTGCAGCCAGCCATTGATCCCGACCCGTTAATCTTTCGGAAACTTGTGCACTCTGCCGCACAATGCCACTTCCAGATGCACGACATGTGAGGCAGCTCTTCACGCAACATCTTGGGAGTATTCTTTTCGGAGCCGATCATGGGAATTCACCACAGGCACTCACTACTAATTGCTAACACTTGAATGTACAAAACAACTCATCTTGAACTACAGAACAGCGAGCGGAACAAACATAACTGCAAAGGAATCGCATGTCGAACGAACGCAATTTGTCTGCTACGTGCGAAGAAAAAAAAAAAAAAAACCACACGGTTGGGTGTAGCTACGTGACTTCCGCCACTCCACTCTATCCTCTCCACTTCTCCGTGGGGTGCGGGAGTTTCGGTTTCGAGCTGTTGCATTTTTTGGCTTTATTAAAAAAATATGTGACTCTGTAGCAAAATATTAATTGGGTAGTAGTCCGAGACCATAATAAATCATGTGACAAAAAAGGAAAAAAAAAATTTTTGGGGGGTGTCAGTGTCCCTTTAACTCCCTCTACAATGGAGTGTGCGAGTCTTCCCGTGAAATTGTTTCTCGTACTTATCGTGCTGCTTCCTGTCCCTCGTGATTTCAGAAAAAAGCTTCGTGGCACATACGCTCCATCTCACTCGTTATGCGCAGTGCTACCAAAGGTACAGGGGCAAGAGTGTAATGCAAGCAGTTGGAAAGGAGGGGAACTCCCCACTTACCAGGGGCGGATCCAGACCTCCATTTTAGGGGGCGCGGTTCCTCGGTGTAAAACGGCGGGGGGGGGGGGGGGGGGAAGGGAGTGTTTATATTTGTTGTGGAGTTATCGTTTCTACTAAACTCTGATAACATTATATAGATCTTGAGAGCTTTTGTATCGGTTTACCTGTCGGGGATGAACTCTTTGAATTAAAACCTTTCGGGTGACCACGCTAGAGGTAAGTATCTAGAAAATTGTGGTGGCACTATCCTTTCTGAACACCATAACGCAAGGAATTTTGTAGTTCATAGGAAACAGGATTACTCCATTCGCGTGGCAGCGCTCTAGAAATAAAAAAAGAAGTTTAACTACTGGGGATGAATGTTTGGTGCTATAGCGGCTGTGACAATTGCAGACAGTGTAACTTGATGGCTCAGATATTCCCGGCGGGGCTACAACTTTTGGGCTCCGTTTGCTTGAATATTTATATATTCTCGTTACACCCGCAAAGCATGTACGGAGACTCGAGAGCCAACCTCTGCCAACTATACGGAGGAAGCTCATGCAGCTAATGATAATGCGAAAAACGTTTTAATCTAAAACTCGGCTGTTCTTTGAGATTAAGCTTGGCATAGTAGTTAGAACTTTATGTTCAGTGCCAAATGCAGAACGTGGTTTTAAAATATACTTTTCATTGTCGCCGGTTGCTTCAATGGAGCGAGTACGTTGCAAACAAGCGACAAAAATGGCCCGGCGGCTTCGACGCTGCTCGCGGCGTCAAAACACTGTTGACGCAGCGAGCGAAACGAACGCTGCCAGGCAAGTTCGTCGGTTGTTCGCCGTATATTTGGAATGTCCAGAGCGCAGCACATGCGGCATTGCCAACCCATACTCGTGTTTTCACGTGTTCTGGATGCAACTCGAGAGAATGAAAGCGAATAATTGTTGAATATTTTTGAAAGCATGTTGCAGTTCGGCAACTATAACTTTTAAACTTAGACAAAACCTTAAACCAGGGAGACAAGGGGTAGCGGGCGCCTTTCCTAAAATATGTCCCGCCACCCTAAGTTGAAATGGCATTGTATACAAAAAAATGCTTACGGCGTCGGCTTGAGGACCCCGTGTAAGCAGCCTCCAGCCTTTAGAGTGCTCGTACCGTTTATCTTTCTTCTATTAGCTTCCCGCCACGAAAAGTCGAACCGCAGGCAGTATGAAGCCCATTAGAGGAAACATCTCCCCCTTCTGGCGCTCGTCGGCTTCTTTCTGTATTCCGCGCTGCAGCGCTGATCCTCAGTGAGGGATGGAGGCGAGGACGAAAGCGGGCTTATGTTTAAGCCAAGGTCGTGGGGAAGTCCGGAGCGTCTTCAGGAGAAGCTCAGACCCAGACTTCACTGTACCCAGAGCACTTGCTTCCTCTCTCAGTTCAGAAGAAAAGCAATTGGTCACCTGGTTGTACAAGCTGCATCCCTCCCCCCCCCCCCATCCCCCCCCCCCCCTTGGAACGTCTCCTCCTGGTACGTCCCCTCCGCACTTCCCTTGGCAATGAGCACACCGTGCCAATAAGATACCTTTAGTAAGCCCGTGGGCGACAGCATCTCAAAGCAAGCCAAAAAAGACATGCCAAAAGACAAGCCCAGAACCACGAAGAAACTATCAAACGAAAAGTGATGAAAAGACGGCCGCTAGAGAGGAAGGATAATCCGCTGTGTATAGGATCGTACCCTTGAGGAAGGCGGCTTGGCGTCTGTGTTTGGGAGCTTTCAGGGCACAAATTTTTCGCAGACAACCTCCAAAGAGAGAGAGGGAGACACAGAGAGAGAGAGAGAGAGAAAGGGGACTAGATATGTTGAAGGTATTTTCCCCCCGTGCTCGACGTGCTGGCCTTGTTTGGAAGTGGGCCTGCAGTCGAGGACCCTGATATTTGGAGCGCCTTCCCACTGCCTCTCCATTTCGAAACTCCTGGCGCCGTCCCTGTCGGGAAGACGTACCGTGACCTTGACGGAGATAAACCCCTCTTTGGAAGCGCCCAGCAGGCGCGTCCACCCACCGCTGTTTTAATCTTTTGTCCCTCGCGTCGATTGCTTACGTTTTTTCTTCGAGCTGACGAAGAACCCCGGGGTGGGGGGTTGCCTGGCGAGGCGTTTGGGGGGGGCGATCGCCCCCACCGCCCCGGGGCCCCCCTTGGATCCGCCACTACCTCTTACCCTCTTTTGAGTACCCCAGACGTAGCTTTCGTGCCCATCGGAGGTTAGCCTGTGACTCAAAGTTCGTACAAAAGGTGCCTTTCCTTTTCTTTCCCACCCGTGGCTTCCCCAGTGTTATGTGCAACTGGTGAAATAGAGTAGAGGGCAATCGGTGATCGAGTGTGCTAACACACACCAGCTCAGAACATGTGGAGTGAAAGCTCACGCTGCATCCCCACCCCCGCCCGCTTGGATCTGGATAAGCATCGTACTGGTGTATGGTCGTGCACCACTACTTCAACAGGGTGCTCACGCTGCCCGGTTACAAGCACGACCACAAGCTGGGAAAATTCAAGGCCCGCTTTCACTAAGACCGCCGTTCGGCCAACATCAGCGCCAACCCCTGGAGTCCCACCACGGTGGTGCCAAACTCCTCGCGTTGCTGGAAATTCAACCGGCTCATCTGCAAGCTGGGCACGCTGGGAGCCCTCGCCAGGTGCCCGAGACCGGCCTGCTAGAATTCAGCATGGTGGCCCCACAAAAACCACCATCGCGAAGAGCCGCTGCTAGGGCTCTTCACCATCCCATCATCATCATTATCCCACATGCATCCAGTCAGTAAGACCTCATCACTACGGAACATCAACCTGCACCCTCACCCACAAGCTCCATTTCAATATTGTCATGCATCTTCTATATTACATCAACCCATAATCACACCTACTAGACGTGGCACCACAGGTCTCTATAGTACGGGCTGTTGCCTTTCCGCGGCGCCGTGGCCCTCCTGAGTCATTAAAGATTAGTAATATTATTGTTATTATCATCATTATTATTATTACTGCATGATGCACATTAAAGACCCCTGGCTAGCAGTGGTACTGCACTGGCAAAACTTCTTATCAACGGTGGAAACCCCAGACACCTAGTGTGGCTGACTTCCCGCCCCATCTAAACAAACGCACAAAATACAAATCAAATTAGGTGGTACCCACTCCTGCGTCAGAGCATCCCGGATATGCTCGACCTGGGTGTTGCTCAGCGAGGGCGATCGAGACACAGCGGTGCGGCCGGCAGTGTCATCGTCTTGTCCGGCACTGCTCTGCTCCTGGTAACGGAGCTTGAGCTGCGCCTGCTCCAGGGAAGAGGACATATCCCGCAGCTGCTCCTGAATGCCCTTCAGCTCCGTCTGCATCGACTGCTCTGCGGCCGACAGGACGGGCACTTGGCGATGCAGCTGGTGCAGCACGTTCTCCACCCTGCGTCGAGCGAGGACGGCACTCAATGGCGGACCCTGCCCGACTGTGAAGCCACGGGACGAACGGGTCTTCTCGAAAGACATCTCCATTAAGTTTAAGACACAGAGCTGACTCAGAAAGATTGCTTTCTGAAAAAGGAAACACTTTTCTCTCAAACTTTCGTTCTGTGGAGAACCAAAACTCGGCACAGGGCAAATGTGACAATTAGAAAATTCCAAAAGGAAGACACCAAGACGATAGTCAGCGAGGATCACATTAATCGCGTAAGTCACAGTCAAATATCCAGTTACAAATAAATTCGCTTTAGTGCAATATTCTTGAGACATATGGCACGCAATCAGATATAGTGCAGCCCTAACTTTCAGTTCTCCTACAAGGCTATCAGTTTTTGTCATACGCCAACAAATTGTACCCAGTTACAGTAGAACCTCATTGGTACGTTCCTGGTTTCGATATTTTCCTGGCTTTTGCATTCAGAAGCACCGGTCCCGCCAAACTCCCATAGGTACACACATATTAACTTCCCGCTTAGTGCGTTTTTCTTTCCCGGTTCTTACGTCCAAAAAAGCCGCCGACAGTGACGACGACGCCAACCGATTTACATGACCAACCGATCCGCAGATGGATTAATCGGGCGGTCCGTGGATTGTGCGCCTCCCAAGAGCATTCACACAGAGAAGGAGATAAGCAGAAGACGGCGAGGACAAACCGAACCACTTCGGTTTAGCGCACAGTGGCACCGTTGTCCAAGAGCAAAAGCGATGTTTGCCCTTATGGCTGCGGCGCTTAAGCATTATGACAAAAAAGGATTGGTGCATGCTGTCGTTACATACCGAGTGAGACAGAACACCGTAACAGGCTTAATGCAAAGCGCCACTAGCTTTAGTAACCCAGGGCATAACACAATTACTGTGTGTTTATATTGCTACGAAGGGGAGGATATGACGCTGGGGCAGTGGCATGCGGGACCCTCTCGCTCCAGGCCCTACGTGCTGGCCCCGCCTTAATTAAGCCTTTGTGCATTCTATCATGTACAGTATAGACCACTTACAACGTAACCGCTTATAGTGCAGGACCGGTTATAACGCGGCTTTTTTAAACCACCGGTTCGCCTCCCATAGAACTCCATGTAATTACATACCGCTAAAAATGCAGGCGCGCGAAGGGAAATACCGGTTATAGTGCGGTTTTCGGAACAGCCCGGCGACCGCGCCGACTGACCGACGCAGAAAGCACGCTTCCCTGTGCGACACTATAGATAACGGCGCGAGCCGCAAGCGGCACTCGCGGGGAGAAACGAAGAAAGAGGCTTCAGTTGCCATAGCGACGGAGGGACGCACGCACGTGTCGTTCACATGCGTGTGCCCCTCCGCTCTATGCGTTGGAAACAACCGCAACTACAGACCAATCGCAGGTCGAGGAGAAGTGTTTGCGCGCGTTGCATGCCGGTCGCGGGCCGGCCGGCTGCTTCTATCTGCAAACATGGCGTCATGGCGTCGGTTTTGATTGTCGACGTAGGCGGCGTGGTGGAAATTAATCGTTCCGCGTAAAAGCGCTATCCTTGACTGTGAATTTTCGTTGTGTGTCGCTATGATAACCCAGCATGTACTAGAACGGAAGACCCACCTACTCGTGCGGCGATGTTGTGGCGGCACTCTCAAGACGGCAGAAACGCCCGTGTCGTCGTGTTTGTTTACTTCGACTACAGTGGTGCTTTCTAAGCATTTTTGTTTTCAAACATCGCCCGGATTTCTTATTTAGAGCATTTCATGCCTGTGCTCAAGTTGAAGGTATTACTGGCGCGCACCGTATAAAGGATGCGAATTTTCACGTGTTTTCATCGCCGGAGAAAAGTGATTAGGGTTAGCAATCCTGAACGCTCGCAACGTCCGTCCGCAACCCGCGACGCCGTTAAAAAGCTGCGCCAGGCAAAAGTCGCTCATTTCTTTCAAAATGTGTGACAGACTTGAGAGAAAAGTGTACTAGTCTGGAGAAATAAAGACTTTCCTCAAACTAAGCTTTATTTTTCATCTAACATAAAATAAATTCTTTTACAAAGGTAAGTTGTCTGATGGCATGCATTTTGGCCTGAAAAATTGATGTTTTGGTTATAGCGCGGTACCGCTTATAGTGCGGATTTTCGAAACTCCCCCGACATACGTTATATGCGGTCTACACTGCACTGTCCTGTCCTTTCTGCTGCCGACAGCATCATCCTAACAATATAGTGAACTATTTCGAGATGGTAGGAAAGGTCTGTGCTTCCTACTTGGCTTTGTTTATCCAACCTCAGATGTTTTAGGTATGCTCGGGATTTTCGTTTCGTCTCCAAATTCGCACGCCTTACAACAGGGGCCTTGCACTGAATCACTCGAAGAGCCATTCTGGAGGTGCAGTATTTGCTCCAAGCACACCATCTACTGTGTTAATTTTACACTGTGAAAGCAGTACTTTGTAGCACACAATAACCGGGACTAGTTGCTGGCACTCTGAAGTGACTTTGTGCCAAACGACCTACAAAATATCCCAGCAACTTGAGGGTTGGCTCGCTAGAAACGGTGTCTTAGCTGAGACTGTGAAGAAAAAAGTCTGCCAAGCCTAGGGCACACGAGTGCTTGAGACTAGACTTTACAATTACGTGCCACTCTGATTGTGCGCTAGCTTATGCAGCACTTTCTTTCGCACAGCCTTAGCCAAGACTCTGTTGCTAGCAAGGGCTTTTATTCATATCTTCAATCAGTCAGCAGCCATGGGCACTTGATACAGTGCATGCATATTTGTATCTTGAGCCCAAACCATGTAACACAAATTAGACCAAGAGGGAAAAGGAAAAACAAATGAAACATATTTCAAACCTTTTGACAATCTTCTGCTGAGTGACGTCCACAGCTTCATATTTCCGCCTAAGGGCTTCATATCGGTCCTCAAGACATGCTACCTCCTGGAGTTTGTTGCGCAGCTTGTCCAGCTGCAGCTCTTTTTGCTCTTGTGCAGACTTGATTCTGGAAATGGAAGTTCTGCTTCACGTTGAAAACTTCTCAAAGCTTTTGAAGCATACCAAACCTGTGTCTTGTTTCTTTTTTATTAACTTATAAACACACAAAAAAAATAAGGGGTGCTTCATGTGGAGCAGCTTGTTGCGAGATATCATAGAGTTTGGAACAAAATACTATACATAATTTTGGAATATTTGTAAAATATGAATACTTCAAACAGAAAAAAGTGTGCTGTGAATTGAATCGAATAGCAAATGCAAATTGTTCAAACTTTTGAATATTCATACACCTCTACTTCCAAGCGCCGTTGTTGATGCATTTTTCAGTGGACCGCATGAAGAAAACATAATCTAGAAAAATGCAACAACCAATGCATAGGTGAATAGATAAAATGGGAAGAAATCCTCACACAAATATTTATGCCATGCACATACCTACAGGGAGTAAACACTATGGTACAGGTAGTGTGAAAACGTTGGCACAGTTTGACATTTGTCCCAGTAGAATATTAACAAGCACCAAGTTTTGCAGCTTAGGTTTCTGCCCCCATCGAGCAATTTCTGCCGCCACACTGGTGTTCTTGTGGTAGACTTCAAAGTCTAAAAGAAAAACAAGAGAAACAAACAATCGCACGTTCATGCTACGTCGTGCAGTGTACATGCAGACTTGGAACACCGATACTCGCGTGAAAAAGATAAAATCGTTGCCCGGCGCTTGGATAAATCTTCCTTGCATTACTAATCTCTTCGCAAGCAGCCGCAGTTACTCTTTGTGACGTTCGAGAATATAAACTAGTGTTGCCAGACCTCTCCCTCTCTAAACAATCAATGTCTACTTTGCTTAGCCTTGTGCAGCTGCTTGACAGGTGTGCCATCTTTATTACTGCTCTTGCTCATGTTTCTGAATTTCAAAGACATATGCATGTCTTCTTCCATTTGGGTTTCTATCTGCAGTATGGCAGACATGTTCTTGAAAGAGATCCGATTTGCCAGACGGGACTCCAAAATTCAAAAGAAACCAATGAAACCGTACAGACAGATTCTATGCACCTTGTGTGGGTGAGACAGATGTAGCACATGGGTGAGAGAGCCAAAATGAAGGCTGTAAGCACGCGTTCCAATGAGCGTGCAACCATCAAACGACTGAAACCACCCTCCAGCAGATATTGCAACTATACCTGATTATTTTCTTTTTCGCCAATCTTTGTCTACATTTCTGTTTGGTGAGCCAACATGAGTCATTTTATTTTGTTTATTTTGTCCGTAACAGATATTGCTTACTGCTTTTGCCAATGGAAGTGTGTTTTTGATATTTGAATTTCTTGCCAAATGTTTTTTTTTTTTTTTGTCAGTTTGTTTTATTTTTGTTTGCTTTGCCCCTCCCCTCTACAATGCTTCGGCGCTTGAGGGTATGAACAATAAATAAATAAATAAATAAACCTCTTGTAGAGGTGAAGATTTTTCCTCACTAGTTTTCTCCAGGACCCATTTGCTCAATGCTGGTTAACTTCAACCGTGGCAGAAATTAACCGCAGTCCCTATGAGAAAGATTTTTCGGTCACGTGACCGGCAGAGTAGGCAAGGTGGGGAAACAAGACGGTGTACCTCCCAGAAAGCATCGCTTGCTTTGGAACTAATATGTCGTAGTTGCTGCACTATCAGGTACATTTGTCACCAATGAATGGTGCAGAAGGCTTTTGCTTTGCCTTACCTCACTTAAATCACAATGTACGAGCAATGATCTTGCCCCATTGTTTAGATCATCTTTTGAATTTGGCCATTCCTAAGCCTAAGACTAAGCCTCCCTTATTGTCCCTTTCTATTGTTAGCGCTTTTAATTTTAGAAGTCATGAACCAACTCACCTGCTTCACCACCAAATCAACCTTTTTCCGAAATGCGTAGTGCGTATGAACGCAATGCTTGATACTCCTGAGTTTGAGATTGCGTGATACCAGAACCGATCTGCCATCTTGTATGTTGTGCACAAACCTCGTTTCCCCTTTTCGCCGAGAAGACCTTTTTCGTTTAGTATGTGCGAATTTGTTTTAAACCAAGCCATTCAGCCTCCCCGAATGTCAACACAAGGTGACACATGCAAGTATGTCGACGAAAAGAGGAGGAGAAAAATACCTTTGATTGCGTGGAAGGAACGAAGAAACAACAATGATCATGCTGTCGTCACTTTGTGAGCATATCTTTTTCAATTGAATGCTTTGTCATTTATTTTATGACATTAAATAGTTTTCGTGTGTATGTTGTCAGCTATCGCCTTCTATCGCAAGTGTTTTTCTTGTGAGGCGAGCGGCATGGACTAGCACCGCAGCACAGCAGGGTTTGTTTGAAAGTATACCAGGGTCCTGAGAGGGGTCGCACGGTTCGGGGGATGACAACTCGATGGTTTGCCTCAAATGCAAGCCAGATTTGCTCACCTTGAAGATACGTGACTAGAAATCCTGGAAATGCTACAAAGGTACCCAAATACCGCCGTCAAATAAGTCGGACAAGCCTTGCGAACGCATTGCCTTCCAGCCATTCAATCTAAAACCCAGTTGTCTCAATAGGCGGCAGCACATATCTGGAAAAAGGAGGATTCGCTCACGCAAACCAAGAAAAGCTCTTTCCCTCGAAAAGGGCTCAGCAAACGAGGTTTGCGTAAAACATCCAGAATGGAGGATTTGTTTTGGTAGCAAGCAATATCGAACCCAGGTGTCCCAATGGGCGGCAACACATACTTGGAAAAAGGTTAATCGTTGACATGGCGATGTCTTTGGAATCCTAGTGAATTGTCATGATTCGAATAGCTGGGCATCGATGGCACGCAGAAGTAGACCACATAGTACCAATTTTTGCTGGAGTCGAAGTATGCAATTTTCATTTTATGAGGGTTTTATGCACAGTTCTTACATGCTGGCAAAGCATACTGCGGGTGTGCCCACCCGCCTTTCACTGCTCACCACTTCCTCATCATTTCTAGTACAGAACTTCGTCCTCCCCTTTTACACTGGGAAGAAAATTTCAACAAGGCTTGTCCAAAGCTACAGAATTACCTCAATTGTGGAACTCCCGCATAGGGGGATACCCCCTCACTCCCTTCAGTCTGCCTCCCGTCGTTTGAAGCACCGTCTAGATTTCTGTTTCGAAACTGTGCGTTCAATAGCGTATGGTGACATGCCATCTAGTAGACGCTGTGCAAAGAAACATATGTGTTCCATAGAATGCACTGGAGTTACCATAGCAGCCGTCCCCCTCAATACGGTAATGCATCAAACGACAGGAGGCGTGTTGTGGAGGGAGAGGGGGGTACTGCTTGTGCTAGCAGCGTCTATGGGCAGTACCGTAACAGAGCTAATCTAGTAATGTTAGGCTTGTCAGCGGGCTACCGCCCCGGGTGCCGCTAGCCCTAGTGACACCACTGAGTGTACTGCTACTTCAGAAAGCTGGCACCAGTTTCTTGCAGGTGGAATTACAGGACATGAGCTGAAAAACAAATGTTAACAACAAAGCACACCATTTCGTCTTTAGAGCTTGTATTCAGTGATGAGGCAAAAATATGGACAGCAAAAAGGTGGACTTCTTAGGATGATTGTGCATTATAGCTAGGGTTCCGTGTCTTCGGATAAATCCAATAAACTCAGGAAAACATTAGCCATTAAAATTATTGACAATCTGGATTTATTTTAAAAAAAAACTCAATATTTCAGGGTCACGGTGGCAAAATAAAAGCCAAGAAATATAGTATTTTACGAATAAAGCTTGTCATAGCACAAGGTTAGTGATCCTAATAAAAGGCCCAATAAGTTTTTTTTTTTTAATTTTGAAAAAAAAAAGGAATTCTTTGTTTATCTCGTCAAGGTTTATTCAGTACAATGAGCAAATGTACTTCTGGACAATGACAAAAGCCACTGTTCTGGGTTTCAGTTTGGACCATACTATTTGTGCTTCTTAGAGGGAAAAGGGGTTGTGTTTTTATAACCGTGAAAGATGTGAACCTGCAGATTTGATAAAATGGAGAGAGCAGCTGAAGGTTTTATCCTTCAGCTGACTTCTTCAATCTTCGGTAAAGCGGCCCCCAAGGTGACTACTCTAGTTTCCTTTTGGCTAAAATACACGTTTTATAAAACTTTGAATTAGCTTTAAGGACATACAGACTGTGCAGGTTAGACATCCTTCCCTTTGACTCCAATCAATAGAAGAAGTAACAAAGAGTATGAAACCCATGCAAACTATGGGGGACAAACAATTTTTGTGTCCATTGTGTTCCGCGGTCTTGCCTTTTTGTCAATCCTTGTTGCTCCCATTTTTTAATAGTCAAAGTTGGAAAAACCTGCAAAATGACGATGTGCACAAACCCTAGAAAAAGTGGCTCCGAGAGAAGTTGACTAATGTAGAAGTTTGGGCTAGTTGGTATTTCATGATTAAAAATTAAAACGGCACAAGGACACGGACAAAAGTGAGAACTCCGAGAGAACTCCGGGAATGCTGGCAGGCACGAACCAACACCACCCAGAAGATAAGGACTGCTCAATACGTTATCGTCAGCGGCTCCCGAGCTGCCCCGAGTGGGAAATGCGCCGACACTCGACGAGAGAGCACTGCAAAGTGGAAGGCGCTCCCACATCAATACCACCGCCCGCTGGCATGGCACTCGTCGCAAAATGATGCAAGATGCACTTATGTCGACGAGAATGCGAGCTAGGCCGTGCTGCGTGAATCTACTAGCGATGAAATAAGAAGGGGAAAGGTGCGGGTCTCGTCTCCTATGCGCCATCGTGCAGGTGCTTGCGGACGAGCGTCCATTTCTGCAAGGCGTTCCCACCTGCGTCCAATGAGCAGCTGGCAGGCCTCCAGCCTCTGGAGCCACTCCTCGCGGAACTTCTGGGTGGCCGCAAAGAGGAGCTCGAGGCACTGCTGCGGAGAGCAGTCGCAGGCCGCCTGTGCCAGCTGGGGCACGGGGCGTCCCCCCAGCAGCTGCCGCACATGGTGGTCCAGGCCGGGGGGTCCCTCCTGTCCCCGGACGCGCTGGGACTGCCGGGGGCCCAGGGGGTTCCCGGACAACAGCTGTGGCAGGTAGCTCTGGTAACCCTGCCTGCAGCGCACAAGGGCGTAACGTCTCAAACCGATTCTCTCGCAACTCCGCCTAGCTTTCTCAGTGTCTTCTCGACTAACATATAAAAACAGCATTTCTCAAATTTTAGTTATAAATGCTGTACACTTATTTAAGAAAAAAATATAACACATAAAGCTATAAGAAAAATCCCGAGAACTCATCAAGAACAGCAATATAATGAGGTACCTATAAAAATATATCACTGAGATGACATCAAGGTCACCATACACTAAAATATTGCAGAAGTGCAACCTTCAAGATGACAAAACTTACCCCGAGACAGGGAGGAAATGAAAGACACGCCATACAGTAAATAATTTAATTTTTGCGGGTGCAAAATTTCGCAAACCTGGCCAAAGCTGGAGACTTTTAATTTTTTGCCAGTTTTAATTTTGCAAATTGAAAGTTACAATTGGCTATAGTTTGGCAGGAATTGTCTGAAGGTGTAAAATAAACTTGTTCAGTTGACTGCAAATGTTGACGCATTGCATTACTTTATTTCAAATACTTATGTTATTAACAGAATCTATGTAATGATGACATGCCTTTGCATTCGTGTTTTCCCCTTGTGAGATTGTTGCTCAAGGAAACACACCATCCCAATGTAGCTTTCAAAGTGTTGACATTCTGCCCGAATTGTATACAACACTAATTGTCTGTGGGACATATTTTGTGCGAATCATAGGCGATTCACGAAAATTAGGTCCCCATGAAAATTAAGTTGTTTACAGTGTAAAGGAAGGGACAAACACAACGTCTCCAAACACAGCTATGAATTTTTTCAAGACCGAACCTCTTTACAAAGACAGGACACCTCAGTCAATGCCAAAAAACCCCTTTCAAGGTAACCCTTTTCTTTTCCTTTCCCATTTCAGGTTGAGTTATGTCATCTTTTCACCAGCCTGCCTGCATGCTCACCCTTCTTTCAGCAACTTTCAAGTTTAATTAGAAAGGGGGGTGGGTGGTGAATGTGTTAGTGATTCAAGTGACGGTGATTTTAGCAGAGAAGACAACCCTGAAGGGGGCTCTAAAAGTTTCTGTGATGAACCCTCAGAGAATGATTGTAGCAGTTCTGTGAATGGGAGTGATAGAAAGAGCCTTACAGACATTGCCATTTCTGAAAGCTGAGCACCCTAAACAGATGCAGACCAGAATTCTAAAACTCCTCATAGTACTACAGTCCAAAATCCCACATTTTCAATTTGTAACCACAAAGTGGGTGAATTGTTTGTAATGCAAAATAATTTTGACCCAAGGGGTAAACAAGGCAAAAAGTCATATGACCCCAAAAGTTTGTTAAAGGATCAAGGTCAAGTACAGGGCCATAAAGCCAGATACAAGGTCATAAGGCCTTGTAAAAGAGTAAAGGTAACAGGCTAGATCAGAAGGTAACATCCCCAATTAATAAATAACATAAAAATCTAAAAGGTGAGGTACAGAGCCCAACACAGTTAGTCTAAAGACACAGTTGCTGGCTTTAATGCAAAATTGCATTCTAATAAAAGCTAACCAAAAATTCTGTGGACAAAGCAGAGTTGGCTGCTTGACAAACATCTGCCAAACACTAACGCAGATGAACATTTAACATTACAGCAAAGTTTAAATATGTGTTTACTCTGGTGTAACACCTGGCAGGTGAATGTCAACATAACCACGAGCAAACTACTAACATTTACTGGTAAAAAAAAAGCCCTATAATATGAAAATACACATTACTTAGCACGGCCTCTCGAAAAAGAATCAAGCTTTAAAAGCCTAAGTATAACATTTCCTGATGACCGAAATTGGAATAGTCAAATGAACACCATAGTGGTTAGCACCTGTAAATCTTTAGGATAGTATATTAAACATAACCTACACCTAGGATTCCGTGCTTTCTGAGTTTATTTTTCACTGAAAATTCAGGGTTCATCAGAGTATATATTTGTTAGATTCCCAATTCTCTGAAATTTTGAGTTTTGGTGCGCTCCCCATTTTCAGAAACTTTCAGCCTTTCCACTCTGGTGAAGAAGGAAAACCAGCGGAGCTGTACGATGGTGGGAATGAAGAAGAAACAAGGACAAAAAAGAAAGTAATGGCCAGCCGCAAGTCGGCAAGCCAGAGTGGAAAGGCTGCTGCCACCTATGAGCGACAGCGGCAACCAGACACATGGCTTGCCACCGTCGCTCATAGATGGCGGTAGGTGTCCAGAGCTTTGCGTCATCATTTCTTTGCAGGGGACACGATCCTGGGGAAACTAGACCTTAACAGCTCCGCTGTAAAAAAGAAAAAAGACCGGGTAACATAACGTGTTGTCCTGAAGGAACCTTGATGAGCTAAAAGGCAAACTCAGTTTGCCAATAGTTCGAGATTTCAAATGAAAGTGAAGTGGCATCTCCTCAGGACCACTAACCCATTTACCTAACAAAATATATATATACATTTTTTTAAATTTGCTTTTTTATTTGTTTTTGTGACCTTGAAATTCTGAGTTTTTCGGATAAATCAGAATTGGCAAAAAAGTTACTGGCAAGCGTTTTTCGATTTATCCGAAAATGCAGGACTCTACCTTTACCTTACACCTGTTACATGAAACTAACCGCATATAAAACCTTTGTCAGACCCAAATTAGACTACGCTAACTTTATTTGGTGGCCTCATCAAGCATACCTATTTAACAAACTGGAATCGGTTAAAAATAAAGCATCGCATTTTGTATTGCACAACTACTCACGGACATCAAGCATGGCCGCACTACATTCAAATCTAGAGCTTTGTCCACTGACTGAAAGAACTAAACTTGCTCATCTTGTCATGTTTCACAAAATCTACCATTCTTCCTTTTTTTGTGACAATTACTGTCACCCGCCATCTCACATCGATTTGCGTTATGACCCCCAACTTAAAAGTAAATCCTCTGTTCGCAAAAAACTGTTGTCTGAGGAAATACTAAACAAGATGCTCATTAACTAACCTTTGAAAAGTTTTCCCCACGCGACTCATCAATGCCATCGGCCTATAATTGGAAGGAAGGGGAGGATCCTTTCCAGGCTTCAGCAGCGGAATCGCCTTTCCTGCATCCATTCGGTAGGCAAGTACAGTGCAATCCACTTCTAACGGTCTCGAGAAAACTCGAAAATCCAATCGTTATAACCGATTATCGTTATATCTGGACTAGAAGCTGGGCATTTCTAGTCTTGAAACTCTAGAAACTGATCGTTATAAGCAGCACATCATTATATCTGGTATTGTTACAAGTGGATTGCACTGTATGCAACTTTCTACAGATCATTGAAGTAAACAAGGAGGGCAGCGAGTGATTAATCCGATAAACGCCGGATCATCTCGTAATGTATTCGGTCAGGAACTGGGGATAAGTGCTTTCGAACATTCAGAGCCATTTGGAGCTCGACCATTGTAAGTAGTTGATTGTAGGGTGCTGAAGCTCTTCCTGCCAAGCTGACTTTCATTCTTTCCATGTCCGTCTTAAACTTAAAAAAAGACGCTGAAGAATAATGTGAGTAGTTAGAAGTGGGCACTTAACACATTAGCCTGGTCGTGCAACGAGTCCACAGAGGGAAAGAGAGGAACTGTAAAGCAGCAGAGGAATTTGCGTTCGAATATGTGAAGTCATTCCCACAGTTCAGTTTGCTGGGATGCAGGTACTGATAGAGGACAGATGACATCTCCAAGACTTCCTCTTGACTTGCTTCCTAGTCCAACAAGACTGAAACCTATTTCGCTGAAACTCAAATCAAATTCACAAATGTTGGATATCTGCAAAAAAAAGCTCGAGGTACACCTAAGCACTTCTTATGAGTTGTGAATGCGAAAGCACAGAAGCCCCTCCGACGATGTGGATGCTAGAGGCGGTGCCATGTTCGTCGGCATCGAGACGAGCAGAAGCACCGGTGACGATGTGGATGCTACAGGCGGCGCCATGTTTGTTGGCGGCGAGATAAGCAGAAACCTTTGAGCGCGCGCCAACGTGTCCGTTTTAACCGGCACAGGGCTTGTAGTGGCGTGGGGTTGCGGCGGTTAGTTTTATCGGTGTGCTAGCGGCACGGACAAGCAGCGACATCTGGCAGCAGTCATTAAAACTGACGCGTGCAGCGGCCAATGGGAGCCTAGTCGCCGCACGCCAGCCAATGGGACCTTTGGGATCAGGGACAGTTAATGCCATTTTCGCGCTTCAAACTGATGACGTTGGGTCGCTCCACGAGAGAGTTAATGCTTTCGCATTCAGATATACCAAGCCTTGTGGACACAAACAGCGCTCAGGATGAGGACTAGTAGAAGAGGTGGAGAGGACGGGCGCTGTCTAGCAGCTGACGTTTTAATGCACAATGATAAGAAAAATGTAAGGGCATACAAACAAATATGTTAACTGCCTCAGCAGGGTTGTCAATCAAATACCTTTTTCATGTGGAAAAGTCTATCTTGGCCAAAAGGGTAGATGCCTGAACATGAGGCTGCGAGAGCACGCTCTGTCCATCGAATCTTCTCCGGCAGGACATCTAACAATACACGTTCAAGACTGCAAATGCACCCGCCTGATTACGAAGCTCAAGTCATTCTATCCAAAGGAGATGCATGTGTCAGTGCCCCTTCCATGACTTTATCGGCAAAGGAATTGTTCTAGTATTTGAACATTTGTCCCTAATGCTACGTAGACATTGACCTTCATCTCCTTATTTTATTTTTCATTATTGTATTTCTGTTCTTCTATCTGTTTGCAAACTTATTTTTTAAGCTTTTTTTTTTTTAGTTTCTTTTACAAAAGTGTAGTAACATTTATTTTAAAGTATATTTATTTATAGCAATTTGTATTCCTGATCTGCAGCTCTTTTGTCTTCCTCATTTGCTTCCTTTTATATCCCCCCTACATTTTTCTGTCTCCTCTTTCTTATCGTTGTGTATTTAAAACATTGGTTGCCAATCAGCGCCCGTCCTGTCCATTTCTACTACTAGTCCTCGTCCTTAGCGCTGTTTTTCTCCGTAATGTTTAACATCTAGCCCAACAGTTCATTTTGCTACAATCCCAAGCCTTGTCTTGTTTTTCTTGGTGGTGGAACACTCTTCATTTCACCATGGCTTACACTTTTTGGCAATGTTACAGGAAGTCTGAGGGATAGAGCAAAAAGGGGTAATATTAATGATCTGCTCTGTAATGCATGTGGTGGCTTCATCAGGCACATAGCCTCGAAATCTGTTATTTTGTTGGGATCCCCTCTCCCCCTCCCCCTCATACAGCATTTTGCCATGGGCAGGCCCCCCCTGAAACAAAATCCTGGCTACAAGCCTGGGCTTCATCATGTGTTAAGGATATGAACATGCAAGGTTTGAGCTCAGAGTTTAAGCTTAAAAAGACCCCAGCTAGCCTTTTTCAGTTTCCAATGAGGACTGCTTTCACGAGGTTTGGAATAGAAACCCAACCCTCCAAAACGACTGGAAAGTGATCGCTGTAAAAAGGATTTTTTAGAATTTCCATTAAATAAAGAAAACATTGAGGGGGTATGAGATAGAAAGATCGATAGATGTAGACAAGTTATGAGCTGCTTTTGGTTTTTATTATCATTTGGGCTGTGCCCAAATGATAATAAAAATCGCTCAAGGACCCACCACGCGAGTCATACCGAGCACCACCTGACAAGGAGTGGTGAGCATTAAAATCTCCTAAAAGTAAAAAAAGGATGAGGAAGCTGTGCAACCAGTCTTTGAAGATAATGAATGTGCAGTGGAATGTCTGATGGATTATAAACAGAAACAACAGTGATAAGCCGGCCCAAAAAAGGAGACGTACGGCCAGCCTCAAGAGACGAGCAAAGAGAAACCCGAGAGCAGTGCACATAAAAAAAAGAATATTGGCAATGAACATAATTATAGGGCAACTCTAAGACCATTTCCTATGAACAAAAATTTCATAATGTTAACTTCACATATGCTTCCATGTATTGTCCAAAAATAGTGCTAGGGTTATTTTTAGATTTCACGAAAGCATTTGGCTGCCTAAGTCATGATGTCTTATTTAAAAAAACTTGAAAAGTATGGTATCCGTGGACAGGCACTGTTGCTTTTGCAGTCCTACTTGCAATATTGTAAACAATTCGTATGCATCAACAGTAACTCATCCACGGTAAAACCCATCACCTCAACTGTTCCGCAAGGAAGTATTTTGGGACCCTTTCTTTTTAACTTATACGTCAACGACATTGTTAACGTTAACAGGGAAGCAAAATTTGTTAACTACGCGGATTATACTAGCATATTTTTTTCTTCCGAAACAGGTGATGACTTAATAGATATGGCCAACCACACTTTATCAAAGATAAAATCCTGGAGCGATTGTAACTCTTTAAAGGTAAACATTAATAAAACAAAAGCAATAATTTTTCGTCCGAAAAACAAGTCTGTGGATTTATCTAGATCACCGAGTTTAAATTCTTGTCCAATTGAAATAGTTAGTTCCTTCAAAACTCTTGGCGTATTTTTTAATGAGAACATGTCCTGGGATTGTCATATAAATTATCTTATTCCAAAATTATGCCGAGTAATTGGGATCCTAAATCGCAACCGTTCTTTGTTGCCCACGAATGTTAAATTGTTAGTTTACAACTCTCTATTTTACTCTCACTTAATATACTGCCATCTAGTATGGGGCTTGTTGACACTAACCAATATGGAAAAATTGTTTTTGTTACAAAAAAAAATATTAAGAAGCATATGTAATGTCCCTTATGATGCTCACACTTCTGAAATATTTAGAAATTTTAAGATAATTACTATTCACAAGTTATACGATTATAGACTATGTGCTAGTTTCAGGAGGGAAAAATTAAGGGGCTCATGTTTTTTAGTAAACCTTGCAGGTTTACAGGAAAATTCACCAGCATACCCCACTCACGGAGTGGAGAAGTGGCAGATGGTCACTCAGGGAACAAACTATGGTCTCCAAATGCTTACATTTGCCCTGCCACGCTTGCTAAATAATTTTTATATTGATGGTCTAGATTTTGACTTTAAAACTTTTAAAGAATTGCGTTTGTATTTTTGCTCCTGATTTGTACCTGATTTCTATTTTCTGTTTTATTTTGCTCCATTATTAGGCAAGAGTACATAGTTTTGTAAATTTTAATTGTTGCTTTTTATGTTTGTCCATTTGCTTCAAAAAAACAGGCAACTGCGTAGTTATGTATCTTTCAATTGTTACTTTTTGTGTGTATTTATTTATTTTTATTTCCGTTCCGTTGCTACTGACCATTGTAGGGGCCCGAGGACCAGTCAAGCTGCATATCGCAGCTTTTTTCCATTGGTCCCACCATCACAATCGATGGAAATAAATTTATTATTATTATTAAACTTCTGCGCTAAGTATGTCCCCCCCCCCCCCACCCTCCTCCAAGATGTTTCGAGGTCATCTCGGCAAAGATTGAATACCGGCGAACCCCAACGTTCCTGGACTCCGTCCGACCCATTACTGCGAGAACAAAAGAATGGGAAGCAGCGTTAGGGGTGTGCCGTTGCTCACACGAGGGAGATGGTGAGCAGCTTCCAGGCATTTGTGAGCACCACTAGGATGGGTCCGGGGTACCAGGGCACGACGGCCACCCCCACGGGGGTGGCGGGGCTGCTGCTGGGGAGGGCGCGCGTGCACACCAAGTTCTCCACGATGCATGGGTCTGCGTGCAGGTGGGACGGCAGTTGCCGGCTCTCTTCTGCAACAAAGTTTGAAGTTGAAAGAATTCATCGGCTCCACGTCCACACAACAGAGAGCATGAGGGAGCCAAAAGCGGAAGCCCGTTACAACCCAAAGCCCCGCGATTAATTCACGCTTTGCATACCTTACAAGTACCGACGAGCATTGTTGTGCAAACGTGCAAGGCATGTGCCACGAGTGAGTGTTACACCGCCACCTGCCTTCAAGAGTTATTCATTTCAGAGCGCCACCACTTGTTTCCATTGGCCACACAGGCACACGCCTCTTGCACTAGCGCATTTGTTGTTTCTCATCAGACAAACACAAACACGTCAAGGGGCTTTAGGTCGAACTGGAGCCACTCGTCCAGCCTGCAAGGAGGTACATGTTTGACCTCTGTCTTTCTCCTCACTTGTTTTCCCACTGTAATAGTAGGACTCCATTGCAGAAATCTAGGGATTGGGCTGAGAATACTTTGGAGAAAAAGTCAAGTCCCCCCACGCACCTTTGATGGTGCCCACTCAAAATTTGAAGATAATTATGTAAAACGAATAATGGGCGCTCCTTACATCAACAATATGTAAAGATATGCCGTTTCCATATTTTCTGAGTGTTATGATATTGAGCGGTGGGCGCTTATTATGGAATGGGCAGATGCTCGGTATTTTACAAAATGCAAAATTTTTTTATATTTCTTTATTTATCTAGAAATCTTAGAATAAGCTTTCTTCACTTACTATAAATTTAATGCTGTATAACTCGTCAGAGGTTCATGATTTTCAAAATAAAGAACTCCCACTTATTTCAGTTATTAACCTAGGCAGTGTCCAACTGTTCAATTCAGTGGACCCACTAAGTCATAAGCACGACAAGCCCCTCTTTACCCTGACACCCTGATGTCTGCCCTAAGCGCATTTACTCTTGAAAATAATACCTACAAGAAAGTTCCTTGGAGGAGAACAGACCTCCTAGTGGAAAGCATAAAGGAATTAGACCCAACATACCATCCTCAGCAAACTCCTGCAAGTGGTCTATGAATGGTAAAGCAACTGCATGAATGCCGGAGCCATGACTGCAGATGTACCGCAATGGTGTTGTGGGATCTGCGGGGACAAGAACAGCAGATGCCTATTTGTTTTTCCAAGTGGCAGAGGATCACATACTGGTTTCCAGTCATTAACACGTCTATTGATGATATACAGGGCCGTCGAGATCGATCCAGACTTTTTCCAGATTTCGTCTCTCAACCATACTATGAAGCTGACCCACTCTACTGCACTTCTGCGGCCCGTGATTCGACAGTGGGCCAACGCATGATAAAGAATTCGTGACTTGCTCAAAAATGAGTAGCGAATACAACCAGAGGGTAACAATACTTGAATCGCTTCGCACCGGAAAGTCACCTATGCAAATAATTGCGTGGTATGGCTACAAGAAGACACAAGCTTACAGCCAGGGATGGGCAGTATTTCAAATACAAGTATTTGAAATACGTATCTTAAATACTTTGTGTATTTTGCATTTGCATTTAATTACAAATTGGGTAATGTATTTGACGTGTGTATTTAAATACTAAAACGTGGGTATTTCAAACACAATTGTAATTAAATACAATTTTGTGGGCGAAAATACGTCCCTCACATTTATTGTCACTGTCCAGAGCAGGAAGAAAACTATGTTCTGCACCGAATGCAGTGTCTCTCAATCAAGCACAAGCGTTTAGTGACTTTGTGATTACGGTGCTAGTCCAGGGCAAAAATAGTGACGAAATCGACGTTCACAGGCAGACTTGCTAAATAAGTACCTGTGACAACTTGTGATGCTTTCCAGCCTGATTTCCATCCATATTTTTGCCTGGAACATTCTAAATGCGCGGGTCGTCCAGATTTTCGTAACTGATGCCAGTTGTAACAATAAAAAATTCTTTAGTTAGTGCTGCGCGTCTTGGTCGTCTCAGTTCTTTGTTGATCTATACCAAAATGTAATCGACAAAAACAGCTGCTTGAAGCTCTGTACTTTTTTCACCTATTACGTCCGAGCTGATTATATTTTTTTGTGATTATATTTCTATTATGTTACTAAAGTCTCGCACACTAACCCCCGAGTGTGCGATGCAAAATTAAAATGAGATACCCAGAAACCCGTTGCAGGTGCCCTGAAGTCGCTGACGCAAATTTTGAGGAACGTATTTGGAAAAGTATTTGGAGGAGACCAAATACATTTTGTTGTATTTGTATCTTGTACTTAAATGCTTTTTTGGAAATGTAATTAGATTTGTAATTAAATACATTTTTGACGAAGTATTTTGTATTTGCATTTCGATACATATTTGCATGTATTTTGCCCATCCCTGCTTACAGCATTGCCAAGACGCTCAGATAATTTGTCAGCCAGGAAGACGTTACGGCAGACCAAGCAAAGCACAAAAAACGGTCGATATTCATTTTATCTTTGCCTCTGTGTGTTTTCCTGAATATGGTGAATTTTGTAGATTTATCTCGATGACCCTGTATAAGTCACTCTCCAGGTACAGAATGAAAAGCAAACCTTTGAAAAGGCGAATTGGGCAGCTGTAAGAGTCGTCTTCACCACCAGCAGGGGCAAGGGACAGTTCCAGTTTGACTTTCTCGAACACATACAGAGATACCTCTTTCTGGTCTTGCTCGAAACTTTGGCTGAATGTCTGAAAAAGCAGCGAAAAACAAAATAGCCATCACTAATCCCTCAATGACAGAAACAGGTGTTTCTTTCCTGGATTCAATTAATAAATGTCAACAACATCAAGAATGTCCCTTCAAAAATTTGGCATTAATAATTAAATGGAAGCAAATGTTTTACCAGAACATCTTACTAACACAAAATACTAAGAAAAAGATTGCCTGGCTTAGACATTCTGTCAATTGCAATTAAAGTATGGTAGTAGTTGATGGTGTCTTTAACGGGCGGCACTTGTGACATCACGTCATGCGACACTGTGATGCCACATGACACTGTGACATCATGTGACATTGTGATGTCACATGGCACCACAACATCACTTCACACTGTGACATCACATGACACTGTGATGCCATGTGACATAGTGACACCATGTCATGTGGTGTGACCAACACCAACACGAGCAAGCAAGGCATGAAGGTAGGAAGATGAGGCGACACACAGGCTCAAGCCAACCAAATGAGAAGATCCTAAGTGAAGTCGGAGGTAGAGGTCACGGTTGGTGGGAGCGCCACCAATCGCATCCTTCCCGTTCAATAGGGTCTTTTGCTTTTGTTTGTTTTTGGTCATTATTGGGGGCGTGTCCCTCCAAACCGGAAGTCTCCCCCAACTTCACGTCTGGTGGCGTCATGTTGACTTTAGGAGATTCATAACTCCATGAAGCAAGGTCTGTGAAAGGTTCACATATAAAGTTATTGCTTGAAAACCTTATTCAAGCTCAATAGATAATAAAGTAAAAATAACAGGTGGATGCTTGCTTCATATTTTATAATAGTTCAAGGCATACAAGAACACTTCAGGTAAACAGCGAGAGAAGAGAACCAGAAATGTCCATAAAAATCAATCTTGCTTTTCCAAAACTTCAATTATACTCAGCAATACTTGGTACCGTATTTACTCGCATAATGAACGCACCCCGCACAACAAGCATCAATATTTAAAAATGCCTAATGAACACATTTTTAATTTTCGGCTTTGCCAGTCTTGAACTGCGTCTGGCTCAGCTAGTTGGCTAGCCACCAAGCCCGCCAATTTTCTTTTGCCGCCAAGTGGCTAGGCTACGCAAAGTCAAGCCAAGCCAAGCCACTTTTGTAATGGCAGGAATTGCGTGGTTGTGGAAGTGATCAACCATGAAACCAAGTGGCGCACACGCCTCGCAAAGTGGGAGTCAAGGAATTGCACACCCCGGACGTGCTTCGTCCATCGCATGCATTAATGTCACCAAACACGCCATCCCCTGTGATCCGCTTTCAAACAGGGATATCATGAAAGCGGTTAGGCCTAAAAACGGGCGCATCGCTCTCCGTGCTGAGCGAGCTTCGTAGGGCGCTTTTTCTTTGGCAAAAGGCACGCCAAAAGCACCTTAGAAAAGGTTAGCAAATTTATACAGCATGGTTACTGTCACATGCCCCCGACCAGTCATGGGCTGGTCGTGGGACAGTACTGTGGCACGTCTCCGTCAGTGGAGACGTGCCACAGTACTGTGCCATGTCATATTGGCACCTAAAATGACATTTGCGCAAAGTGCGTAAATGCAAAACTTTTACCCCCCCCCCGTATTGAACGCAAATATGTGTACATTTTTCGGAAAAAAAAATGTGTTCATTATGCGAGTAAACACGGTAAGGAACTTCCTGAAATAATCACTAATCATTCTTCATTACAATTGTTGACAAGATTAGAGTGATACATGCAAGAGCCAGCTTTTTTGGTCTCTGATATCCAATGCATGTTTGAACCTAAAACAGAATCCCAATGTTGTGTGTGTGCGTGCATGACGATACTGGAAACAAAGATGAAACGCAAGCCCTTCCATATTCACGACTCCAGTCGAAACTCCTATAGGTTGCAGTCTGCAGGTGCAACAGTACCTACATCCAATTTAGCAAATACTCTTGATTTTTACGCAATATTTTCTAAGTCTTTGCAATACAAATACTTACAAATATAATATTATTTGTAAGTGCGGTTGGCATATCTGAATGGCAGAGTACACCACCGTCGTTTTTTTCAGTACTGTGTTTATTAGTTCTAAGTATCAAATGTTTCGGGGATTTATGTCAAAACCGAAACTATGGATTGGGGAGCTGCAGTAACACTGGTAATCAGCTCAAACAGCTCAAACGATAATGGCGACATCATTTTTGTACCACGGTGCACGCAGTTTATCCAGTCGCATTGAACTTCGACAAGATATTTCTCTTATCGCGAGATTGAGCGGTCGTGCACGCGTGCAGCCAAGAAGTAGTTCCAGTTGTCAGGTTAGAGATCAGCAGAAAAGCATGAGCTGCAAAGAAGTGGTAAAAATTTAACCAGTTTGGCTTCAGGAACAGCTGACATGCTGGCAACCCATTAAACAGCTGATAGTTATACATTTCAATACCAGTTTTAATAGGTGAGAAACCTGGCTATGATTGTGTGACGATTTGTTCTGGTCGTCAAGAGAAATGGGCTCAGAGCTCAGGAAAGACACGTCAACCTCCGAGATTCCACGCAGGACTTCCTTTTTTTTATTATTTTGATCTCCTTCTCTCGCGCTCGCACGCGTGGCACCGGAGCTCGCACGAGCCGTGCGAGTCGTCTTTTGCGGCTCGTCACATGCTGGGGTTTTAGAAACTGTCGACCCGACAGTGCGCTTTCATAAGACAAAAACAAAACAACATTAAACAAATACCACACTCTGAGATATGCACGAGAGTGAATGAATATGTACATACAAAATGCTAAATGGAAAGATACGCTATAAACAAGTGCACACACTTTAAATTCCAAAAGTTCAGTCATCGGGTAGAGGCACTTGAATTCGCGGAAAGGAGTAGACAAAGTCTTCAGTGACCGCGTTGATCCTTCTGTAGTCGACGCACATTCCTGTTGATCCGTCCTTTTTCGTGACTAAAACCAAGGGGGATGCCCACGGACTGCGCGATGGTTGCACAATCTTGGCATCGTTGAGATCCTTGATCATCGCCTTGACGACATCACGCTGCGCCGGCAACAGCCGACGTGGTCTCTGGGAGATAGGTCTTGCATTACCTGTCGGAATGGAGTGCTGCTCAGGCCGACAGTTTCCAACGTCAGTGCTGGTTCGCGCGAAGCAAGCCATGTTTTTCGCAAGAAGCACTTGAACTTTTTGAAGCTCTTCAGGTGCCAGCATTGAACCAATGTTGAACGTGACACCCTCAACCGATAGCGGTTGATGTTGAGGGCCGACGATTTCCAAAGCATCTGGGCGATCTAGGTCCTTCGACGAAGGCAGGCTTGAGCCACTTAAGATGGAAGCAATTTCGTCGTCGCTAAGCTCGATGTCTTCGACACTTGTGACTCCCCCCTAGCGACTCCGACAGTAGCATCAGAGGGTAGAGCCACTGGTCGAGACGACGGGTTGGCCAGGAGTACGTAGAACGTGCTCTCGGTCTTATCCATAACCATGGGTTCAACTAGAAGGCAGTGACGGTCGTAGAGCAATTCTGTGCCATACACCTCTATCTTCGTTGATTGCCCTCGGACAAGATTCTTCAGGCGTGCTTGAACAAGCTTTCGTGACGGCAGAGGTATCAGGTGCTCCGTAACCGAGATGACCTTATGACATGTCGTAGGCGGAGGAATCAAGAAGCAATTTGCACCCCAATCGATCATAGCCTTGCATGCTGTCAGGAAATCGTCACCAAGCAGCAACTTTTCTTCCTCCAGGTGTGGGACCACGATGAATGCCTGGTTCAGCGTCTGTCCGTCAGCTGTCACTGTGGCAGTCGCTTCGCCTAGGTTCGTGAGGGATTGACCACTTGCACCCTGGAGACAGATGGAAGAAGGTTGAATCAGAAGGTGCAACTGGTCGGCGATGGAAACGTTGATGAGACTTCTCATTGCCCCTGAATCCAAGAAAGCTGTCAGAGGCTGTCCGTTCAGTTGAACCTGAATTGTTTTGGTGCCCACTGCTGCGCCACATGGGATGCGCCAAACTACTGATGACCTCTCGCAGGCGTCAGAGGCATCAGCTCGTCGTTTCCCTGCGTTGGTGCTGCAGTGGACTCGAAGCGCTGTTGCCACTCCAAAAATTCTGGTGTGAGCTCCTGCCGACAACGCATGGAGAAGTGGCCGCTCTTCTTACAATTGAGGCACAGCGGATGAACTTCCGGGTGACGAAACGAAGAACACCGAAAATTCTGTGAAGCTTTTGACGGGCATTGAGGCGACACGTGCTGCTTCTCTTGCTTCTCGCGTGGAGAAAGAGGCTGCTGACAATGACCGTTGTCCGTGTTCTGACGAGGCGGCGACCGGTCCTGCTTCAAGAGCGGGAAGGAGGACGCTTTCTTGGTTACCTTCGCCACCTGAGCTGGCTCTGCAGCTACCGTCAATGCCGGTGTCTTTGGTTGGCTGAAGACTACCTGGTCGAAGCGGAGGAAGGAGTCCAGCAACTCATCCAACGAAGCAAAGAGTCTATCGAAGTAGTGCTTTCGTGGTTTGTCAGACAGTGTTGCCAGGATAACCCTGCATTTCTCCACCTCCGTCTCTGGGTAGTTGCACTCGTCGATGAGCTCCAGTCTGTGCAGGACTCTCCCGAACGCTGACTTGCACTGAACATCTTCTGTTTCGCTGCAACTTCGTTGTCCAGGTTGTAACGACGACGGAAAGTGGTCTTCATTTGCTCCCATGTCGTTACCTTGGTTGTCTTCAGGTGGTACCTCACCCACATGAAGTCCCTAGGTGGTAGCTTGAATACAATCAATGGGATGGCCTCACTTGGTGCGACTTTAAACGTCTGGAACCAGAAATCCATCTGGTGAAACCAGGAGATGACGTCCTTGCCTAGCTGAGGAACCGAGCTGACAGCCACGTTGGTCAGCGACTTTATCGGCCGGTCTGGCGTGACTGCAGTATCTGCGGCTGACTTAGCTGTAACAGGAGATTTTTTCTTGGGTGCCTTAAGCCTTTTTTTTCTTGGCGGACTCGCTCTCGGAAAGGTCT